TCCTCAAAACGAAAAACTGATCGATCCCGTTGAATTTAATCTCCCTCCAACTCATTAGACACCCGGGCGACGGTGCAACGAACCCCGGGGGTTGGTGTAGGGATACATACAGGGTGTCCAAAAAAAAAAAAAACAACATTTATATGGTACACACGACACACTGTACCAAGTGAAAAAGCCTTAGTGAACATAGGTCGGAAGGTCAACCTTTTCTGAGATATAAACATTTTTATATGTTAGAATCATGATTGATTTACTGGCTTCAATCATCGCATACGATTTTACCTCAATGTTTATGTATTACACAGTTACATAATTACGTAAAAAATAGTTCTCGTACAATCACAGATAGAGAAGATATTTAGATGGTCTGTTTCAAACGGAACACCCTTTATACACACACACTGAAAGTACGTAGAGGGGAATGGATGGATCACGCGAGACCACCACGCGCCCTCGGTCGTACGAACCGTTCCGCGGAAAAGAAAAGAGTGTATCCAGTCGCGAGGACGCGTATCGATTCAACAAAGCCAAGGGAACCGGGGGCTAGAGGGGCAGACCAGGGGGCCAGTGTCGCCCAGGTCACCGAAGTTGGAGCTCTCCCGTGGACCAGTCCAGGACAACAAGTCAAATCACCGTTCTTCGATCACTCTGATATGTCCGACGCCGAGGAAACTGGTACGTAAACACATACACACACACACACAAACCTATGCCCCACGCGTTCACGTCTTCGAGAGTTCGTGTAACTACTCCGAGGAAACAAGGTAGCCAGAGTTCGTGACTGGTGAACCTCGGACAGGTTAACACCGTCTAACGTTGGATCGCACCTACACAGAGGATCCCGAGCCTCTCTGATATCTCGGCTTGGTTTCCGATGGATCTCGCCCCGGTGTGATCCGTCAAGTCGATCGAGGAGTCACGCGAGGATCACCGCAAAAGAGGGGGTTGGAGGGGCCTCCGATGCTCATTGCACCCTGACATTAGGCAGGTTCCTCCCCCCCCCCCCCCCACCCCCAAAGCCAACTAGAAATCCATCTGCGGTTCCGTGCTCCTTTGCTATTGCTTCCAGCTCGAACTTTTGCGCTGCCGTTCGGACACATAATTTCCGGTAAGATTCACGAGGGCTACGAAACCCCCACTCGACCACGGATCTACAATGTGCGTTCGGTCCGAGGGGAGAATCGGGGGAGTTCGAGAGCTGTTTGGCTGTCGTAAATATACAGTGAGAACCGAAAGTGAGTGTACACTGTGAGAGTATGGGATTCATTCATATTTAGTTCTCTCAATTTCTCTCAATTCAGAATCGAACATTTCACATAGATGCCCCCTGATACCATTTAACTTCTGCCTGAAACGCTTTTTAATATCGCCAACAGTTTTAAAAATATTCGAGTGAATCTATTTAAATGGAACACCCTCTATATCGTATCCTAAGGTGAAAGTTCGAGGTGTACTTTTGGCAGAAATGCGACGTCGACCATCGCACGAAATCAATCGTAAACGTGAACACAAATTTCTCCTGTGAAATGTGTCTCATGACAATCATAAAGTAGATAGACTAAATTTTATTTTTGGAACAAGAGTACCTACCTCGGAACACGAATACACATATTCTTTCCCCGTAGCTTGAGAAACTGGATATCGAGGTCTTTATATAATTTCGTTTGATCGAGGTAAATAGGATCCTCATTAAAAGACATCCAAGAACGCGTAACGATCGAAGACTCCGTTTCTCTCAGCGGACGTTTGTAGCCTCGGAATTGTTAAAGATTTAGCACGAGTTCAGTGGCGCGTATCATTGTGTGTCCTGTCCTCCCCCAACCTCTCTTTCCATCCTTTTCCCTGGCCGATTGTTCCAGGCCTCTTCCGCCCGGCCTCTTTGTCCCACTTTTAATTGCTCTTCCCAACCGTCAGTTCCAGAGCGTCCTCAAACCCCCTATTTTTCCCTCCAATTTTCCGAGAATCTTCCTTTTTTCCCATCCTTCCCCCTGCTGGAACGTAATCGCGACGAAACAACACGCCCTGCGTCCGCGGACGTTTGCTCCGGCAAATTGTAAAAAGCCTCCCCCACCCCTCCCCCCACCCTCCCCAAGGGTGTGAGTGTTTGTCCCGTTGCGGACAAGGTGTTGCCACAGCGAGACACTCTCCCGTGGTTCTTTCTTTCGCCCTTGAAGCGAGGGCAATAAGTATCCAGAATTTGATCACTTTTTTCTAGAGCATCCTCGGTGCACGAGGTGTCGTTGAACTGACGGGCACAACCGAAAAGGGGTTAATTCCAGCTGATTAAATAACTTGTGAAGTGTAAAATCCAGTTTTTTTGGTTTTAACTCGCTAACTGCGTTTGTCCATTACAGGACAAAAGCTTATCACTAGGCTGCGGATTTTGATGCAAAATAAAAGTTTCCAAAGTAATTTATAAAAACAGTAGCAATCGTAGAAATTTATTTGCCCTGCAAAGTATCTTATTGGGTTCAGAATAAAATAGAGAACTCGTTGTACCCGCCGGTTCGATGGCATTTTATACATCCCGAGCCAATTCGAGGTGATCCCAAAATTAGTAATATCCTTAAAGTTCCTATAATCTGTTCTATAAGAGAGTCACGTTTCGCCTTTCAACGTAAAATGAGTTACTGTCGGTCACTACCATTGACCGTACACAAAGTTCATGTAAGACGTTCTCGGTTTTACCTCCCCTCAGTGAGTCATTGATAACCGAATTGCGCAATCTTGGCGTAAAACCGCTATAGACGCACGAACGGTCGAGTCCCCGATCCTCTCTTTCTTCGTTCATTCGGAGGGGGTGGAAGCTTCTGTTGTCCAATGCGTCATTTACAATCATCCGAGACCACGCGTGAATGGAAATAAATATCGAATTGTTTGGATTTATATCCATCCGCGTAATGCTACGCTTCGTTCATAAATAAGTAAAAAGAATGGGAAGGTGAGCGCGCGCGCACACATGAGCTAGACGTGACTAGAGTTCATAGAAAAACGTGACGTGTCTCGATTGTTGTCGTTAGTCTCGAAACGAACCATGTATCTTCCTCACGTGTTCCACAAACGATCCACAACCTTGTGTTCTCGAGGGTTCAGCATATCATGCAAATGACACACGAGTGAACATATTCTGCTTAAAAATAGTTTCAAGGACCATCGAGGCCCTTCAAGGGCCCGACGAGGCCTTAGAGGGCGGGCAACGGACAGCCATGACCGATATGGGGAAGAAAGTAAGCTAGAGGAGATGTCCAAAGATGGGTTAAAAAGTGGCCAAGACTGATGTGGTCGATAAAATGGTCAGAAGAAATGACTAAAGACGGCCTAAAAGGCAAAAGGTGACCAAAAATCTCTTCACTCAACTTCGTGGACCTATTCTGACGAGAAGAAGTCCCTAGGTGTGACGCTGACTTTTTAATGAGGTTTAGAACAGTAAGAGAGTTTGGAATTCTGAAGCCAATAATATTTGTTTTTTGGCCATTAGTTTGTGAGATATTTAACATGCCCATTTTTCACAGTTTGACAGCCTACGCTTCAATCTTTTTGAACATACTTTCGAACGTGATCACTAAAAACCACCTGCTTCTTTGACATGACTAAATATGAACAGCTTCTAGCTTAAATTAAATTTACATATCGATGAGTTAGACACGGTTGTTAAACACTCGGGTCCAAACGGACTCGGTCACCGCACTCCAAGGGTTAATTCTAATTATCTCTCTCGGATCTCCCGAAAGTGGAACACCGTGCACAGATCATCAGAGGCAGAGCCACGGAACTATGTACGTAGTCCGTGTATAAAGTTCGAAAGGCCATCATTCTCGAAAGCACAGTTCATTACGGAACTTTTAATGCGACCCGGGGTTTCGTGACCAGAAGCAACAGCCTCGCCTCGCCGGCACGTTCAACCCTTCCCACGTGATCGCTCGAGATTAGAAAGAGAAACGTCCTGGATATGGGAAAAGGGGATGGGTGTTATCAGGGCCGGGGTGGGGGGACTAGAGTAAAATCACCACCGTTTAGAGGATGATAAAGGAATAGGTTGCAAGCACCTACCTCTTTAATTTCGATTTCGATCCGTTCGCACTTCTTCACGTGACCGCAAACGACTTCGTGTGGCTCTCCCCCCACCCTAGCGCGCGAAGGTGTTTGATCGGTGTCGAGCCACCTACCTAAACCCAGGGCCCACGGAAAGAGAGATCTCTGACGCGTAACTGCCACGCGAGTTTCCCACCAACAGCACCGATTTACCCTGAGACTGGATACAACCGCGCGAAATCACGAACACCCGGCCCGAGATTCCTCGCACGAGAAGCCCCGACACGAGAATTAGCCCCGTAACGTGCTGATCCAACGGCACGGAGCGGGTGTGTTTCTGGGTTTATCCACGTAGCTAGTTCGGCCACACACACACACACACACACATACATAGCTCCAATAGAACCACGGACCACCCAGAGCTTTAGAGTCAGTCTACACTCGCGTCTTCTGCCCGGTGGATCTCTCAAACGTGCGCCTCTACCTGTCCACCGTTGAGGATGGCACTCGGCGAGGGCCGTGATCCCCTGGAGCACACCAGTCTCTATCAGAGAGCCGGTTAGCTTATCTGTCTACGATCGTTCAGCCTTATAGTACCTTAGAAGTTTGTATAAAAATACAGTAAATCTTCGATGAGTGTTCGAAGGCTCCACGACACTTAACATTAAATATTTCATAACTAAATAATGGCCAGAATTCGAAGCTCTATCACTGTGTGCTGAAAGTCATTAAAAATCAGGATTTTTTACACCTGGGGACCTCCTGTCAGTGCCGAGGAGCCTTCGAACACTCATATATATATACCGTTATATAAAAGGGTATATTGAATGGCAAAAGAGAATTTTTTTGTGCAAGCCGATATGTATATAACAGGTGATCGGTGCGATTTTTAAGTTGGATCGAAATGATTCGTTTCAGACAGCGAAGACAGCGATACAGAGGGCGGACTGGGTAACGTGAACAAGATGATAATGCGGCCGCCGGGGCACAGCGGCAAGGCGAAGAAAGGGCACATCTGCTTCGACGCCTCGTTCGAAACTGGAAACCTGGGCCGAGTGGACCTTATCTCGGAGTTCGAGTACGATCTATTCATACGTCCGGACACCTGCAATCCCCGTCTACGTTTGTGGTTCAATTTCACCGTGGACAACGTGAAGGCGGATCAGCGGGTCGTCTTCAACATCGTGAACGTGTCGAAAAGCGCGAATCTCTTTCGAAACGGTATGACGCCGTTGGTGAAGAGCACCACCAGGTCCAAGTGGCAGAGGATACCCAGAGATCAAGTGAGTTGTCAGACTCACGATTGTATAAACTTAGTCAATTTTTATTATTGCAATTGTTGGCTGTTTACTCGAACGAACGAACGACGAAGAACACGGTGTATTCCCTATTTTTGACCAACTTTGAAAAGGATACTATACTACTCATACTACCACTTTATTTGTTTTAGTTAATAAAAATGGAACGTGTACAGAATTTAGTAGAACAAATTTTATTATGAAATTGGGACTCTGATTTACATACTAACAAAGAAATACATGTACTTGTATGTACATACCTGGTATTTAATAATTAATGTTGCAAAAAGTAAGTAGAATGTGATGGCGAATTAATACTAAATGAAGAGCCGTAATTTTACCATGAAACCTGTATCTATTGTACAAATTGAATTGTCGAAGTATATAAAAATTACTTTAATTTTTGAAGTGACAAAAGTTCTATTTTTATTATTTATACAGAACTGCAACGGTTAAGAAAACCTATTTTCTGATACTAAATATCATATTAAATACATTACAAAATTAAAAATACAACAATATATACATATATTTTTTTCAATCTATCTAATATGCTAATAGAAATTACTGTCTATTTTTTAGCGTATTTCAAAGTCCGTACACATTCTTATGAAAACAAAATTTCTATCATCCGTTCAGGTCTTTTACTACAAATCCGCCCAACACCAGAACCACTACGTTTTAAGCTTCGCCTTCTCGTTCGACCGCGAGGAGGACATCTATCAATTCGCCCTGACGTATCCGTACTCGTACAGCCGTTACCTGGCGCACCTGGACAACCTATGCACGCGGCTGACGTGCACGAGAAGAGAAACCCTGACCAGCTCTATCCAGAACCGAAAGATCGAGCTGATCACGATCACCTCGAACCTGGAAGACGTTCGGGAACGAGCGAGAAAAGTGGTGGTGGTACTGGCAAGGGTACATCCGGGCGAATCACCCACATCTTTCGTCTGCCAGGGTCTAATGGACTTTCTGGTCAGCTGTCATCCTATCGCCCAAGTGCTCAGGAGCTACGTGATCTTTAAAATCGTGCCGATGATGAATCCCGACGGGGTTTATCTGGGTAATTACAGGTAAATATCTCGAGAAAACCTTTTGTATACATGGAATCCGACACAAACTGATCGAGAAACGGAACGTCGAAGATCCACAGCCCTCGGAGCGGACCTAAATCGATCGTGGAACAAGATCTCCGATTGGCTTCATCCTGCTCTGCTGGCCATCAAGCCGATGCTGAAGAATCTCGACAAAAACTCCCGTACTCCTTTAGACTGTGTTCTCGATCTCCACGCACATACAAATGCCACCGGAATATTCATCTATGGGAACACGTACGACGATGTGTACAGGTAACTCTGACCGTACTTTTTTTTTGGACTTCCTCGAACCTTTGCATCCTTTGGTGCTACCGGTTCGATCGATGATTTCTACACAATGGTCCTCAATTTCATCGATACAATTTTAATGTCTTGTGAGATTCGAATAATTTTTTGAGATTAAAAAATTTTACGGAATCTTTAACATTGTCCGCCAAAGTTTAGTTTTAGCACTTCCATTTTCGCTATGCAGTAATAGGGACATTTTATAAATCATATTAAATTAACTATTATTAATTTGAAATGTTTTTAAAAATACTTTTATTTCAATTTAATTATAAAGGGAGGATTAAATTTTATATCTATTAAATTTTTTCGTCGATTGTTGCATAAATAAATAATAAAAGTCTATTTCTGCGATAGCAGAACTCTTAGATGATTAGACATAGGGACTTTGACCTTATGGCCATTAGTTTATGAAATATACAATATTCAGTGCAGAGGAGTCTTAGAACACTCATCGAGGATTTACTGTACTATAAATTGACTCTTTGAACATGGTTGGATCGAACGTGTCGGGGGTAGAAAATTTCTTGTTTTATCGTTCAAGTTTCGAAATTGTTGACACTATCTAACCAACGGCTGCCCAGCCTCTCAGGTACGAGAGGCACATCGTTCTGCCGAAGTTGCTGGCGCAACACGCCGAAGACTACGAGATCGGGAACACGATGTACAACCAGGACTCCCACAAGTCCGGGACCGCGCGACGTTATCTTTGCTCGCTCCTGAAGGAGCACGTGAACTGTTACAGCATTGAAGTGTCGATGCACGGTTACAATAGAAAATCGTCGCCCGGAATATTCCCGTACACGGAGGAGGGCTGTATCCTTTCTCAATTAATAATATATTATTTCAATTAATAATATATCATTCAAAAGCTTAGTTAATTGCACTACATATTGATAAACATTTCAGAATATATATTGACTCAATATATATTGTGACTCATATGTTGCATCTAGTTATTTTGAAGTGAAAGATATTGATATTACATAGAATTATTTTTTGTTTAGAATCTTAACTGTACCACAGATTACAGAGTAGGCCGCAATCTGGCCCGTGTATTCTTAGAATATTACAAACTGATGGGCCTGATCCCGGCTGGTCTTCCCGAGCAACCTTCCGCGAAGAAATCACGACAATCCAGACCGAGAAATCGGGCACCAAAAGAGCCCAGACCAAGGACCTCCAGAACACCGGCTCCTGTCCATCTCGCCAGTATTCACGAGTAATTTCGAACGTTTTATCGATCGTCTTAGAGTTTAATTTACGAATCAAAAGGATAGAATATATATCGCCACGTAATTTTTGGATGGAAGTACGTTTCTATTAAGATAAATAACGTGGCAGTATTAAAGACATTGGAATTAATTTGGAACAATTTACCCCAGGTTGTTTCATACGAAATAACGTTTTCACAAATGAAACTTCTAAGACAACAATTTTACCGAAAATTGAATGAAAATAATCGTCGTTGTCATTCACATCCACGATCATTTTCGTGAATCATGAAATTCGATCCCACGATTCTAACCAACAGAGAAACACATTACGAACATTACAATATTCTAAACGACATTCGCAGTGCCCGTTTGCTCGACGTAACAAACATTCCCGAAGCCAAATAGTATCCATTCACAGTCCCGTAATAATTCCAACTTGCATTATCAGCAGAATTGTAATGCTCATAGACTCTGTACACGGCACAGCATTTCAATGCCCTATCTGAAACCGCGACTTCCACCACTGTATAGTGTTCCACCCAATTACCTCGGGATATTACCTATTCTACCATAAAACAGGCTCATTCTGATACCGTGTTCCCCAACTATTTTTGGCATAATAGAAAAGTATGTTCTGAAAAAATGTAACATTAATAGCCACTTCGAATCAGGGGTTAGGTACCGGAAAAATAATGCGATTATGGCTCTCATTTCGTTTCTGCCATTCATTTTCTATGAGCTTCCACCTTAACCAGTTACGTCCGAAATTTTCAGCCCAAAGTCGTTTCAAGGGGTACGTTTTGTTCTCCTCTTTGTAATGGCATACAAAAAACTAAGGCATTCCATTAAAAAAAAACGTTACCATTAGAGAAATCTCAAAAAATATGATCTTGAGTTGACCTTCAATCTCACAGCCTAATTTCCCCCCTATAATACACTATCTTTCTCCCGAACCATTCTTTCGTACCGTGACAAATAAGAGAATAATTAAGGGTAGCAAAGTTAGGTAGGACACCCTGTATACTAAACAGTGGACAGCGGATTTTATGCAAAATAAAATTTTCTGAAGTAATTTATAAAGACAGGCGCAAATGTAGAAATTTATTTTTCCTCTTAAGTATCTTATTGGGTTCAGACTAAAATAGAAAACTCATTGGTTCCGATGAAAGTTTTGGCTTTTATTATATTTCACAGAGCCCTATTGGCTACAAATCCATAAAATCCGCAGTCTACTGATCAGGAACTGGGTCCGTGACGGTATTCCGCTCTGTCACGAACTGCTCGAATCGTCTGACGCGACCCAAACGGAGTGGCACTTTCCAATCCGTCAGGTACTTTCAAGAGGAGGCAGAGCCGCCGGCCAGCGTCGGTTACCGATCGATGAGCGGCACGCGGATGAGCCAGCTCGGGACCGGAAGTGGAAGTGGAACGGGCGTGAGCGGCGGTGGGGGCGGGCGTAGGAGCCGGAGCTACAGGTTCCGGAGCCCCGGGGCACCGTCGCACGGCGACAGGGCACAGCAGCCCGTGCCGAGACTGCCCGTTGAGCCGCCCCGGCTCACCATTATCGATTTCAATCAGCTGACAAGGGGCGGTTTGGAGCTGGCCACCAGCAAGAACCGTGCAAAGGTCGCCCGTAAAGCCGCCAAGACCAAGAGATAGCGATAGATCCCACCGTGTGTACGTGTATTCGCGCGTGTCTTTACACTTCTAAACAATGATCGACAGGTAAAATGCTTCTTATACGTGTGTGTGCGCGCAGGCGCAAGAGGGAGAGAGAAAGAAGCCCCGAAACTATTTCGTATGGTTCAGTTCACGCGATTTCACGCTCAATCCCTTCGGTTCCAGCCAGCTGAATGGAGAACGAAACGGGGGTGAAATTGATTCGCGAAATTCTGCGCGATCCTGAACGACCAATCGCAAAATTGTTGCATGTCGAATTACCTTGTAAATGGGGAATCTTTCGAAGACACTTACATGTTGCCGTACATTTTTCGGGGATTAACTGCTGTTCGTAATCCTTTCGTTCGAAAACACACTTTTCATGTAACCGTTCGAAACACATTTTGAACGCGTAATAATTTTAATGCACACCTGTTTTGTGGAGAAACATTATATTGTAATGTCGAAGTACACCGACGAAATTACACGTACACACGCAGAAAGTAATACAGGCATGCACACGGTATTTCTTAACGAAACCCAACACCGAGAGACCCTCGAGCGAGAATCAAACCATCCCGTTCCTTCGTTCACCACGAGTTTCACGTATAAAATCCGTTCCCGATCGGATAATCCCGGACACGATAGGCGGATTTCAATTAACACGTTGAATGCCCTGGAGGTCACCGGTGACCCCCACTCTAGGGAGTATACTTTTCGATATTATTAATATTGGACCATACATCGGTAAACTTCTACCAACTAAATGCCAAAATTATGATAACATAGTTGACTTTAATAATTTTATATAACATTTTATACTTCTACACTCTGTGTAACGAAAATTTCACTTTGGCGCTGTGGCTGAAATGTACGAAAATCCTGCGGCACTCAACGTGTTAACGGCAACGGATCCGCGAAGCCTCTTGACGCTTCGCCTCGACCGACACGATCCGCGGGAACGTACAATAGATAGCTGACAAACGATACGATACTCCATATTATCGGGACGAATCAGTGGTTCTCGTCTGAGGGTGACAACAATGACTCACAGGTTTTGTTCACGGAATTCTGACATTTCTACTTCATCAAATTATTTCAAAATTAAAAAACATTAATTCCAAAAGGATAATAAAAATAATGAAAATCAAAGGATAAGAAGAATACGTTAATAGAAATTGTATAAAAATCGTTATACCCAATTGTTATTACAGAAGTATATGGAGCAAAAATGTGCGAGTCACCGTATACAGTGATTCCTCGATGAATGCGACAAGAACAACGGCATTATTCCCACCACTAGGGGGTCCACTTCTGGTACTAATAAAAACAGAATAACCGGACACTGATCAGAGGCTCAGCTTCGTGGAAAAAACGAATTTGTGAAGGGCTGAAAACTTTACCACGGATGCTCCGAAGCGGACCCGAGTTAGTCGCACTTATCGAGACATTACTGTATCTCGAGAACGTCGAAAACACCGGGTGGGTCTTCGCGTGGTAATTCTAAGAAGCACAGATGATATGATATACGTATATGTCCACGTACCTGAATGCGAGAATTATGTTTCCTAAATGTGTATCGTGCTGCGGGCTTGTTGCACGCGCATCGGATGTGGACAGAAGAAGAACGCAGGTACTAAACACGGAGGTTTATACACCTGGCCCGGCCCGGGGTATATGATGGTATACCGATTCTACAGATACGCTGCGTGGCCGCGGGTGTGTCCGTGCATTGGACCGTACCGACCGACAACAACGGAACCGGGGATGGCCGACGTATCAATTAACACGGAAATATCAAAAAGTCCGTGGTTGGTCGCGTCCTAATACATATACACCTATATGTATATATACATATATATATATATATACCACCAGAGAACGAACAACGGATGGGTTGATCGCGTAATGTAACGTTTCTACGTTATAAATATATACGCGCGTTTTATACCAAATATTCAAAAAGACGTCCGCGCGTCTACGTGTAGTGCATGTAATATGTGCGTATTAGTGTACAGTGTCAATGTGTGTGTGTGTGTATAACAGCAGTACGGTATCCCGTGTACGATTTTCACGTATCCGACCCCCGTGACGCGTGTGATTTCACGGTGTTAATTGTACATTTGTCTGGATGTGTATGGATGTACGTAAATGTGTGTATGTATATATATATATACATATATATATATATAATATATATATATATTATCGTGTGTAAAATATGTCAATCAATCGGAACTGAAGAATGAACTAAAACGGAAAGAAATGAAACTATAGCGAAAGAAGGGAGCAGACAAGCGGCCAGTAGCTCTTCTACTCCTGGACTCGAGACGGAACTGGCCCGTGGCTCGTTCCGCTCGACACCGACTCGGCTCAATCCTCTCCCCCCTCCCTCCCAAACCCCTCCCGCCCTTCCCTCTTCTACACACCCCCGACACAACTACCTACCCTCCACGTTCCCCGCGACTCCACCCGCCTCCCTGCATCCTCCGTTTCCTTTCATCCCCCTAGGCCCCCTCTCCTCCCAACCCCCCGACTGTGCGCGACCACCGAGCCGCCCGGGTACTTCGGGGTTGGACGAGACTAGGGCGGTGGTCGTTGAACCAAGTATATAGACGAGAGCCGTCTGCGTCGTACCGGTTGCGCACCAAATGCGAGTCGGTATATACATACTCCCTTCTCTCTCCCTTTCGTTTTTCCGTTCCCTTTGCTCGCCCTTTCTCTCCATCCTACACACCAGCCACCCCATATCCACCCCCTCCCTCCCCATCCCGTTCCGCGAACCCTAGTTCGCGCGCGGTTTGCGCCTCTATCTTGCTTTCTCTCGATAGTACCCTTGTCTCTTTTCACGTTCGATTCGATTCTCTTGGTACACTCGGTTTCTCCTTTCTTTTTATTATTTCAACATCTCTGTGTGTGCGCGTGTGTCGATCTCTCTCTGTCTCTCCATCCTAACACCCCTTCGACAAGCCTCTGTTCACCCCCTGCTGCTTCTCTTGATGCAATCTATCCTTCTCGCTATTGTTCCTCCTTCTTCCTCTCTCTCTTGTTATTTCGATCCCCTTATCTTGATATTTCTGTCCCTCTTTTTCTGTTTGTTAACGCGTTTGTCTTTTCTTACATCCCTCTTTGCGTTAATCCCTTTCCAAACCTTCCTGTCCTCTATCATTAACGATGATTTTTCTGTTCTTTTTTCCTCCTCTAGTTGTGGTTCCGACCCCCCCCCCTCTTTCGAACGAGATCTCTCTCTCTCTCCAACTGACGGTTTCCCTCGTTTCTCAGCTCGTTTTCCCTTCTCTTGGTGGCCTTCTTTGCCTCTCGAGCGCGACAACGTTCGTTCCCTCTTCCTCCATATGTCGTGCTCTTTCACCCCCGAACGCGTCCCCAGGTAAAGCTGCCCCGGACCACCACAGAGGGGGAGGGGGAAACACGCACGGGGCTGCAACGAGACACTAACACACGCAGACGCTTGCCCCGCGTTGCCAGCAGCAGCAACAGAGTAACCCTGGAATCGTGCGCGCGGATCAACCCTTTCGTTCGCTTCCTGATTTCTTATCGGGCCTTGATCCGGCGATTATCGCGTCCTCTGATGAACACTTATCGCCAACAGAATTGAAAAATGCTTCTGCCTACACATTAAACGGAAAAACATTCGACGATCATCCCTGGATACTAATTACGTTTGACCCTATATCCCTATTGTAAGAGGGTAGTGATTGTTACCCCGAATTGCGACGATATATCCATACAAAGTTAAGCAATATGTACTTGTTTTTCTTTTGCCTTGTCGTAGCTTCAGTCGATCCCCATTTCACAGTGTAATAAAGTTTCGATACATATTGCCTTGCTCAAACATTCGTTTCGCTAGGACAGGAACGAAAGTAACGACAGTGTCCTGTAATGGTAATCCTAGATTTGGTTGCAAGAGAAAAAAAGAGTTTACAAATGCTTGCTGTCATCCCTGATCGGTGTTCTCCGTAATCACGAGCCGCACGTTTATCCTGACCAATTGTACATTTCTTTTTCCCCAAGAAATTTATGATTACACGTACACGATAAGCGAGTATATCCTAGATAAGTAAAGTCCATTGTCACATGTCACATATTCCAGAAAAGTAAAGCAGAAGGTAAAATAGAAAGTGGTTTGGTACATCACGCTCGAGTACACCCGTTAAAATCGATAAGATTTGCTACTGTTGACTACACACACTGTGTCTTTCAGAGTCCAATGAATGTGTAAATATATCGATGACAAAAAAAATATGTTTACAAATGTTTGATTCCGAGAGCAAAACGAAAATTTCAGGCCTGGTTGCATCGAGGGGATTGATGGGATGCAAAAAGGGGTAGGGGGACACGGTTTGTTCGAGGCTGATGCCGCGCACCCAGAGACATCCCTCGCCAACCGAGAACCATCTAGGAGCCCCGAGCGATCCCGAATTTCGACGAATTCGCGCGATTCGTCTACGTACGACATGGGCGGGGACCGACCCCGGTTACCCGGGCTTAACCCCTTTTGCAGACACTTGTTATGCAGCGAACAAAAAAAAACGTGCCTAGAAATTGCAGCTCCTCGTGCAACATTATCATCTCCGTAAAGATTTAAACATGCCTACGAAATTACCCGATGTGTATAGTTGGTGTACCATCATAAGCTTAACCCCCTGAAAAACGAGTTCTACCGATGTCACAAAGTTGCACATTATTATGTATTTCGTTATAGCCCCTCCAAAGAAAAATATCTATGACTAACTAAATAGAATTCTGTTACTAAAATTTACAACTTCGGTGTTTCTTTCCGCGGTGAAATAGTCGTTGACGTGGAATTGCAATGGCGAAAATACTGAATTGAAATAAAGTACGCATTTGTAGAACCCTGAACGAGGCCCCAAACCACGATGTTGAGGCACAATCACGCTATATTTTTATCAATTCTTTTGCATTGTTGTCCGGAACACGAGCACTTTAACTCCCGATCGATTCTATACGACCGTATCATACATCTTCTCCACCAAATATACAGACCGTCATCAATATATCATCACTTTCGGCGCTTATTAATATTATATTTACTCATAATTCGATCGACATAATTATACTGTATGTACTTACATACTGCAGCCACGTGATGCATTTCCTTGCAAAGGAAGAAGACACTTCTTGCGTGGTGGATTCGTCAATTACTTCAAATCCTTATTTTCTTTTTATTTACAACTATTCGCAACAATGATAATTGTTATCCGTCACCAACACACTAATTTTCAAACCTTTCAGCATAAAATTTGAGGTTATACATACGAACTATTCACACTTCGTATTGCGCAAAGATTCACGATTGCATTCTTCAAAATCTACACTTAAATTAGACAATCGTCTTGTACGTGTTAACTCACGTATTCACGACGAAAGTGAACGTCAAGAGTTTCAGTAGGCAACTGTGTCCGTATACAATAGCACATTGTTGACAATATCGTGTTCCCTGCGGTCATTCGCTTTTTTCGATATTTTCCAATGAACGAAAACAACAAAGGTTCTTCTGGGAATCAAACATCACGTGATATATATACACATAAAAACTGATTTCTGAAAAGCGTGTCGTGTTGCGTTTTGTAACGGTCAACAATCGAAACGACTTGTTGACTTTAAATAACAGTACGAATCGAAGAGTTATCACAGCAGTAAAAGTGGAAATTATTTTACTTTTCGTCGCGTCTTACATCTTTCACCAAAAATAGATTTTTCGCGATTAACATGGGTCAAATATGAACAACGTATAAATATTTATGTCTATCCGATTATTACACAAACAAATTACAAATAGATCACTTGTTTCAATTCCAACATCACTACGCGGGAGATTGACTCACTACGATGGCGCCACCTTGCGTTTCTTGTTTTAAAATCTACTTTGTAAGTTTATGCCCAAACACATTTATTCCAGAAATGACGTTTTTAATAACAAATTAAATAGCAATATATATTTTTTCATCTAATTTTCATGCTTTTCTCGTGTCTAATGTTACACTTATTTATGTTTATAGATTCTAAGTTCTATACAACATATTCGGATTGCATATTCGATAACTCGTCCATCGACATTGTATTTGATTTAACAGAATTGTTACATATTATTATTACGTTTTTTAAAAAAGCGATCCTAATTTCTGAAACTAATTTTTTAATGAAGAAAGACTTTTGTAAAATGAAAGCAATGTGTATAAATTTATAAAAATGAATTCATAAGAAGTCAGAATCTGAAAAATCTGATTGGTGCAATCGAATTTTTGAAGGAAGAATTTAATAGGCATTCTAAAATACGTGAAAACGCCATCTCGAAAATATTTGCAAATGAAACGCCATCTCTAAAATATTTTTCACAGACCACGCACGTAATGAGTCCGTCTTCCACAGACGCCGCCATATTGTACAAGAGAAACGAGAGGTACAACCACGCCATTGTGCGCATCACAGGATTTCTTATTTTCCTGCGGGAATAACTAGCAAAGTAAGTAGAAATTAATTATGAACGATCTCATCGCGGTACAAAGTTTATTTTTTGGAAGATTTTGATTGTTTCTGAAAAGATAGTGGAATGCTATAACATTGAGTAATGATTATTAATCAACGCCACGATGTTTCGTTCCCCCTACGCGGATCTGAATGTTCTATTCCGTTTCCTCCTGCTAATTCATTTACATCTTTTTGTCCTCCTTAATGATTTAGTGCTGTTTTGGCGTATGAATGAGACATATGTTTTAGTTACACTATAATTCGTGAATTGCATAGTTTCGGTTAAAATCTGTCATGCTCCATTCAAACATTTATGCAGAATATATTGTTTTAGTTAGAAATTTGGTCCACAGTTTAAATTGAAGGCTAATTTGTGAAATTTGAACATAGGAATGCGCATAAGGAACCATACCTAATAAATTATATTTAAACCTACATGTATAAATACAACGAAATTAGTGCCAATTTATTATTCTTTGTGTATAGTGTTTTATTTAGTGAATATTTTTTCTCCATAGCACATTATGTAGGACAATATAAAGTGGCTGGTGTTAATTTAATAACTTACTTTTCTTGTCACTTTAATTCAATTTCAAATGCTTATTGGCTAGCATCTGTAATTTAATTGAATATTCTTAACTTTCTACATTATGAAATGTCATCATTCGAATGGTAATGTTGCAAAACTGCAAAAATGCAAGTTCTCAGGAGTGAGTAAAACAATGTCAGTCAATGTAAAATCACGCTTACATTGATTTTATCCAGTAATTGTACCATTTACATTTATTTTTTGTCTTCATTTTTTAATACAGTGAGAAACTATAACTATAATTATTCCATTAAAGACATAATTTTTATAGTGCACTTTGAAAAACTATAACAAAAATTAAGACAGTTTATGTCTTAAAAATAACTACTGTAACAACAATAATAGTAATGTTATTTAAATTTTATTCACAATATGATTTCTCAGATATATTTGGTTCTGGCAATGCATTATGTATTGATACCCTTGAATGCAATTTTTTATAATAATAGTGATGTATTTTGGGTAAAACCAGATCATTACAATGTTTTAAGAAATCTTGGAAAAACTTTTACGGCAAAAATACCAAATTTACTTTGGTAAGGCTAAAGGAGCAATGTTTGATGGATACCACTTTGTCTATTGTTAAGGACAAAATGGTTGAAAATATTCACCTTCATTGTTGGTTTTAATGAAAGTATTCTCAGGTTTTACTATATCCCCTATTAAAGGCAAATAGCATCTCAGAAGGCAACTTTGTCTTTTCGTTGGTCAACTAATCTAAGTGAAAGCTTGTTTTGTATCTATTAAAATGAAGAATATCATTGCGAAGGAGTGTAGTGACATTACAAGGTTAAGATTTAGAAAGCATGTTCTTATAAGCTGTACCCAACCATTCTGCATTCAACTCAGATTCACAGAAATCGTAGTTTCACAACTTTACCATTTGAACGATATATACATAAAAATGAACATATGCATTATAGTTCTTGTTTGAGAAATGATTAGGACTAGAGTAATGTAAGTAATTCGTATTCTTTCAGGAGTTACTTAAATGCATGGACAACATGTACAGTAACAACATTGACCCTTGGGAGCCAGGTTATGGACCTGAACGAAGAGGACATAATTCTGACTATGACTATCGCAATGATTATGGCAGCAGTAGATCACCAGATTATGCGGAGCACCGTGACAATGATCATCGCGATAGGGACCATCGTAGTCCGGAATATAGGAATCACCGCGGAAGAGATAGGGACCGTGAAAGGGATCGTTCAAGAGACAGAAGAGATCGGAGCAGAGACGATAGAGATCGTAGCTACAGAGACAGAGAGGATCGCTACGGAAGACAGAGGGACAGAGATTCCGTAGAAAGAGACAGAGATCGGGATCGCGATCGCGATAGAGACAGAGATCGCTCTAGGAGAGACAGAGACAGAGATAGGGATAGGGATCGTAGAGGGAAAAGAGATGACAGAGATCGGGATCGTGATGATGATCACAGCAGAGAAAGTATGGACTTTGAGCATGACCATGGACGTACTTATGGTTCGTCCATGGAAGGCATCCACTACAAATCTCAATCTCCGAACAACACCATAATGATTCGTGGGCTTGCTCAACACATAACAGAAAATGACGTAGGTTGTCAACTTAGTGGCCCAACATAATTGGCCACTAGTGAGCAAGCATTTGCAAGCATACATCTCTGTTATTATTATGATGTGTGTATCACAGGTGCGGCAAGACATCCTCAACTGTGGTCTCATGCCCAAGGACATCAGGCTGATACGTAAAAAGGATACAGGTAATTATCCCTATCTTCATCGATTACACCATCCCCTCTACCTAATACTCAAACCAGCGAATTGCTTTTCATCTCAGCAGGTTGCATTAGATTTGTGTAGTCTAAGTTATTACCGTATTTCTCAATGGTTGTTGAGAAAAAATTGTTTGAAATGCCTGATAATTATTAAGCTCAATAATAATAATATATTAATATTGACGGTATTTAAAGGAGGTTTCAAACAATTTTTTGTTACATTGGATAAAGACCTGTGTTAGTATTATATCGGTACCAATCATGCATAATCCAAAATTGTCGAAGAGATATAACGAACGTAACGACTATCAATTGATTATAAATTATTCATTCATTGGAGCAAGGTAAGTTGGTATAAATGCAGGAAGAATATTTTAAGGATAATCAAAGCTTCAAGTCATCTTGCAAGGGTGGTTCAAAGTATCTGTAGTAACTTTGAATCCTGTGTTTCAAATAATTAGAAACTGTAAATTTACCAACCAATTCTACTCGGGTTATTCGATATTTAAAGTACTATCCCGAAACTCTGGGACAATGGTTGCTGTAGTCTATTGTTTTTATTAATAGGTACAGGGCGCCCCTTTTTACAAACATACCCTAACTGTATTCTAACATGAGTTACTACTTTTTCTTCTATACACTATGTCAAGAAATTTAGGGGGTAATAACTCGGGTGAAAGAAAAAAGTGGGGGGTAGTCTTCAGAGATTCTAGTAGGTCTGACCTTAAAGTAGAAAGGAAAATTCGCGTGTAAAAAAAACAGACACAAGTAGAAATCGTCGTGTCGTCCGCGTAGAGAATTCGTTCTGCTGAGCTTTAGGCAAATGGATAAGAAAGCAAGCGACGAAGCGAAGAAAAAACACTTCGTTCGAAACTCAGTCTGTCAATGGTTGGTGCTGTGATTGCCTGCCCTCTCAGAGTAGAGACACCCAGGCAAAACGTGGATTAACTTTGGATATGTGTGTATTTGCTCTGTATAGGTGCTTCGCGAGGTTTCGCATTCGTCGAGTTTAACGCGACTCAGGAGGCCGCACGGTGGATGGAGATGAAACAGGTAGAAAGAAGTTCAGTCCAGATACCCAACCGATGCGTTGTACGCGTGCCACCGACGCCCCGTGGCGGCAAGGCACGGTAACGCAGCCCCCTGGCCTTCCCCATGGCCATGGCTGCGCACCTATCAAAAGGCTACTTCAATCTACCGTACCTAATTATTTATCTAGGAGTCCCCATATACTTTGCAGACTTTTCTTAACTCGCTCGCAAATTCCGTCATATTGGATTTTCAATTTATTGAATCGAGAAAAGCTCGGAATAAAAAACAAAGCCAAAACTAAAAAAAAAGAAAGAAACGAAAACAAACGAGAAAAGGCCGCGCCGCGTGCTTTTTTACCTGTCCTCATATCTGTCATAAAAGTTTGTGGACTAACAATGAAGATCGGAGGAGAGGGTCATTCCAATCGTCTTATCTTTTGCGTACAATGCATATATTATTCGGCATGATGGTTTATTTGTACGAATCACACTTTATTTGCTACAATCATACGATATGAATCGCTTACCTTTTTTTGTTTTTTCTAATTGTATCATGTTAGTCTGCTTCTATCATTTAACTTTGTTCTCTCGACTCAGTTACCAGAAAATATGGTCGAGCATATTTTCAAACGAATGACAATTTTCTGCACGACTTTCTTTCGTTCACGTATGAAATTTTAGTATGCAAGCAATCATTGTACGTTTGCTTGTTTCTCACACAAGTTCAATTCTTTGATCGAGCTGAAACGAAAAATAAAAAGAGAGAAAAAAAGCTAGAAAGTAAAGAAAGGAAAGTTGTCCGCGCATGTACATATAGTCGATCCGCAAGCCGTGTGGAATGGCCCACATTTATATAAGCCCACAACATTTTCTTTACTGTTCGTTCGAGACGGAAAGCTATGAAGTAGAGAACTATAATTTCGTCAACCAAGAAGGAAGTTTACGGGATAAACAGAGGCTTTGGGAGGATGTTGGACGGGATAACACTGAAATTCTCTGTTTCAGGGAGTACTGATGCTGCAGGACCAATACCGTGCCTTGATGCAGTACAGTATACCGAAAGATTGCCATGTAGATAAACCACCAGCAAAGAACACGCAAGACTGGCATTGCGTTAAGGTACGGTTCCTGTAGAACATAATATGATTTTATTCGAAAAGAATTGTCTCATAGAAAAGTAGCCGGTTGTTCATTGGAATTATTTCCTTACAGTGTGGCGCACACAATTTTAAAAGACGCGAAACATGTTTCAAATGTTCCGCCTCCCGAGCAGAGAGCGAAGAGGGTGGAGAAGGTAGCGATGAGATCAGCCCTCACCCTACGAACACAGTTCTTCTTCGGGGATTGGATGTTTTAACAACCGAAGACTCGGTTTTGCAAGCAATGAAAAATCTTTCGTCAATGCCTATACGTAGTATACGTATTGGTCGCGACTCTCTTACGAACACATCCAGGGGTGTTTGTTATTTGGAGATGGGCAACGTGGTGGACGCCATGTATTTACACACGGCGCTTACCAAGCAAGGATTGGTAGTGGATGGTAGAAAAGTAGAAATCACGTATTGTAAACTTCACCAGATCAATAACACTAACACGTGGAAGGCGAACGACAGTCAACCACAAAGATACACTTTAGACGATGTTGCTCAATTGGCAGAGTACAGTGCCAACTTATACGCTAAGACACCTGCACAGAAAGCTCATTATCTACAGTATTACACGCAATATTATCAGAATCAAATAATGCAGGGATCCGCGATTACGTTGCCATCTCTGAATCAGACTGATAGAGTAAACGCGGCGGCGGCCGTAGCACAATCGGCCATACAACAGTTACAAGCATCCAGAAAACTCGGCGACGCGGATGAAATGAAGAACAGACCAACGCCTACAGCGCCGACCAGTACATCGTTAGCGAGCGGAAGAGTGCCTGCACATGCTGGTGATGGTAAAGTATACTGTAAGTTTATATTCCAGCGATGAATCGCCGTAATTTTGCTTGCAGATATATTTTATTGCATTGGGTATGTATTTTAGCTGTGCCAGATGTTAGTACCTATCATTATGACGAGTCGTCGGGCTACTACTATGATCCAAGCACAGGATTATACTATGATCCGAATTCGCAATATTATTACAATAGTCACACTCAACAATTCCTTTATTGGGATGCTGAATCATTCTCATATCAACCGGCAAAGGTGATTAAAATTATTGAATATTACTGTCCCTGAAGAAATACAGTATCGATAAATTATTTTAAACACTTACGTCGGCCTCCAATTTTCAGACTGCTCCAACTGTGACGCAACCAACAGGAAGCACGACGAGTGGTACTACAATAACTGCCACCGCTAGCAGTACAGACTCGACGAACACGGTTACAAATCAAGCAACAACTTCGTCACTTACAACTGCGACCCAAGAGTCCTTGAAGGAGGACGAGAGTAAGAAGAAAGATAGCAAGCAGGATAAAGTGAAGGTAGCCAAGAAAATAGCAAAGGACATGGAACGCTGGGCGAAGACGTTGAATCAGAAGAAGGAAAATGCAAAGAGTAATTGGAATTCCGAATTTGCTGGTGGTGATGGCAATCAAGGAGTTGGAAGCGGAGCTGCGGATGCTGGATATGCTATATTAGAGAAGAAATCTCTTGCTAGTACTTTTCATGAAGACGAGGATCAGAGCGGAAGTAATGGTTTAGTTGCTGCTTATGGCGGCGGTAGTGACACGGAAGAAGAAATCGAGGATGTGCAGCAAGAAGAAAGGCAGCACACAGATTGGTCTAAGCTAGCCTGTTTGCTGTGCAAACGACAATTTCCTAGCAAGGAAGCGTTGCTTCGGCATCAACAATTGTCAGATCTTCACAAACAGAATTTGGAGAATTGGTATCAAGTGCGTGGCTTGGATCCCAACGATCCACAGCAAAGAAACAACAAATATCGAGATCGTGCCAAAGAAAGAAGGGCGAAGTATGGAGAACCAGAGCCCCCACAGCCGAATAAACTGAAAGAGAAATATTTAAAAACCAGGGTCGAGGAAATATCTGTGTCCTATGAGGAACCCACGAGAGCTGGTATCGGCTCGGACAATGTTGGCAATAAATTGTTACAAAAAATGGGGTGGAGTGAAGGAATGGGTCTTGGAAAATCGAACCAAGGTAGGACAAGTATCATCGAGGCGGAGAGAAGGGTTCCTACGGCTGGTCTAGGGGCGAAATCGTCATCGTACAGCGCCTTACCCGGGGACACGTACAAAGATTGTGTAAAGAAAATGATGTACGCACGTTACCAAGAACTGTCTGACACATAATATGTCGAATATCAGTGAACATAGATTTTATACACACACAACACACACACACACACAGCACACACAAAAGTACTTGTACTCAACTTTTTCCATAGGCAAATAGGTATGTACACATATTATCCAATTAGTATGCCGATTGCGTACTGGTAATTGATAACGGTGATAATCCATTCTTGGGAATACACGTTACAATTTCTTTTTATATTTTTCCTGTACGTTTACGTAATATATTAAGTTACTTCATTATGCTAAGATTCTTAGAAGCTAATAAACTGATAATATTAGTATTCGCATACGCTGTTTTTTTTTTTCATTAAATTCTAGTATGCGCCATGTTACATGATAGTATTTAAAAAACAAAAACACTTCATTCGCGTGATATTCTCTAGCTTTACCTCTTGCAATGGCACTACAGAACGCAAACTGTTTTTCTTGGCCTTTGTTACACATGTATAATACTTACCCAAGAATGAACTACGTACCAGTAACGAATTAGTTCAAAGATTACCACAGTAAGCAATTCTTGTCTTAACAATTTTGTGCACAATGTAGTACTTTTCATATTTTGAGGGTAATAGTTATCTTGAAGAATTACGAAATATCTTTGAATGTGAATCGAAAGATCAGTCGCCTTTAAAAACGATTTTTCTGTTGCATGACTTGAATCAAACTTCATAATGCTTCTTCAAGAAAAATCAAGCTAAGTATACCTAGTGCGACTAGATTCATTACTAGCTCATTATATATTTATTGTATTGTAACAAATTGAATTAAATTTCATAATTTCTTTAGAATGTAACTGTGTCCGATTTCACGTACACATATATAGAGAAATAATTATATTTATACTCGCACACGTATACGTCGAATTTTCTTTTTATTATTAATTTACGTCGCAATTTTGGAAATCGTACATTCTTCGCTATATATACACATTTCTACAGTCATTCTTAAACCTTATCGTTATTTTTTTAATTATACATGCAGAACCCATGTAATAAATAAGTTACAAAATGATGATAATAATGATAATAAAAATACACGCGGCATTATTGCTTGCACTACACTTGTGTCCGTTTTTGAGAGATCGAAGCTCTTCTCGCTTTTTTCATTCATTTTGTCAACCAAAAGTAAAAAAAAAACATTTAAAGCAATATATACGATTCATAGATTTTTTATCTGTAGAACCCATTGTAAAGTAGATAAAAATGGAAGTCTTAACAGTTCTATGAATATTCCATACAATAAATAGTTACTTTAATACACTCCTTGTAATATTCACACTTGTACTTATACGTGCGTACGTATTTTCGATGATTCGAAATTTGAACTTAAAAGTTCGTTATTGAAAAATGAAATTCTTTTGCATTACATGCAAGCAGAAATTCTTATAGTATATTATATTTATCACATTAAAAATACTTGGAATGGGTTACGATCAATAATACAAGTTCAGAAACTATTCGATATACGTAACGATTGCTTTGGTAATATTTGGCGATCAGCAACACACAACTTATTCTACTTTATGTGTTTCTATAATTTAAAGTAAAAAATAATGTTCTAATTACAACACTAGTATTTTTTCGTAGATAAAAACTCTGTATTGAAAAATATCGAGTATTACCTGTAAACTACGAATAAATTAGGGAAAAATTGATTGACTACAAGTTTCTATTTAAGTAAAGAAGTTTTGTACTATTAAAACTGTCTTTCTTTAAAAAATCGACTTTCACCAAATACCGTGTTAAATGTAAAGAGGAACAAAATATAGGACAAACGTCTGCTACAGATACAACTCTGTAGATTAGTGTAAACAATTAGTTCGAACGGACTGCATGGGTAATAAGCGAACAACTGTTAAACAGTTCGTTCCTAAAATGTAACATGACGATAGTAAATGTTTATCGACGAAACATTTCTCCAGTTACATCACGGAACAATCGATAGTAATACGAACATGCTATGGCAATGTCTTTGGTATATGTAGTATAACATGTACCATTTATGAATGAGATCTACATATAGTATAAAAAATTCAACAGTGGCATCCACTTCTCTTTCAATTTCATGCTACTAGAAAATTGATACAAAACTTATCTTTGTGCAATTTCATATCAGATAATTCTCTCTAGTTAAGAGTATTGTTGCTAAATGAAGTTGCAGGAAATATCTTTAAAGAACAAGGTTTGTTCATGAAACAATCTAAGGTCAAACATTTAAAAAACTAAACGTCTGCTAAGATCCATGAATACAATGGCCTTAACTGATGATTCAAGACCCTGTATTCAAGATTACTAATTCCATCTGTGTCATATCTTTTAGCACCAGTTTCTAAATTTTCGAATCTGGCATTACTTGGAGTTTCTTTCTTATGCGTTAACATATAATACTGAGCAACATCAGGTCCAAAACGAGTGACCTAAAACACACAAAAAAAATGTTAGTAGTTTTGACTTTGTTCTGTTACTTTTCATTTTAGTATTGATGCTCATAAAAATACCTGGAAACCTCTGGATTGCAGACGACTATAAAAGTCATCATCTTCTCCACCCCATCCATAGAAAACATTTGAAAACCCATTAGCTCGCTCAAATTGTTTACGAGTAAGTGCAATAGCACCTCCAAACAAGCCAGTGTAAGGTAAATTATAACGGAATGTGTTCACACTTGAGCTCATATGTCTAGGCATTTTGGTGCAGGCATAAATATTGTCAGGATTTTGGGGTATTAAGTCTATGTCTTGAAAGATGAAGCAATGAAAGTCGTTCACTTTGGTTGCTTCTGCATACCCAACGTTAAATAATTTAGCTCGATTAAATTCTCGCATAGGACTCTGCTCTATCACGAATATCCTATAGTCAAGATTTTGTGATTGCAGAAAAGGATGAATATAGTTCATAAAAATGGTCAGTTGTGTCTGTCGATTTCGATACGGCAATATGATAGCCACGTTGAAAAGGGGATGGCAATTGAGGGGCTTCCATTGTCCTCCAGGTAATATACCTAGGCGTCGCGCCATTGCCACTGGATCTTCTCGCGGATGTTCTTCGGGATAAAGTAAGTGAGATCTCCTGGGATTAATCGCGACCATGCAAGAGTTGTCTTTTGCCGGGTAGGATCTTTCCATCTCGTCATAGATGTCTTCTGACTTTATGAATGTGTAATGTGAAGCAAATCTAGCTGGATGCAGACAGTAACCCAGGACCAAGATTATAGTAACGGTGTAAGACAATCCACGCGCGTAATCATAGAAAAATCCAACGAACATTTTCAAAATATTAACGATGCCTCTCATCCTATCCTTCGTTGCGATTCAGCATTTCAGTGAAATAAGTTACTTATATCTGTATTGAAGACAGGCAGTAATTTAAATCTAACGACTTCATGTGACTTTCATGTAAGTCGGAGTCATTTCAGTATCATTTTACGATTCGAAATCACAGATTGTTAAATAAAGACACATTTGGTTAACACACACACACGTTTTGATGAACCCGCACCAAACCAATGCTGTCTAAGGTCTAAGCCTTGCTCGCGAGTAAATCGGGCTTTCCGCTACTTCGTTTATGTTGTCAAGACAACCGAGACGCTAAGCATGACCCCATCAATTGTCATCTGCGTCGTTTGCGTGAATCTTTGCATTTTCTGTCTCTTATTAAGGTTAGCGCGTGAGAGGTTCTATCCGTGAATAGACTCGTCCAAACGATATATATCAGCAGTTATAAAGTAATGAAAAACTAAGCGCTTGCGCAAAGCTCAATCCGTTGAACGATTTCACTTTGAGTGGTCGAAATGAAAACTTCTTGATGTAATCAGTACAGGGTCAGATTATAACAGATTAGTGGATCTGATGGGTAAATGAATGTTGATAGATCATTTAATAACGCTTTATTTAAAGCTTCATATCAATCATATTAACTTTGATTAATCTTCAAGATATTACATTTGATACATAGATAAATTACTTTGAATGATATAGAATCTTTATATTTCTTGTCTCCAAATTTGTTATCGACTTTTGGTGTACGTTTTTAATTTAAACAAATGGAATAAGAATAGTGGATCTACGGGGTAAATAAATGTCGATAAATCATTTAGTAACGCTTTATTTAAAGCTCTGTGTCAATCAAAATAGCTTTGAGTAATCTTCAACATCTTGCCCAGCAAATGCTTATTTAACAGCATAATTATCCACATGTATACATTTATGTACATGAATAAGTTATGTTTGCATGATATATAATCTTTATATTTCTTTTCTATTCAGTACATTCGTCAATGAACTGAAATGGGGCATGACATTTCACTTGGTTTGTTTTCGACTTTCGGTATACTCAGACGTTCAAACACATCCAACGTGTCCCTCACGAACTGATCCATCATTGTCCGAGTATGTTTTGGCGTAGGAGCCAATCTTAATCTTTCTTCTCCCTTCGGTACCGTCGGATAATTTATCGCTTGTACGTAATGACCTTTTTCCTTTATCAAGAAATCAGCCAGCTGACTGCATAGTAAAGGGTCTCCGACCTAAAACAGAATTGCATTCGAATAGTCAACTAAAGTAACCCAAAAAAAAGACAATATATGTTACCAACTTTTATTGGAATAATATGCGAAGGCGATGGTTCCACCGGTAAACGAGCCATGGTCAAAATAGATTTCATATAAGCAACATTTTTCTGATGGTTAGCTCTCAATGCCCTTCCTTCATCCGAAGCTAAAATTTCAACAGCAGTAAGAGCGCCATATAATACTGTTGGTGGTAACGACGTCGTGAAAATAAAGCCTGCAGCATAACTTCGTATCATATCTATTAATTTTGCAGAACCAACAACATAGCCGCCAACATTTCCAAATGCTTTGCCTAGGGTACCAGATATGATGTCCATCTTATGGAGTACCCAATCTCTCTCTCCAATACCAGCACCTGAATATCCATACAGGCCAACGGCATGAACCTCATCAACAAATGTTATTGCACCATACTTATGAGCAACATTACACAACTCTTCCAAAGGACATATATCACCAGTCATAGAATGTACTGTTTCAAATGCAACAATCTTTGGCACAGTTTTATCTAGTTTAGATAGCAGTTCCTCCAAGTGTTGTACATCATTGTGCCTGAAAATATGCTTTGGCACACCACTGTTTTTTATCCCTTGTATCATAGAAGCATGATTGCCAGCATCGGAGAAGATATGACAACCTGGTAGAAGTTTTGCCAATGTATATAGAGTGGAATCATTAGCAACAAAACAAGAAGTGAACAATAAGCCAGCCTCCTTCTGATGCAAGGATGCAAGTCTATTCTCTAGCATTTCATGGCCCATAGAGTTGCCGGATATGTTTCTAGTTCCACCTGCACCTGCTCCAAACTTATCCAAAGCTTCTCGAACAGAATTTGTCACAGCTGGATGACGAGACATCCCTAAATAATCATTAGAACACCAGACAGTGATTGGTTTTGGATCATTGGAATATTCCATAGCAGTTGGGAAACTCTGTGCCAACCTGTTCACTTTTTTAAAGATTCTATAAGAGTGATCTTTCTTTTTTTTCATGATCTGTTCATGGAAAAATTCCTCGTAAGGAAAGCTTGGTTCTTCATTCAATTCGGTGGAAGCCACATTTATAACGTCTTCCTTGACCGTGGGACTGGCCATTTTCACAGCAGTATGTTCTTTGGCCAAAAATGGACACTGACTCTCAATGGTCTTCTGAATTTGCTGAGTCTCTGTGCAGTCAGCTTGAGTTCTAAGCAACTGAGACATATATGGACACAGCTGGCGATAATTTGTCAACAGAGATGATCCATAATTATGAATGTAACTTGCAGTCAAACGAGTTAAGAATGGGCACGGCATGTTTCTTGGGTTGCCTGAAACAGATTAAATAGGATTTGATATAATATCGCCATTGTATCCGAGATAATGTGATGACATTAGGAGGATGCTTCAAAGACTTGATAAGAAAGAAGAAAGATGACTGAGCAAAAATTTTTTTGTATGACACTACATAGTTACTTAATTCTCGACTTGTGACAATCATGAAATCGAGGTCAACGGTGTATATAGAAAGTTCAGCGACTGTTAAGTAAAAGAGAAAGTAGTGCCACAATTCACGATGACACAACGTTCACTTACCTTTCGCGGTGACTGATAAATGATAAGCGTTAGCGTAATGGACACACTGGCGAACCAACTGAAAATATGGAAAGACAGTTCTAAATAACGAGATGACGTAAATGATTGCCTTGTGGCCGATAGCCAAATGAACCAAATTCAATGGAAGAACGTAGAGACAAACAGAAGGCGAGCACCGATTCTTTCGCTCTGGCAGCTAGGCCAAGACTGAATGTACCTACTCTGGTAAGTTCGCTTATCAAGGGACGGGATTCGTCGGATTCGAGAGGTCGAACAGGACAATCACACGTGATCGTATTTCCGTTCACCGCTCCGGGCTTAATTGTTTTTTTCTCTTCTTTCTTCCTTAACCTTCAGAGAATTGCTATGATTGTTTAGATGGGAAATCATTACAAAAATGAGTGTATAATTTCGTATAAGGACATGCGCAGTATTCAAAACACGCATCGATTTTTATAATTAACATTACGAAAATCAAATGTTCAAAATTTGATATATTTGTTCTTACAACTACTTCCGGAAGCTAATTTTTAAATATATCTGGCGGTTAAAGTTACTCGTTTAATTCCAGGCGGATTAACATTTTCGAAAAGTGTCGTTGGACAGGTAAAAACAAGTATTCAAGAAATAATGAATTGTTTTTTGATTTTTTACAAGATTATAATGATTCAGCAATACGACTTATGAAACAAAATATTTTTGTTGTACTCCTGATTCGCTCGAGTAATAAGGTCTGAACAACAATCTTTCTTCTACTGTTGGATTATTATTAATAATCACGAAAATATTATCATTCTTATCTTTTGCTCAGTATAAGTAGGCACTGCAACTATTGCTGTCAATGGTTTTATTACGTGAAAGATTTATTTCAATGTCAATTGTCCTAGAACCACATATACATATCTGATCGTGTCGATAGATGCAATAATAAAATGATTGACTCTATGAACACGCAACTAGAAATAGAATTTATTTGCATAACTGGTTCACTTGTATTTGATGTCAGTAATCGATGATCTCGTTAACCACCTGCCTATTTATTCACTAAACAAGGTCTTCCGTTAGTTGCAACTAATTAAGCTGGTCGCTAAACGCGCGGAGCACGTGTATTAACATTACGACTTATACAAGAGTTCTTCCTTATTCCTTAAATCGGACATTCGTTTGCACACCTCGCTAAATGTTCCATAATTTAACAATACATCACATTTGTAATAATAATTATTCGTCTGCTACGTCACGTTATAAATATTTATGTAAAAAAGTGCAACGATCAACTGCTTATCAAGGCTTTTACGGTTCTAGACGTCATAGTAACGGTAAAATTATTATGAATATTTCATTAACTCGTGTGTATAGACACATTCAATAATATACAGAATCTGCTTAACGATAACAATAAGTATTATTTTATGCTCGGTGATAATAGATCTTCTTGATTAAATTATTCAGATGAAAAAAAAAACAAGGCTTCTTTTAACGAGAACTGTGGGAATAATCCTACACGCTACGATTGTTTCCCAAGTACATTTATAGAGCCCCATTAGTTAATTGAACGCGCAACACGCGAGCAAGCACTTAAGCCGTACAAATAAAATACAAACATCGTGAACTTAAAACATATTAACCGTTCAAATTGTAAAACGTATTTCTAGTTCGATCTCAAGAACAAATTGCTTAACAAAAAAAAAATGTTTAAATATTTCACTACTCGAGCCTTTTCTGTGCATTGGAGTGTTTCATAGCTTTTCTCAGAACGTCGATATTTACACTCACCATAATACTAGAAGGAATCGTCTATAGAAAATATTCGGTGACGGAATTCGGTTTTTTGTATTGTTCGGTACAAGGTGTAAGCAACGGCACAGTTTTGTTACGACTAACCGAGTACCGCTCGGTGAATGCATTTAACGAAACCTGGTTACGTTAAACTTTTCCTCGTTTTTGCAAACTCACGATTACGCTAGTATCAACGACCAATCGTTGCCGTTGAATGGGTCGACATTGTAATTCGCCTCGCGTATAATATCATGATTGTATTTCACGTCTGGACATTCCCAGCTTCGGCACGATGTACTTCCCCATAAATAACAACATATGTGTATGTAAGTAAATGAAAAAAAAAACAGTAGAAGGAAAATTTATGTTTCAAACGATAACCACTTAAGTTTATGTTCCTAATTTGTAATTCAATAATTAGTACGGGAAGTAGGGTCAAGCTAGTTGTCCAACTGGGCAAAGAATGATCCCTTATGAAATATCGAGTCAAATTTGAAGATTAAATATTTTCCATTCGAAACTGTATTTACGAGAAAATCGTATTTAAAAATTTATCTGACACGCGTACAGTGGTCCCTGATAATCAGTAGAAGTGGCAAGCAATGAACAGACACGGCAATCAGTGAAAATCATTTTAATCGTCATTCCCCTCGAAAACAAAAATCTATTCGTAAAAATTTTATTCTATATTAACTTTTGATTCACTCTTTTTAAAACGAATTAATATTGTTGCGCAGCTTGTAATAGAGAAGTGATTTCCACTGATACGATCTTTTGATGTTTCCTGTTTGTGACTGACGTCGCGAGGAAACGCAGCTATCGTTATGATTTATTCTCGACCTTCGCAACAATCACTCGCTGGGAATCCCTTCACGGAAATTAAAGAACCTGCTAAATGAGAAATTATGTGTACATAGATGACACTAAAAAGTACAATACACTAGAATGTCATTCCGATAAACACAATGTTGCATATATTAACCTAAACGTGCGTCAGAAGATAGGTTCGAGGGAAATCTCCATATACGTAATCTTCATTTCAAAAACTAAATATATTGCAGTAAATAAACATTGTGAAGTCGCTGAACCAACGGTGTGTATCGTTTTCCCTCCCAAAAAGTATAAGGAAACATAATTGAAACACATAGGATAAGTATACTCTTACTATATATATGTAAGAATAATTTTTGCAATTCACAAACTCGAAAAAATCTCGGACATTGCGATTAAAAATGGTGTTTAATAGTGTTAAATTATATCTAGAACCCTCGTGTATGTACATACTGCAATAATAGTCATGTATGTAGCATTATGAATTACTATTTAATTTTATAATAGATAATAAATATGGTTAAAATCGCCTCGTGGCTCCACTTATGGCGAAACATTCAAGCCATTAACCAATTAGCACTATAGTTTATCACTAGATGGCGATGCCATACCGTTACGGCGCTCGATTTAAAATAAAAATTGTTTAAAGAATAAAGAACTATGTTTATTTTAAATTATTCACTGAGGTCTCTTGTACTAATACTATCCAACAGTAAGAGCTGTTTGTTAAAATTTTAATTAATATTTAATTTTTAATAAAATTGATGCTGATAAATAATGTTGCGCCATCTAGTAACAAAAGAATAGTACAAATTGAATAGTAGCTTAGGTGTTTTGCCGTAGATGGCGACTAGAGTTTTCTGACCACTAATCCAGAGTTTATGCAAAAATTAAATAGTAATTTAAAATGCCACAATAGTCAATGCACAATATTAGTTTAGAAGGTCTCACATAATTATCCGACACCAATGGAGAAAATACAATGGACATCAGGTACCTTCAAGTAATACAGCTTAAGAAGGATATGATTTCGGGTCTGTCGGAGTGGAAAGGATCACGATTTTGATCATTAATGTATGTACCGTTAAAAACACTCGTGTTATTTCTCCCACCAAAGCACGAGACCAACCAAATGTGGTTTAACGTTACTGACTCGCCTGGTCTCGACATCCTCGATTTCGTAAACATACAGGGTGTTTCTAAAGCATATCCTTTAGACTGGATTTATGAAAAAGACCTCCATGAACGTCTTGGACGATATTGACGTGCTCTTTGAATTCAGCCAGGAATACTTACCAAATATCTATAGAAATCTGTAGATTTAGTGAATAAAATAATTTGAACCTAGTCAGTTCTATATCATGCAAATTTGCCTCACAAATGGCAGGAACACCTTGTACGATACGTGACGTTTACAGGAACACTACCACACGTATCAAAAACGGTACAGCCAATCGGGAAGTGACAGCACTGCGCGGGGTATCGTATACTGTTGGCTAACTTCTTGTAAAAGCCACGTCTTAGGCGGACAGTGTCTTGGAGTGTCCAGCATTGTCCAGAAGTGTCTTTCGAAGGAGCGTAGACCGAATTCCGAATAACGACCTGCACCGTGATCTACGATGCTGACGAAGTACCTCAGTTTTCTTTTCTTGGTCCTAGTTACTGTCCTGGCCGAGGAAAAGGACGTAGTTGACCTCACCGATGATAACTTCAGCCATGAATTGGAGCGGCTCGAGAACACACTCGTTATGTTTTACGCACCATGGTAAGACATTTTTATGATAATTATAAATTTTCGTAATTAGAAATAGATTCTTTATTTCTCTGTCAGTCTGTTCAGTACATTGCTGTCGAGAAAAACAAGGAGACAAAACGAGTATCAAATCTCCGGTCTCGATGTTTGATGCCGGCTTGTGGCATGTTATCCAACGAGACCATGTTTTCTTACATAAAATAGAGTCATTATATCATTAATTACTTTCCTTTGTAATTCGTTGTAAGCGATGTCCCAGTTTCATACAGTTTTTGTGTAATTTTAGGTGCGGTCATTGTAAACGGTTGAAGCCAGAATATGCCAAAGCAGCTGAAATGCTCTTGGGCAATGATCCTCCAATTAGTCTTGCCAAAGTAGATTGTACGGAGAGTGGAAAGGAGACTTGTAACAAATATTCGGTCAGTGGTTATCCAACATTGAAAATCTTCTCCAGGGGAGATCTAGTCAGTGATTATAATGGACCCAGAGAAGCTGCAGGTATTGCCAAATACATGAAGGTATGAAGAATTTCTATAAAATATGATTCAAATAATAAGTGGAACGTGTAACTGAAATTGATGCATTTCAGGCACAAATTGGTCCAGCAGCTAAGGAATTAACCGATGAAAGCTCTTTGAAGTCATTCTTAGAATCCGATGAAGTAGGTGTTGTTGGTTTCTTTGAAAATGACAATTCACCTTTAGCAACATCTTTCCATTCAGTGTCCAAAAAACTCAAAGAGAAAGTCAGATTTGCCTACACCAGTGCCAAGTCTCTTCTAGACAAAGAAGGATACAAGTAAATAATTAAATTATCTATAGAACAAACTTAAAACTCATACTGAATATAAATTAATCGTATTCTATATTGAAATTCAGGAACACCATCGTTTTGTATCGACCAAAAGTACTGAAGAACAAGTTTGAACAAAGCATTGTGAAACACGAGGGTGGAGACTCCATCGCAGATGTTCAAGAATTCATTAACAAAAACTAGTAAGTTCAAGGGATACCCTTTTCATGGACACTTCACGAGATATATTTGTTACAATGCAATCTTTGTCTTCCAGCTTCGGTATCGCTGGTGTCCGTACACGAGACAATAGTGGAGAATTCAAGAACCCACTGGTGGTCGCATACTACTCGGTGGACTACGTGAAAAATCCGAAGGGCACCAATTACTGGCGCAACAGGATCATCAAGGTTGCCAAGGATTTCCCGAAATTGAACTTCGCTATTTCATCTAAGGATGACTTCCAGCACGAACTGAATGACTTCGGAATAGACTTTGTGAAGGGCGACAAACCTTTAATCCTTGCTAGAAACGCGAACAACCAGAAGTTTGTTATGAAAGACGAATTCTCGGTTGAAACGTTCGAAACATTCTTAAAAGATCTTGAGGCAGACGCCTTGGAACCATATCTGAAGTCGGAACCGATTCCTGAGGATAACAGTGGACCTGTTAAGGTTGGAGTAGCGCGAAACTTCGATGAGGTTGTTACGAACAACGGTAAAGATACGTTGATCGAGTTCTATGCTCCTTGGTGCGGTCACTGCAAGAAATTGGCACCTGTCTTCGACGAATTGGGCGAGAAGCTTGCCAATGAGGACGTAGAGATTGTTAAGTTCGATGCTACCACCAACGACGTTCCGTCGCCTTATGAAGTTCGAGGATTCCCAACACTTTATTGGGCACCAAAGGATGCCAAGGATAAGCCTGTTAAATATGAAGGTGGCAGGTTAATCGATGACTTCATCAAGTACATCGCTAAGCACGCAACTGACGAACTTAAAGGATTTGATCGCAAAGGCAAACCCGCGAAGTCGAAGAGCGACGAGTTGTAAATTTTTCTCTCTAAACAAATACGTGATACGATTACTACATTTTTATATGTCTCAGCAGCAAAACGTGGAATAAGATTTTCCTTGTGGGACTTACTAGTGTGTTGAGAGGAGTGGCATGCAATTAAATCTAAGGGCTAACAATTTTTCTAGTTCCAGAGATAGGTCTGAATGAAAGGGTGGTACCCCCCCCCCCAAACAATGCACGCTGCAGTTATTTTATGAAGTATTTGAATGCGAAGTGAACCGTCATTAGCATAGGATAGTCTACATGTATTATGTGACTTTATAATATTGTATATCGCGTAAAAGTATACAGAACTGATTTAGAATTATCGTTGCAATGTTTTCCAGATTTGGTGAGTTATATCTAAGAATCGATTCATTCCATTTTTCGTATTTGTCTACGACAGTTCAAGTTAATCATTTAACTTTTACTTATATCGAGAAAGAATATAATATCGTTTGTACGGAACTTTTGATACATTGCAACTAAAATGATATTCCTTGTTAAAATGACTGTACTTTTAAAATTTGCTGATACGCAATTTTTCGAAAATACATTTTGAAACAGAGAAATTTTGTTCAATAAAATTTGTAAATGATTTACAATATATTCGATACGATTTAAATATTCACGAACCTTCCCAAATTCCTTCTTTAGTATTCAATGATATTAATGATAATAAATATGACGAAAATAGTGTCTTGATATGTCAATATTATCACAATTATGTATGTGTATATAGGCTTGAATGTTTATATTTCACTTTGTGCACATTGAACAATTCTGGTAATAGCAATTTACAAATCTCGACAAGTAACTTTTATTGTTAATTACAATTTATTGTTATAGCAATCATGGAGTAGATATCTTCTTACATATAAAAGCTACTTAATCATAGAATGATCAGCTAGAACTTGGAAAAATTCACACTCAATTCGTTTTTTTTTTCTTTCAGTAATCATAAAAAATAACGTTCATCTTAGTATCACTGAAAAAAATACTACGTATGAATCATTTAAGTTCTTGCCCTCGGAAGTGTGTAACTTCTTAAGTTAGCTGCACGACGAACTACAATATCCTTGTTGTAAAACTAATGGTATGGGACTGTGGAGGCTTAGAAGACAACGTTTCCTATCTGTTCCCTTATTCGCATTGTATTGTGTGTAACATCTTTCCGTTTCAACGTTCGAAATCATATTCGAGTAGTATGTTTACTACATATGGTATGTATGTACGTGTGTATTGCTCGCAACATTATCGTAGGAAAATGAGATAAAGCAATTCGTACGTTTATTGCTTTTTCACACTACGGACAGAAAGAAAGAAATGCTAAAGAAAAAATTATATGAGCCATTCGTTAAGGCATTACGTCCTTTATCCCAAACAGGATATGAATTTATATACAATCTTCAATCCCATATGGACCAATATAAGTGCCCAAAGTAAAAGTATGTTTTTCGTCGCTTACCCCCTTCTTTTTTTCGTGTACAACAATGAACTCGATGGATTCTATTGACTCTCGTAATAACTCATCGCCACTTTGATCTTTGTCGAACAAAGAAAAACACGAATAAAATTGTTTACTCTTATCTCAGAACTTTGTGCATTTATCAATGTTTAATCTCAGTTATAAAAGATACGAGTAGTTCATTCATCTCTTCTTTCTCGTGACAGTATATTATTTAAAAAAAATAAATCAGTCTCACAAACGCTCTTTCTGACAATGATCAATACGATAATTACATTTTTTTTTTCATGAGAAAAGAAAGTCGTTACATCAGTTCCTTTGGCGGTACCATAATATTTCGTTATAAATGTTATGGTAATGTCGTCTGTACAAATTTCTAGCGATTTATTTCGTCTGAAATCACAATCGCATTTATTACACCATAAAATAAATGGTCCATAAAGGATTAACTGATATAGTTGCAATTAACAGTACATCATCAGAAATTATTATAAAAGAACGCTTGCAAACTCTGCAATAGCCCACATTTGTTCATTAATTATCCGACAAATTTGTTTACTATGCAAATGATAAGTTTTGTTCAACGCTGCAATAAGTCCTGTTCACCAATGGCTCAGCAAAATTTATGCATCAGAGCTAATCAACGATGCTCGGTGCCTTCGTTTCATCAGTTGACCAATGGATAAACAAAACCAATGGCTGATGCAAAGCTTGACTAAAACCTCACGGAGTTTTGGTTAAAAGCGTAATTCAATGGTAGTACTGCTAATTGTTAAAAAAAAAGTTTGTTGAACACAATTCCACAGTCATTCATTGAATCAATGTCAAAAGGCTGCATTGCAGTCGTTAATTCAATAGTTCTTGCAAAAAGCAATGATCTTATGAACCTTATAGCTTAGTTTGAATAGAAGACGCGTAAGTTTAAAAGTGTGTAGAACAATATGTGTACAAATGAACGAAAAAGAAGAGCAAGAAATAAAAGGAAGGAAAGTACGGGACGATTCAACAGGCTCGATAATCACTTTTACAAAGTAACTTGAAATTTGTGAATTAATCGGTGTTTTTTTTTCTTTCTTTTTGAGGAACACACATTACTTTCAATCGAAATTCTTTTTTTTTTTTGAAAGTATCATTGTGTACGTCACACGATGCTACTATAAGATCTAACATGTTCTGTGAAATTTGTTCGCTCTAAATTAATAGAGTCATTCACAAACATTCCTCGACTACATTAATCGTATCGAATCAACTTGAAAAAGTATCGCGTAACAAAACACAAATTGAGGACATCATTTGTATGCTTGATTGGATACAAGGGATGTGTTGTCGAAATACATAAATATAATATAGCCGCTGTTATAATCCGTAATGTTAGTGTCATCGTATTACAATATAATAATAAAAATAATTAATAATAATTATAATAATAATACATTTAGCCTAGTTGGTATTCTTATAGATCAAAATGATCCGCTGGTCTACTTACGCAATTTTATAACTGCAATATATGTTTGTTACTTTTTTTTTTGTTTAAGAAATATCGATAATGCGATGATTCGATAAAATAGCGACGCAACATTTGGAATTCTTAACGATTTGCTTTAAATTCTTACATTGCTTTCTATGACTTTGCATTGCATATTATGTTTCTACTCTCCCCATTTCACTCTCTCTCTCTCTCGCTCTCTCTCTCTCTTTTATACTTTGTTACGAATTCCCCCAACTCTGTCGTCCCTTTCTTCCGCATATTTTTTTTTTATTACCAAAAATAAACAGCCACTACGATTAAAAAAAAAACATGTAGAATGCATATAATAGTAATGAGATACTAATAATAATAGTAATAATTGCTACAATGATATAGATAATTATGTACCGTAAATGTAAATAGTTGGTATGACAATTGTTTAATTGTTTAAACTCGAAGCACAATTCATTACCATTAAAAAATACAATCAAGTAGTCATTACAATATACATTATGGTTTTTTTTCTTCATATATAGCACATATACTTGTATTGAATTTAGTTAATGTTTAAGTTTCCGGTTTCATCAATGACAGTTTTTTATATTGCGGGCGCATTTTGTGGTTGTTTTTCGTTTTTTTTTTAAATATAGATTTGTTTTATTGTGTAAAATAATTAAAGATAAGTTGTTATTATATTATGGTTTCCGCTGGGGGCCTCCGGCATAACAACTAGCTCCATTGCAGCTAGCTCCGCAATTCCATTATTTAGCCCGTTACCAGGCTTACTTGGCATTTTACTTAAAGAAGCCGACATCTTCCCTTCTTCTTCTTCTTTACCTAAGAATTCATATAATTATTCGAACAACATTCTTTTCAGTGAGCACAGAATTTTATACACAACTTACAGTTCAAGGGATACTTACTTGTAGCGCAGCTCGAGTTGCCGTTTCAAATACTTCCCTAATACCCTCCTTACTCTTAGCAGAACATTCAAGATAAGCGAAAGCGTTAATTTTTTCGGCCATAGCTCTACCTTCTTCTGGCTTTACTGGTTCCTGTTTCATCTTGCTAAGCTCCTTGATGGTATTAGGATCGTTGCGCAAGTCTTTTTTGTTTCCAACAAGGATAATGGGCACATTCGGGCAAAAGTGCTTCACCTCAGGTGTCCACTTCTCGGGAATGTTCTCCAAGGAATCGGGACTGTCGATGGAAAAGCACATCAAAATAACGTCTGTGTCAGGATACGACAATGGACGCAACCTATCATAATCTTCTTGTCCAGCTGTGTCCCAAAGAGCCAGTTCCACCTATTAGAGTAGTACGTTTTCAAAGATATAATTCGGAAAAAGAATTACATGAGCCACAAATAATCATTTTTGGAGATCTCACCTGCTTCCCATCGACTTCAATGTCCGCGACATAGTTTTCAAAGACCGTGGGTACGTACACTTCGGGAAACTGGTCTTTGCTGAAGACTATGAGTAAGCATGTTTTACCACAAGCGCCATCACCCACAATAACCAATTTCTTCCTAATGGCTGCCATGAATTCTAAAACGAAAATCATTGTATGTTTATTTAATACAGCTACACTACGGTTCTGCACCATAAAATTATATGACATTTGCATGTAAATCTCTTTGAAAATGTATCTATTAATGAAGAAGCAAAAAATACACAATGGTTACACACTATTATTAAATTTTCATTTAGATAACTTGTAAGTATTAAAAATTGCCAAATGAAACATCAGTTGTCCTAACAACTTACCTATGCATGTATAGTAATGTAATTCTTTACAATATAGTTATTAAAAATTCACTTAGCTCGTTAAATTTTATCAAATATTATGTTTCTAATACTATACTTTTTGCCAGTGATGATTAATACATACAGAATGTGCATTCAGCATTTGTACAAATAAAATAATGAAAATGTGCACTTATAATTTCTAGTGCTTTGTCCTATAAATGCATATACACATAAACATTATGTCTATATATGCGTAAATTCTTACATTATAAATAACAGCGAGAATAGTATAAACTAAGTATTAACAATCTCTAGACTCTGCTTTTAGCTCGGAAACTATCAAAGTTCTAATAGTAATGAATTGACAAAATTAAACAAAAGTAACATCTTTTTGGAAACACCACCAAAAAATAATCTAAGGGCATGCAGCAAGTGAGCATGTAATACACATAAGGTAATCACGACTTAATGGGAAATGCAAGTGCCGAGGAAATGGAATTAATGTCACTGTTAAAGGAAGAGATACATTTCCTGCAACCTGATGAGGCATAAACAAATGAAAAAGCAATTTCAAATAGACAGATCCGAGAACGAATATAGAGATACAAAAGAAACAGTGAAAGAGATCGAGAAAAAGCATTCTTCAGGATAGAGTTAGGAAGAAGTCAGGGTAATCCTTTGAAACTCTTCACATTAGATTTGCTTTCCGACAATGCTAGAAACAACGACTCGGATTCAAACCTCGTAGGGTATTATTTATTACCTAAAAGTGTGCGCAATTATTTATCATCAGAGAAAATACTAAACTGGTATTAGCATTATGTAATATGTGTACAAACAACATACTCCTTAAAGCCCTCTGTGTTTACTTAAATTTACATCTCTAGATAATGTTTCTAACTTTATTACTGCCAGCTACTTGTACAGTGGGTGTTGTAGATAAGATTCTCTTGTTTTCTATTCTGTTGCTACTTTTATGCTATTTAGAAAGCGACCTACGAGGGCTGAAGATTTAAAGGATATTGACTGGGTCGTACCTGATCCAGGGTACCCCGTATCGTCTGGACCGAGGCATCGGCCCGCATTGCATCCCATGTTTTTAGTCTTTCTTTCAGCGTCTCTGTTTTAAGTGGACATTTTACATGTTAGAATGGATAGGAGGCTGCGAGATCATTGCATGTACTGCACAGATATCATAATTATAAATACGTATGTATGTATCTCATTTTTGTCATAGCTATGTACTTAAACATCTGTAAAAGTATTAAACAAAATCTATAACAATTCAATTTACGATGCCTTTGTAATTTCAATTCTTAACTCTTTCCTTCGGATACATTGAAAATGTGTATACTACAAGGCTATATACAGGGTGTCTTCGAAATCGTGGTATAATCCAAAGGAGGTGATTTGACACGTAAATGTAAGTCGAAAATATACAATGAAATTTTTTTTTATATAGGGCTCCGTTTTTAAGAAAAGCGAGTTTGAACATTCTTTAAGTAGGTACACGTGCACTTAACTATTCAACAATCTGCTTGGTTCGAGTAGTGCATGCATACTTAGCATTTAAGTGCACGAGCACTTAACGAATGTTCAAACTCGGTTTTCTGGAAAACGGAGCCATATATGAAAAAATTTAATTCTATGCTATCGATTTACTGTAACGTGGAAACTGACCTTCCTTCGGATTGTACTGCGATTTCGGGAACACCCGGCGTAAATTTGCCACAGACTAAATGTAATGTGAATTTAATGTTTTCGTAGTCAATGACATTGTGTACACATTTAAATCAAAAGTTTATATAATAAATAAATGCATAAGGTAGGGCCTCTGTTTAATTATCCTACATGGGTGATTGTTTTCATAGTAATACGAGTAACTCAAGAATGTATTGTACATTCCTAACAGATTGAAATTAATTCTACAGCCTTTAATTCCAAACAGAAAGTCTCATGATAATTGTATATTGACTTATTCAGTTACTTCATTTGCATTTTGAAGCACACAAATAAGACTTTACCTTATGCCTTGAAATAAACTAAAAATGGGTCCAAAATGCATGCATAAACATATAAGGTAAATATTTTTTTTTTGTATTGAACATGCACTATTAAGAATTGTGTAAACCCATTAAAAATTATTTTTGGGAAGCTTAAGTTAAATGCAGTAGGCAGTACATTCACATTGTACAAAGATGCTTTATGAAACATTATTATTATTTAGTACCTAACAAGAAATAATCACATATACAAATAAACATATGTATATTAAAACAATTATGTATCGCAACATATGCTGGCATTAGAGTTTCTTTAGCATAAAACGTCAATTCCTCAATGTATGTGCTCTAAAATAAACACAAATATATTTATAATAATTTCAAGTATTTGATACTTGTATTTTATACAGATCCTAGTTGTTAATTTACAAAGGAAACAGTAATTACTTCTAGCTGAGAAATCTCTGATAAGAAGCACACAAGTATCTTCCTTACAAAAACACTTTGAAAGGTCAGTATTCTGTATAACGAAAGACAAAAGCGCTTGGTAAAAATTTGCCCATAAGCAAGGATTTTAGCACAAAGTATTATTTAGAAGTATGCAGAAGCAATGCGAATGAACAGAAAACTGTACATGTCAGTTAAACGAGAAAGGTTATTTGTTAACAGTACAGCAACAAAGTTCATACAATCTTTGGCCTTTGCATGACAAATTACTGTAAAGAGTGTACACTGGACGAAACAGTTGCAATAATTACCTCTGTGCCCCATCAAAATATAAAACCCACATAAATATCTCAATTACCATAAGTACTCCGGACACGAGAATGATTTACAGTAACGTATCAGTCGAAAGCATATATATATATATTCTAAATATATAAAAGGTCGATCGTTCATGAGAAATCGACGCGTTTGGCACTTCGATTACGGCGGAGCAAAAATTCCGATGAAATTATCCCGAGAAAGTGAAGAAACGCGAATGCGAAGAACAGAGGGAGTTCATGGTGTACTCTTGAAAACGGACATAGTATTGCAAACTCCTACTGTGTCAAAGAACGTACCGACCTTTTGTTTATCAGAGATACGAGACGCTGGGTTGATAGGGTGGCAAACAACGACGACGGTGATGACGGCGACGACGACGACGATGACGACGACGGGGACGGTGATGCGGAGGAACGTCAAGACGGACGGATCCGCGAAACGGATCACTTTGCTCAAGTTTCCACAGGAGAGACCCGTAGAGCTTTTTGCCGAATTTTGCACAGCCGGAAGTGCATTGCCGCGTAACGGGGTAAGAGGGCGGGGAAAGGGAGAGGGAGACAGACGGACGAGACTGAGAGGGGGAGGATGGGGGCGCTAGGGGTGCGACAGGACAGCGACGCAGGGGTCTAGAGCCTGGGGGACGATTTACTTACTGAACTAAAAAGCCAGCTCCTATTTCAAACGCTCAGACGAGCATTCCCAAATCACCGATCGAATCTGACCACGCGTCGTTCCTGCTATGATAAACGAAACGGTCGACGTGCGAAGATGCCGTGGATTCGTAACGCATGGCACTCCCTCGGCCCTCTCTCTATATCACGGGAGGAGGAGAGGTTTTTTTTTCCCTCCTTGACACACAGTGTTCTCGGTTGTGGCGCGTTAACAAACCGATTACGCGGGCACGGTTTAGAACACCCGGGCACACAACACAACACACCCTCGCACCACTCCAATCAGTATTACTTAAGAAATAATTGCGTATTTACCTGAAATGTTAAGCGACAGAAAGTCAAGAAAATGGCTGCCCTCGATGGCCACACCTCAATCTGTTGAGTGTGCGGCAATCGAGTAATGAGGGGGGCACTATGCTCAGGACCGTCGCGATAGTACTGAGCACCACCCGCGATCTCGAAAAACGCCCTCGGATTCTCGAGCATCATTTCAAACACGTCGTACGATTTGATATATCTATCGTGTTTGTCGATAGTGACTTGTAGATGCTCAATGATAAATTATGCGAATAATGTATATTCATTCGTTTTTAAATTCATGTCGATCGTTACTTATATTAATAATTATTATTTACAGAGAATAGTTTTACTATTATTATTTTAAATTATTACTTAGCGATTTTCATTATCTACGGTGGAAATTGTTTACTATTGGCTCCAATATTTGGTTTACTCGAAGAATCTGTACATTCTTTGCGTATAAAACGCTATATGACAAACCAAAAATTCCATAAGAACATAAAGATACTTGTACGATGATACGTTTCCACAGTGTATTTGAAAAGATCAATTGTTATTAGGCATATTTATAAATGGTACAGATCTAGAGTGTTCTGGGCTAATCTGTAGATACTGGAATCAAATGAAATTGGGTTCTATCGCATTCTAAGTAAAATAAAAACTTTATTAAACGCTATTAAACTTTATATTATATTGAATATTGGATAATCGTCTACAAATGCATAAAATCCATAATCTAATCATCATTCGTTTAATTAAGGATGACTAAAATCAGACGGTTTTCCAGTAATTGATATAAATGCGATATAATTTTTTTCTTCTTAGAAAACAGATAACTATTAACCGCTTGTGCCATCGAACGCTACGTTCCTGCCCAGTACTCCGAAACCGGCGAATCATGCGCCACCCGCGCACGTCACGAACCTGTGGAGGGACTTTGCGCACGCATCATGTTTCTTGGATGTATTTGTGGGTGGATGACGGAAAGGGTTGGAAAATATGTAAATAATGCTGCATCGCGGCTACGTCTTCCAGCGCCCCTGGTATGTAACACGTGAAAATCAGGATACCAAAACGTAGGGCCATGAAATCAGCAAAAACATGCGCAAACTTACTTATCTTGCGGTTAGAAAGAAAAAAATTCCATTTTTTTTTTTCGACGTGTCACTCGATTATCTCGTTTTCGATAAAATAAATGTTATCTTTCGCTTCAAGAGACACGATGCGTCGTATCTGTAGTTAATGCGTTATTTATAACACTGTGTACATTCGCGCGCGCGTTGGTACAGTTAACCAACGGGTTCTGGGTATGGTAGGAACAATGCAAACGTGCTTAAGAAATCAAATTCAGCCAGCCAAATGGAAAGAAAAATGTACCCTTTGCGAGAAATATTCAATAAGCTTACTTTTTCACGCGTTCAACTACTCTGCAAAGTAATCTGACGGGTTCGTCGAGAGAGTAGTGCTCTAACAGCTAACATGATAAGGGAACTTACCGGCTAAGAAAGACTAAACGAAGGACGATGCTCGTCTACAGTTGAGAACGGCGTATATGGAATTCGCTGTCACCCGTAAATGCGTATTCACGTATTATATATACACACTAAAAACAAATTAGAGCACGAAATATAAAAATGTCCCGTGTGTTTACACGCGGGCTTTGTACGTGCCAAATAAGAATGATGTCACTGGATGACGCACGCCGTATTGGCGTACGCGTGCTATACTAGTTGAAAAGGATAGATTCAGGCGTGAAATTCGAATTCCTAAGGTTCCTTAACTTCGCGAAAAGAACTTCGAAAAAATTGTCAAGCGTAAGAGTAATAAATATGAATGGGGAATTGAGTTGTTTTACTTATAAGGAAAAGGCCGCTGACTTCTTTCATAAATAGTTTGAACTGTATTTTTTTTACTTTTGGCACTTATAAAAAGAGTAACACGAACTTCAAATATTTTAAAAATCATAATTCAATTTGTCATGTATTTAGGATGTTTCGACTGATATACAAACATTAGTAAAGAAGTATTATTTCATACATTTTCAAAGGTATTTTGATTTTCGTACATTGTTATAATCAAGTTGATACAACAAAATGTGCATATGTAATGAAAACAGTACCATAAAAAGTTATAATTTGAGTTCTTCATCATTTTTTAACTAATGCGATATTTAATCATACAGAAAATGACCATTAAAGTAAATAAGTTTATATATTATTACACTGTACAAATCAAAAGTAAAATAGATTTAAAGTCATATTATAGAGTATACAAAGAAATAGCAATCAACATGCCCTCTGAGAGTCATTCTATTCACAACATATTCACCATGTTTGACTTTTATTATCTAATTTTTGCATATCAAATATTAACAGTACGTGTCCAAATAGACAGACTGTTTAAATTTTATGCATTAACTGAATTATAGAAAAATTTCTATGGTATATAACATATGGATATCATTTTAAGACCATAGTATAAATGTAGTCATAACTTTTTGTTTTTCAGTATGTTAAAAAATGACAGATATTTGTCCTGTAACTATTCTGTTTCAATTCAATTTAGTTGCTTCCATTTGTGTTGAATATTTATAACATTTTACAATCACAGGTATCTCAATTCTGTTGTGGTGGCTCAGGATCATTTGGATTTCCTCCCATTCGCTGTCTTACAGACTCAATCAATTCAGGATCAGCATCGTGCATTTGTTGGACCAATTGTTGACCACTAGAAAATGTTTAAATGTATTTGACATTCACAAACTATTACGTATATTGACAAAAAGGATAATTCACAACTTACGCTTCTATAAGTACATCCATATGTCCTCCTTGTTCCACATTTCCACTCACGATATTGCTGACCATATTTTGCAAAGCTGGGTCGGATAACATCTGACGAGTCATGTTCATGAGAGTAGGATTGCTCAAGAGTGAACGGAGATCCATGCCTGGAAATGCACCACCACCTAATCCCATATTATTCATGCCTTGCTCTGCTAATTTCTCCTCAGCTACTTGCAAATTGTTTTTGTAACTTTCATTATCAGGCTCCATCTCCAAAGCTTTCTGGTAATTTTCTTTAGCTTCTTTGTGCCTTTTCAAGCTGGAATAAGCTAAACCTAATCGTCCATATGCTTTACTGTAAGAGGGATCGATAGACAGTGCAGTATGACAATCTTTAATAGCTTGCTGATAACTGCCAATTTTGCTATATGCTGCTGCACGATTACAATAATATACTGCATTGCGACCATCTAACTGAATAGCCCTAAAGGAACAACATTTTAATATTACACATTATGTCCACAAAGATACATCTACCCCTTATATTCATATATAGATTGCATACTTTGTGTAATTGGCAAGAGCTTCAGTGTGTTTCTTAGCTTTCATGAGAACATTTCCTTCATTCTTCAATCGTTCTGCTTCAGCTTTTGCTTCTACAGTAGCCTCCGGGGCTAATTGTGGTTTGGAATTTTCCATTGTGGATTTATATATCTCGTGTAAATTAAAATTTGTTGGAGTATCGGATGCTTGTACATTATAAGCACTTTCCAAACATTGTATGGCTACTTCAAGACTCTCACGAGAATCTTCAGTGATATTTCCATCCTCTAATTGTTGTGTTAAAAATTGAACAATAGCTGCAATCAGCCCCTTGACGGCCATCACTACCTTGAAGGAACTGTTGTATCTAAAATAAAAGATTACACCATGTATTACCTACTGTATTCGAATAACGACATATGTATATTAGAATATAATGTCTCTAATGACAATGTAAAAAAATTTCTCGGTACGTGTCATAACCTCTAAATCGTTTGTCAATTACAAAGAATTTTTGTCGGAGAACGAACTCCTTCGATCAAAGTAAGAAAACAAATATTCTTTCGACAATAATATTTGTATTACACTGTCGATAAATTCTATTAATAAACTGGTAAGTGCTTTTTCCGCTAATTCATTCTGCGTTAACATAACCAACAGAACACGCCGGATAAAATGAGTGGCAATCAAACTTCATTGATGGTGTTTCAACAATTTCAGGCTAGCAAAGATATGTTTTCTACCTTAATCGTTGTGAAATACGTTAGAAGTATTTGCCGAGGATGCAAAAATATTGTCCAGTTCGACGGAATACAGTGTATGACAGTTACGTTTCAAGTCGTTGACTCGGTGTTGTTTTTCAACGGTTTCACAGACAAAAAGGATGAGTTTCTACGGTCGAATGTACCTGAAAATTCGAGTGTGATGTTGCACAGCAACAATGAAGGAACTTCAAACTATCTCAATGGCTTCCACTTGCTTGAAAAACGAAACCTTCACACTTCGTATACTGTCGGTTAAAGAGCTCGTGCAATAAGTGCTATGTCCGTACCGGAGATGTTTGCTACTACGAGACGTATGTAATTATACGTATTTCCGCGCGGTGGTTTTATATCATCTGTTCGCCGCTATGAAATTTTCTCTCCGGAAAAACGGACGTGGATTAATATCAAATTGTCCCGTTGGAATCGCGCTGGCGCAATTCAGTTGATATGAACCCTGCTTTGAAATAGAACCGTCCAAATTGCACGGTTGAATTATTTTCTTGATAAATAAAATTATTCAGAACTCGAATACTGTAAATGTATTGACAAAATAGAGCATGTTTCCGCCCGCCTGTACGTTTACATTACACGCATAATGTAGGTATATACCAATTGAAAAATATAAATAAATATTATGAATTAGCAATCATAGATAAATAATACGAGTTAAGATTATCAGAAACATTTTAATGCGGCCCCTGTTCCACGATTCGTAGTATCGTGCTATTTGTGCTTGTACCCGTAAAGATGTAACCATTTCCTGCGGAATAGAACGGTACCATCGCTTGTAGATCATCCATTCGATGGTGCATCCTCATTTTGAACTTCTGAAAATGATCGTTTCGTGAAATGGACAACGGGATCGTATATTATCTGTTGAAGTCATTAGTTCGACAACCTACCTGGGCGTACATGTATTCGTAAATGTAAAATTGATCGTTTTCTGTCGTAACCACGACAAATGAATCGCTTTTACCAGACTCTGAAACATGTACAAAGCTGTTTCACGATTTCTGAACATAATTTCAAGAACGAAACGAGCATACGGAAACATGGGCGTAGCCAGGGGGCAGGAAGGCTCTTGCCCACCTCGTGGACGGAAAAAAGTAGCTTTTGGCCCACCTCCCTTTCCAGAGTTACAAAATTTTTGCGTAATATTTAATATTGCAGTATAATTTGAAACACGACCAACAGCCTCTATTAACAAAACGCATACATTTTGAACGATTTATGACTTTAAAAACAAAATAACGTGTGTCTGACTACGTACAGCCTTTTTCACTGTACCAGTTGATGTGTTAATATTTTTGCACCCCCCTGACTGATAACCTGGCTACGCCTATGTACTTCATAATAATGACTATAAGTCAAGAAGAAAATTAAATAGAACAAATAAAGGCCGAAACGTTTGTTTTACAATTTCCGCGCCAGTCTTACCATCTGCGTAGAAACATTCGATTCCATCTACCCTCGAATCATAAAACAGACTTTGATAGTCGAAAAAATTATCGAAGTCTGGATCGTAGTTGTAGATGTTCACCGCGTTCGTATCGTAATCGTCTAACAAAACGAAGTGATCCGTTTCATGATGAAGTCTTTTCACATGGCGTGTCTTCCCTCCAAATGTTCTCAAGGTTACGAACTGTGTAAAATTAAGATTATTATCAAGAGTCCTGTAAACAATCAAACACTAGATTCTTCTACCTTAGATGTATTTTCATCGAATCTGTACAAGAACGATTTTTCAGAATCTCCGAAGCAACCCAGAAGCAGATACACGTTGCGATGATTTGTCTTGAAGATTTCAATGTCCCACGCACCATCGGTGGAAAGTTCCTGATGTAACGACAAGACGTTCTTCTCGAAATCGATCTTATACATCATAGAATACGTTCGATGCGAGGCGCGGTATTTATCGTAGTATATTGCCAACACTACGAATGCTGTGTCTGAAATCAACGTATATACAGAGTGTTAATTTTAACTAGAGCACCTAATTTATTTCCGCTACTATATAAATCAAGAAAAAATGACTAAATAGGATGTACATGGTTTTTACGCGTGCATCTGATGGTGATCAAATGTTTTTCACTTCTTATTACGTTTATTTACTTCTCCATTCTTCAAACTGAAGCTGATTACTTCGCCTTCAAGGTCACATCAAGGTCATGGTATGTAGGTCGTTGAACTCATATTGACGCCGACTACCACATCGCGTTATAAAAAATACATGTTAATACGCAAAAAAATATGATCTTGATAAAACCGTTAAAATGATCTTCAAGGGATCTTTCTGTCACCACCAGATGCACGCCTTAAAACCATGTACATTTACTCATTCTTTGTTACTTTCAATAGCAGCGGAAATAATTTAGGTGCTCGAATTAAAATTGACACCCTGTATACAAATATTAGTCAATTGTATTAGTAACTAAATCAGATCAAAAGAAATTTCTGTTACATACTGTCATGGGTCATAAAGACACCCGTATCCTTGACGAATCCTCGGATCGGGGAAGACGTTTTCTTCACCTCAGCCACAACGTCACCCGTTTCTAACGTTCCAGGTTTCGTCCACGAAATCGTGGTGAACTCATTCTCGCTGTTACTCAAGGTACATTCAGAACTACTGGAAACCGTGTTCGTCATTACGTTCACCCCAACATCACTGTGCAGCCCGTGATGGTTCCACACTATCGTAGAGTCGTTTGTTCTCCATACACGACAGTCGTGATTAAACAGTTCGGCCACGTATTCGGTCGGACACGAACAATTGCTAAGAAGTCCGCAAAGAGGACCAGGCTCTTCTCCGAACATATTCAATTTCGTTATTTCCTCGTAATAGACAACCTCCATTCGCTTGATATTGGGCACCTGGATCTTTAACCCTTTCTCTGCCTCTAAATAAAAGAACACATTTCTCAGGGTTTCAGAGATCTGTGAAGACTGTCTAATGCTGTCATCTATTTCGTTCTCGTTGCGTTTAAACTCCCGCAGAATTTCATGCGTCTCGTTGGTCAGGTCATCGAGAATCATGTGTAAATTCACCCCGTTCACCAGCCCCGACACGGTCACGTTATCCGGCACCTTGATTCCCGACTCGAAGATCTGGAAACATTGTGTTCGTAGCTGTCAAGCTGGATCATCGATCGCGAATGAACGATCTTACCAAGTCGCCGATAATTTCCACGTCGTCGTCGTTTTGTACACCATTCCGATACTCCGAGGAGAGGTCAACACCATTTGTCAACGACGCGTGAATGTTGCCGTTCACGACAATATCCTCCTCGAAGGTCTTCGAGCCGGATATAAGCTGCGTTTCCGTCGTTCCATTGAGAACCAAATCCGAAGGATCTATCCCGTTGATTCGCGTGACCGCTGCGTTTTCTGAAATTTGTCGATGAAAATAAATATGTGTTATCGAAACCTCGATGGACGACGATGAAAATTTGAAATTTAACCTTCCACTTCGATGATCCCGTTGAACTGAACATTAGAAGCTATATCATGATCCCCGTCAATAGTTACTCGGTCTCTCAAGAATTCGTTGAAGTTTATTCCGTCCAAATTCTTCAAGGACACGTTTTGCAGAACGACCAGATGTTGGAAGAATATATTAGGCGGTAACATATCGGTTGCCCGAACCAATTCATGCAACGGTATCTCGTGAACCGTATCGTTCACCAGTACTTCGTTCATCGCCGCTTCTTCGTAGAACGTCAGAGGACCGGTTACCATCTCGTCCTGGTCTTTTCGGACCACGGAGATATTAAATTGAACGATATCGACATCGTTCATCGTTGGAATCTCTATATTACCGGTCACGATCAAGGTGTTGATCTTTAAGTTCCTTTTGAAAACTTTCCTTCCTGTTATTTCAACAACGTCATCACAATTCAGCACCGCATCGTTTAAGATACCACGTATCTCGTCGACTTCTTTCGATTTCGCCTCTAGAGCTGACATCGATACACCTTTTCCAAAAACCACATCGCCGTGTATAGATTGCCTTCCAGCTTTGGTTACCGCGTTTTCGAACAGGAACGTCAATGAGGTCCAATTCATCGAAGGTGTGCTCCAGGAAATATTTCCATCTACGATCAGGTCCTTGATTCTCGTTGCTGGTACTGTGAGTAAGTTTTCGTATAACTGAAACCGAAAAAGGTGTTTTTTCAAATATCTTTTTTACACATCATTTAGTAAACTAATATTCCCAACTTCACAAAAGAACGCAGGTCACTTGGACCAATTTGAAAAAAGTTGTTCCGTTTTAAAAGATGTACGAATACTTGTAAAGTTTTAGACCGTACCTCGTTAACTTCCTGGCCGTTCACAGTCCTCGTTGAAACATTGTCGACTAATAAATCAGAGAACGTGACGTTCCCCGTGATGTACAACGGCTGATCGGTCCATATTAAGTCAGACGTGTTGCGATCATTGATGAATCCGGTGACAATGTTTCCAGTGGACATTTTGTAGAAAGCGAAGCGACCTGATACGTTCTGCTCTTTCGATTTCGAGAATACATTCTCGAACAGCGTATTCGCGTCACGACCGTTTATGAACTCTAGGGTTGCATTCTCCACGATCAGGTCGTCGATCGTCATTGCCGAGTCCAGCACGATGTCACCTTTGGCCATGTTCTCCAGATAGATATCTGGCGATTTACCATCAATCGATTCAACCGTTAAGTCACCTATCACCTTCAGATCTCCATCGATCACCAAATCCTTCAAGTCTGACCTTTTCGTATTCTGCAACGATCGAAGTTTTTTCATTTCAATTCCATTGATCCTCTCGACGATCAGATTTTCAACGCGAAACTCTCGAGTCTTCAAAGAATCTTTCGTGCGATTATTCTCGTCGGTCCCTGCGGCTTTCAAGAACATGACACCATCTTCGTCGTTGATAAATCGAAAATTAAGTGCATCCACGTTTATCTGCCTCGCTCGAATCGCAGTGAAATCCATCTTTCCGGTAACATTGATCCGTTCAGTTCCGTTCAATACATCGGCCACCGGGAGACCGTTGAAACGTTCAAAGAACAATCGATTTCCTTGAAGGTGTTTCAGGTGTAGTCTTTCGCGGATCGTCAACGATTCCGGAGCATCGTCGAAGAAAGCGTCATGCGATGTTTCCTCGGGGGACATATCATCGACTTCTATATTCTCGAATCGCAAATTCCCAAATGCCTCTGGAATCGACGTCGCGGTAGTGTACAAGAATTCCTCCTCGGCGTATCCGTTCAGGTGCTTCGCGAGTAGACGATCGATGGTCAGATTATTCTCGAACGTCACATCGTTCCTGATCGTCTGATCGGTAGACCTTGTCCAAGTGTTCTCGAGGATATCGTTTAAACGTACTTCGTTGCCGTTCAACAGCACGTTCTCGGGATCATCGATGTCGAGTGCTTTGATTCTCAAGTCGCCCGTAACGACAACGTTGAAATAAACTTGAACCGGCTGGCTCTCCGGCAACTTCAAGTCAGCGTCCGCGATTAATTCGTCCGTCACGTGCGCCCTCGCGATCTTCACCTTTCCCTTGATCGCATTCGCACGAGATATCCGGGCAGCCTCCGACACCGGAACGCCATTGATCGACTCCACGTGCAGATTCTCTACTTGGAGTGATTTTACAACGAACTTGTCGAACGTCTGATTGGTTTCTTCAGTCATATAACGTTCTATCGATTCCCCGTTCAACCGTCCCGTCCTGAGATTCGTGATTTGCAAGGTATCGCTATATGTGACGTTCCCTCTGATCCGCTGATTTTTCTCCAGTACAAACAATTCGTCGAGAAACCGATCGATATCGATGTAGTTTAACGATCTCGTATTCAATCTCGTCAAGGAGACATTCGAACGCAGCAGCACGGTGTCGTTCGAAAATTCAATCTCATACGCGTTCAGATTTATCTCCGTTTTGGACGTGTCGTTATTTAATGACCAATATGGGAATGGAATTCCGCATAGGGATTCGATTTCGAGGTTTTCTATGATAATGTCATTACCACGCAATGGTACCAACGACTCATCGGTCACGTTCGACTCGATGTCGTTCGACCGAATGTCATTGTTGTTTAGGAAATCCACCTGTAAGTTATCGATTTCCAGTTTTCCAACAAAAGCATCGCCTTCGACCACGATGTCCCCGGTGAATGAATTCTGTGCGCCTGATGCTAACAGATTCTTGGAAGCCTCCACGGTGACGTCGATCTCGCGAATCAACATATGCAAGTTTTCTTCGAGGTTTCGCGGTGCAACGACGTCCTCCGAGACGAATACGTCGATGTTCCTCACGGTCCCTGATTCCAGCGTGATATTCGGGATTATTAAAGGGTTCGACACCGTTAAGTTTTCATTCGCTGGCAACAAAGATGACCACGAAGACTTGGCCTTTTCCACGAGCGGTTTTCTTCGCAGCAATATGTCGACTAGCTCCGACAAGTGTTTGGACAGGATGTCCGGCTCCTCGATCGAGTGTTCTGCAAAATAATATTATATTTTACTCGACGCGAACGTTCGATGAAATCCAAACATGAGAAACAATCGATTCAACTAAGTTCGAATCAACTGTGGAAATAGTCGCGTTTAGGAATAGCATCGGACCGGTTGGAATTTCTTTGATATCCAACTCCCAGAATCCCACGTTGTAAACATTGTTCAGATTCACAGTGATCAGTATCACGATCACTGTCGATCTTTCTACCCGTGCTTGTGCATCGATCACCGTTTCTCCGTCCGGTAGCTTCGTCGAGCTCAACAGGGTGCAGTTGGACGCGTTCTCGAACTTGTACAGTCGCAGAAGATTCTACGAGAAGATCTCACTTTATGAGCATCAACGCCAAGATTGTAAATCATGGGCGTAGCCAGGTTATCAATCAGGGGGGAAGGGCAACAATATTAACACATCGACTGCCACCGTGAAAAAGGCCGTACGTAGCCAGACACGCTTTATTTCGTTTTTTAAGTCATAAATTGGCGAAAATGTACGCGTTTTGTTAATAGAGGTGTTGGTCGTGTTTCAAATTATACTGCAATATTAAATTTTACGCAAAAATTTTATAACTCTAGGAAGGGGGAGGGGGCAAAATCCAATATTTTCCCCCTTGGCTACGCCCAGGTTGTAGATCGAGCTTTTACCTTGCTGCCCACGAAGAAGAAGATCTCATCGTTCACGCTCACCGCGTGGATCGAGCTGGGTGCTTCAATTTCCGGAATCTGCTTCCAGTTCAATAATTCTTGACCTGGAAACGGACGATCTGGATATTCTTTCTATTTATTTGTAAGAGTATGAAAGTTCATAAAAGCGTTTTTGGTTCTTTCCACGCCTTTCAAGCGTAATGTCATCTCAGTACTCTCTAAATAACTACTTCCGTTTCTTTTTTTCTTCATTTTATAATTTTATAATTTTATAATCTCATTTCCTGTTCTGTAGGTGTATACCAAAGGGCTTATTGCCCGTTAAAGAATTAATAATAATAAAGAGAAAAGAAACGAACCGTCCCACCAGAACAGGTTGCTCGGCCCGTGTTGATTCGTCAAGAAAATGAAACTGGAACCGGCGTAGTTGTAGGAATGAACCGAGACAGGACCGATGGTCGAAAGATACTGTATTTGATCCGAGCTGGTCTCCGTGAATTCGTATACCACCGAGCCAATATCAGGCGTGCGTTTATCGTTCTGTGCGAATACCACGATGGTCGACTGTTTGTGTTTAAACGTGGCGACGGAAACGGCCGCGGTGGTCATCACTTTCGCTACCGCATCCATGTACGTACCTCGCCAATGGTATATTCTGTACAACAGGAGTTCCAAAGAGAAACGATACTTTGCTACGTTTAAAATTTGTTTGATATCCACTATAGTTTTCAAGATATACAGGAAAATAGGAGAACGCACGTTAACATTTAAGGGGTGGTTTCACCCCGAAGAACCGAATGTATCAGCAAAAACAAAAGATTGCCCGATGCTTCTAATGATGTCCCGTATAAATCTTAGAAATTTAAAAAAAAAGAAGGAAATTTCGGTTTACCGAAGTTCCTCGTGAGTTAACGTATTTCTTAGCTTAATGTTACGAGAAAAGCTACGAAAAATACTGATCCAAAGGTTACTCGATTTGAGTTCATAGCAGACATCTTACATTGATGGTACAGCCAACCGGTCGAAATTATCGGCTACCACGAGGTAGAGTCGATTATCACGGACGAAGAAGCTGGCGTCCATAGGGTGTCCATTGTGGTGAATGGTCTGCCGATGTCTCAATTGCAAATCCTCCGTGACCGTGTACAAACTACACGATCCCGTCTCGTAGCATACCAATAGATACAGCATGGTTTTCCACACGGTGGTCTGCAAACATCGATTTAGCCATATGGCCGAAATCATAATTTTGAATTTTTGTCTTTCCACCCAACATTCGGGTGAACCGAGTTCCAAGAATCTAACGAATGGGAGACAATAGAGAGCAGATCCATTGTTTAGAATTTCTCGAGGTTTCCGGGTGTGAACCTGTATCTACTCTGTGCGAAACACACAGAAAACGTGATAAGCATCGGTGCGTCATCGGACTCCCGGTGTAAGGTTAGTACACTACGAGGAAACTTGTGCTCATTTCTCTTAATTTATTAGGTTCTATCGTAAATTCATGCTCGAGCTATCTTTAGGCTACGGAATATATCGTTGTGGAAAGAATTCTAGCTCTTGGATATAATGTATTTAGATACTACTCTTTATTTTGTTATTATTTGGCTGATTAATCGAGATGTCTCTGGTCTGGGACTATTATTGAGTCATACACTTTAATAATGAACCGTCATTGGATACGTGTGATCGGTGTGTCACTCGACCCCTAATGAAGATACACAATGCTAATATAATGATACCTTCTCCAAAAGGACACAATTCACGCCCGAAAGTCTCGATAAGTATATGAAGCCTTGCCGTGAATAAAAAAAAAATGATTAACTTGATATTGTTTTGCGTACTCTGATAAATTGAATGGAACCATCGCTGTGGGTTAAAGTAATTTCCGCTAATGAAGTCTGATTAGAGAGAGGCGAATCGATGGTGAACACCGCGACACGATTCCTTTTGATGAAGAACAGTCTGTTGAAGGCGTCCCCTACGAACGGTCGTCCGCTGTCCACGGTCTCTTGCCACAGATTGTTCCATTGTACGTTGTACAATTTTTTCTGAACTGTAATGTTAATATCGAGATTGAGATTCTTGTTTCACACTGAACCGATGAGTCACTTGCTCGTCAATAATGATTACGTTATGCTCTACAATAACCAGTTCTCTCGTTTACCTGGCGGTTTGTATTGAAAGTGAAGCTTGGCTATTTCAATTTTCGTTTGTTTGAATTTCTCGTCCAAGTTGTCGTTTAACGAAGCGTGCACTGCAAGATCGAGATCGATGCAACCGAGAAGAAGCTGAAGCGACAAAAAATTGTAAACGAATGTTTTTTTAACAATGCTCCTGTAATTATTCACGGGTACCGTTGAACTCACAAGAATTATCAAGGATCCCATAATCCTGTAGAGTGCTTGACTCACGGTTCATCCGCCCGCGGAGAGATTTACACTGATTCAATTTGATACTGAACAGCGATCATGGGTCGTCGACTAGGTATACAAACGAACAGGTGTATATGGAACGTAAACAGGCAACGACTACTGTTTAAATTCAAATCATACGGGCTCGAGAATGTAATAGGAGATATTAGAAATATCAAGGTATTCGTATGCCATTCAATCGTACCTTCAGGTATTTCCAATGTATTAAAATTTATTCTTTCACTATACTTTAAATTATAGTCATTAAGTAGTAACTTAATTTCATAACAGAAGTCTACAATCCATTACAAACGCTTCTTCACAAACCAGTTTAAAATGTACGTCATGGTGTCTATAAACAAAGTCCTTGAATGTTAACCATTAACACTCTGTCGTTGTTATATACAAAGAATATATTTGAAAAGAAAAATATTTCAAGCTATCCTGTTAAATTATACTCAAAGGTATCCGTTCAGTCGGCAGATATACATACACCTGCAACATAAAGTGTCTACTATTTTTTATGCGCCCCCAATTAGTCGTTACGTCGAACATCGCAACTGTACAAACAGATACAACGAGCAAATACAAATGTCCTTGGACAAAATACCAGGCGGCCTGGACAACGACGCGCCCTCGTATTCAACAGGTCCCATGCAGTTTTTCGGGGCGAACCTTTATCCTCTGGTAGAATAGAAATCAAGTGTCGTACAGGTTTGGTGGGTTTTTGCCTTTTGGGGACTTGTTTTTGCAGGCTGTACGCAGCCAACTTTCCCCGTTCCATCTCCGTTTGCGACTTCTTCCGGTCCAATTTTACACCGAACCATATCCTAACGAGAAGCAATCCATTTAGCATTTAGTCATCGAATCGGCCGCACGCTGTAAATCAATCGACCCGTTGAAATTCGGAAACCATCAAGTCCAGCGAAACGACGGTGATGATTATGATTAAGTCGGTTGTTATTAATGGAATTTATAAATAGACCGACCCAACGGACTCGGCAATTGGATGAAATTAGATCAGGGTCCGGATACAACAATCCTACGGCCACCGCATAGTTTTTCTGTTATCGCTTGCACCGCAAATCGGATACGTGGTATTTTGTTCCTTTTTTCTCGTTTGTTCTATCCTTCGCTTCGAAGAAGTTTCTGTAATCGATTTGAAACCTTCTCCCTACCTGCTATGCAAATTTCAGGATGATAATAGTATTAAGGGCAATGCGGAATTAATCGAGTTGACCTGAAAAATGATCTCAGTTTGTTAACTTGTTACATTCTTGGGCCACAAAAAGATCCAAGCCTATTTTGACTTTCGTTTCCGTCAGTCTCGCCAAATTCCTCGGATTCTGACGACTGTAAATTGTTCATTTGTACCATTCGCAAACAGGATTTTTAGAGTTCCAAATATCAATCGCCGTAAGAAATGAATTACGGTTCCTCAATAATAGAAAGGGAAAGAAAGGTCCGTACCCAGTCACAACACGCCGTTCAGTTGCCACAAGTGTTAGCCTATCGGAACCACGACAATTTCAAAGTTACTCATAATCCTACTGTACATAAAGAAACATGTATCTGTGCCTGGCAGTTACAAGCGAAGACTTATTTAGAAAAGATACCACGGTATCTGTACTCGTCCCCAACCTGAAACATTGGACCGAGAATAAATTTCCGTAGTCTGTTTGTTTGCCAGACTCCTCTGTCGTTTTAAGTACACGAGTTCATCCCTCAGAAATCCTAGCCAAACAACAGAGCACAGCGTACACAAACAAAACCCCAACGGAATTCTGGCGGGACCCCCCACCGGGCCACACGACCAAAAATCAGTCATCGATCTATAAACACGTCCAAGAGAGGAGGATTCATCCGCGTTTCGTGTCGATTCAAAAATCGCAAGTTTCGCCCATCAGATGGCGCGATGGCTGCCGGAACGAGCGTGCTCCGCCGTCGACGGTTTTCACCATTGGTCGACGAGCACTCGGGATCGTCACTGGGATTGGCCGATGGATCACGATCGACAGATCTCGGCGAATCTCCGTCCACGTTCTGTAGATCGTGTTGCGTGTTCTTGTGGGCTTTGAGAGCAAAGCGAATCGGTGCCGGTATACATATCGCCCAATATCGCCGTGGGGTGGGTGATTTGTGTGTGCGCGCGCGGATCGTTTTCGGGGCCCCATTGTCATCGCGTGCGACGGGAAAGAGGGTAACGAGGAGATCTCTGCCGAAGGAGATCACCGTGTAATTCGTGCGATAAATACGCGTCGTAACCCGAAGGGAACTGGAGCTGACAAACAGTGGCTGTGCGCGCGGGTGCGTGTCCGATCCGTGCGCGTGTATGCGAGGTGCAACCGCGTGCGGGCGGTTCCCACACGTCCGTGCAACAAGTGTCATTAGACGGGACCGCGGCCAAGTGAAACCGGACTGACTGTTCTCGAGGGGTACGTGATAGAGACACGGTGCATGCTGCTGCCCGTTCTTCTTCGTCCAACGGTCTAAGAGAGGATCACCGGCGAGGATGGGCTGCGCGGTGAGCACCACCGGCGAGAAAGAAGCCGCGGAAAGGTCGAAGAAGATCGACAAGGATCTCCGAGCCGATGGCGAGCGGGCCGCCAGTGAGGTCAAGCTTCTCTTGCTCGGTAATTTATCGTCGCTGTTTCTACTCTTATACCGCCTCCTTTTGCCTGGAGACGAATTTTCATCGGAGAATCGCTGTCATCGCCGGTTTCCTTCTGATGCCCGGTGAAATCTTCCTTCTTTACACCCCCTCTCCCCCTCTCACCCGTGAAGGATGGTTTCTTGGTCCTGGCGTACAAACACATCACGTTGCACTGTGCAGACCACTCAAGGAGACGTCGCGATTTTTTTGTCCACTCCTGAATCGTTTTCGCGCGTTCTCATTTTTATTCTTCGTGTGCGGTTTGATTCGATTTTTATTTTAAACGGTTTTTCCCCTCGCTCCGCCCACCACCCGCGCACAGATGCGAGCTATTATCGGATTTGCGCAATCGCGGAATCGGAGCGCGGGCAATTTTCCGAAAACTTTGAATCATCGGTCACGCATGATTCATATCGATAACGCGATGGATTTCTTACGTTAGATCCCACCAGAATTCCCGTTTTTTTTCCAGGATGTTGATTCATTGTTCGTATTCGTTGTTATTGACGGGTTCAAATCCAATACGATTTATACAATCATTGTTTTTTTCTCATTCCAAGGAGCGGGAGAATCTGGGAAATCGACTATAGTGAAACAAATGAAAATTATACATGAAACTGGTTATAGCAAAGAAGAATGCGAGCAGTATAAGCCAGTAGTGTACAGTAACACGATACAAAGTTTAATGGCAATAATTAGAGCTATGGGGCAGCTTAGAATTGATTTTGCAGATCCCAATAAAGCAGTAAGTACAATACTTTCGGAATGTAAGATTTTGTATGTTATATCATAGATTATATCGGTATTAGCAAGATCTAATTGTGTTGTAGGACATAGCACGCCAATTCTTTACCCTAGCTTCTGCAGCAGAAGAGGGAGAGCTAACTGGGGAACTAGTGCTATTAATGAAACGATTATGGCAAGACGCTGGGGTACAGCTTTGTTTCACGCGTAGTAGGGAATACCAACTCAATGATTCTGCAGCGTATTACCTTAATGCCTTGGACCGTATAGCCCAACCTAATTACATTCCCACTCAGCAAGATGTACTCAGGACACGTGTAAAAACGACTGGAATAGTAGAAACAAACTTTTCTTTTAAGGGTTTGCATTTTAAGTAAGTTACTTCTCTCTATACATATCCACACTGACTCCTAATTCTATATAACTCCTAAATACGATCCCTTCTTTTGTTTTATTAGAATGTTTGACGTTGGCGGCCAGCGATCGGAAAGAAAAAAATGGATACACTGTTTCGAGGGTGTCACCGCAATTATCTTCTGCGTTGCGCTGAGTGGTTATGACCTGGTTCTCGCAGAAGACGAAGAGATGAATAGAATGATAGAGTCAATGAAATTATTCGATTCTATCTGCAATAGCAAATGGTTTGTTGAAACATCAATCATATTATTCTTAAATAAGAAAGATCTTTTCGAAGATAAGATCACGAGGAGCCCTTTAACTATTTGTTTCCCGGAGTACAAAGGTGCCAATACGTACGAGGAGTGTGCTTCCTACATTCAAATGAAGTTTGAGAATTTGAATAAAAGGAAAGATCATAAACAAATTTACACGCATTTCACGTGCGCTACCGACACGTCGAACATACAGTTTGTGTTCGACGCTGTGACCGATGTCATAATCAAAAATAACCTGAGCAATTGCGGATTATTAAGTTAAATATTCCAATACTCTGTTGAATCTGGAATAATAGATATATGTCCAAGGTTTACGAACCTATGTGAAAGCACGAAGGATACACGTGAGACTGAACAAGAATTGTTAGGACCAGAAATGTTCTGTGTATATTAACATATTTGCCAATCGCGTAATGTTTTCACTTTGGCATCCTATCGATGTTCACAATAACGTTTGTTTAGTATTACACGCTGATTTATTAGATCTTATTCGTCGCAACATTGTTTTTCCAGGCAAAGCTTCACAAATATTTTATACCGCATTAAACTAGAATTTAATTTATCGGCCATTTTTATACAACAATTTATATTAAATTGAAGCGAACAAAAATTGAAGAATTACAAAATTCCTATATCACATTCTGAAGGATGATAGCAGAGAGTATTTCCAAGTGAAAGGATACTTGGTTTCTGCTAACTGTATTTAGTATATTAACCAGATCTAGTTAGCTGTTAATTTAGTGATATCTTTTTGTATATAATTTATTCGCTAAAACGACTCTGTCTCTACTGCATGGAAATACATTTCCACGGTCATGTTCATAACCATTCGATTCTCGTGTGAATGTTCATACTTTGACGACAGACACAGCTCTCTGTGTTCACAGAATATATTTATACAAATGAGATTTGATAAAAAAATTTTTTTGTAAAACCTTTTTATACGTATTATTAAATAACACTCGAAGAGCTGTCATTATTGCTCTACACGCCAAACGAAATATAATGCCAGGGAGTTAGTTACAGATCTAGAAATCAGTCTCGTTATACTGCCGAGATAAATAAACGAACCTTTTGTTTTTAAAGAGTCGATATTTTTTTACATTCCTTTCGCTTCGTATTATTGTGAAATATAAATGAAGGGAAATTTTTAGTTTAGTAAATTATATAAAAGAGCAATAAAATGACTACATGTAATCTAACTGGTGTATTTGGAGAACGTGCATCAATTACAAGACATTTTTTACTAAAGCCTTTTTTATTTACATTCTCTTTCGGATTTAATACATAATTCAATTACAAACATTCTCAAATTCATGTATTTCCATTGTCTGTTTAAAGTCGAATATCTTGTGTGTCTTGTAACCGAAACCTTTTGCAAAATTCACTGTTTTCGTTTCCCTTTAGAAAAGGAACATTCCATGAATAATAACGCGCGCATATCAAGTACTTATTATTCTGATTCCTGCAAAGTAATTAAGAATGCCTTCTTCGTTGTTGTAAACATAGAATCTCGTTTTACTTCTATCTTGTATCGATCTTTTTATGTAATATGTACAATACAATACATGAAGCTACAAAATAAATATAGTAATGCTTTATTCTTTCTGACAATGTGTTTAAATTGGAAATTTGTTGATTAATATTTTTTATGCTATCATAACAATCTCTTATACTTGCTATTAATCTATTAACTTAAGAGAACATTAATTGGTCAACGATTGTATATATTTTATACATACAATACATACTTATATGGAAAGTATTTTTTAAGAATACTGTTATCTGAGTCTATTATTTTTCCTTATTCATTATAATCAGTTTACAAACTTAAGTCACGCTTTTATTTAATCCTCGAAAATCATGTTAATTATCGATTTTCTATTTCATTCTCTTTTTGTTAGAAAAGTATGATAAAATACAGCAAGAAATAGACGCAGTCAGTAAACACGTTTGTAACTTCAATCGCGAATAAATTAATCTATTATGGAAACATAACTGTACCGTGGCCATTATTTGCTTCGCATCTAGGACACAACAACAATCATTCCCTAACATTATTTCGCGATTATAAATTTCTTTCTGAACGTTATATTCATATGACATTTTTAACAGCATAGAATTCGTTAACATAATTACTATTTCATTCATCTCAACGATTATCAAGAAGCCTTTGAACGCTATATGTGTTTGCTAGTTCTGCGTATTTACTAGTAATATGTAATAATCAAATCTTTGAGGTATTCAACAAACTCCTGGTTATACGTCAAGTTTTAATGCATAGAAGGGTGTGGTGACAGGAAGCATATGTTCTCACAGTGCAGAGAAACGAGAGTTCTGACTTAGCACAGAATAGACTTGAGGTTTGCGGTAAGTTACTCAGCTCTGTACAACATTACTCGAAAGCGTTCTATTTCACTTAGGACCTCTATCAATACTCATAAATAATTAGCTACACAATGACGCCTAATGATTCGACCAGTGTCAGAATAAGACAACATGTACTATTATTTAATGTGGATTTCTAGCTGGAATAGGTGGTCCACCAGATGTTCTTGCCGGTATGGGTGGTGGAACGTTCGACGCAGGTAAACTAGGTGGAGGATGTTGAGGTGGAGGAGGAGCTTGTCTCTGTGGTAACGGAGGAGGAACAGAACTAGGTGGTCTACTAGACGAGTCTTGGGATGTATCTGTACGAGGTAACGGCGGCGGTGGACGGTTTGGTATCGGATAACTAGGAGATCCGTCCATTATCTCTTCATAAATCGCAGATTCTGGTGATAGCCTTTCGCTTTGTTCAGACCCTGTTCTCTCTCTCGTTAACTGCGTCGGAAATTGATTGGGCAATACGCTGAATACACCAGCCCGTGTTCCTTGTTTTCGATCTTGAATCGGACTCTTAGGTGGTTGAGATGGTCGACCTGGCGGGGCTGGTCTAGGTGGTGGAACTGCTCCATTTGGACTTCCTCTACTGGGTGAAGCTCGTTCTGTTATTTCTAATTGCTCCAATCTTTGCGTGGAACTCTTTAGTGGAGAATTTGACGTGAATTGCGCAACAGTAGTGTTACTGCAGAGCTCTATTTCTTTTTCAATTAATTGCATCCAGTTTGGTGACTTCAAGGAAAGTTTTAAAACCTGACCACATACTTGAGTCATGCCTTTTTTGGCCGCAGCTAAAGCGCACTGACCATCTCTGAATGTCACCCAAATTGTCTCACCGACGAATCGGACGAGGATCGCCTCACCGATGTGTGAAAAATCTTGCAGCAACGCCATCATGAAATTCTCATCAAACACGCTATCCATGTCGTCCGATTCCTCCACCGCTTTCACAACTATAGTACCATCAGGTGGACCCAAGTCCTGAATCACTTCTTTGAATACCTTTTCCCGTTTTTCGGGATCGACACAATGAATGTCTATGTCAATGATCGCGATAACCGGTTTATGATCACTTTGCTTTAGGTCTGCTCTACCGTAATAAATTAATTTTCCTGGATTCCAATCTGTAGGCGAATCTGGAATAATGATTTGTACATATGTTGAATATAATAAAACAAAGGTAACTATGTACCAATTAAAATTGTACTAAACTAACCGATATCAGGTACTTGTTTCCGTCGTTTCCACAGGACTCTATCTGTCCACGCAGGCTGTCGACATTTTTCACTAGTATCATAATCATCGGAAAAAAGATCATACTTGTACGTTGGTGGAAAATTGATAGGACCTTCTAAGAAATTTTTGAAAACGTTTCCTTGTGCCTGTTGGACCTAAATTTCATATACATTAGTATAATTTCTCAACGTATACTTTCTACTGTATACGTAATATTTATATATTTTCCATATTAACCTTCAGTTGATCGTACTGCAATATTTGGTCCAGTTCATTTCTTTTGATCATATCTTTCATCTCATCTTTGTCCATATCGACTCTATAATTAAAATCTCCACACCAAAATACGTAGTCATGAGTATTTAATGTTCTTCCCATAGGGAAGGCAATTTTTCGCGTAATCTCCGCGTAGTCTGCGTTACGCTCGTTAACTTGAGACTGTCCAGCAGCGAAGTGCGCACAAACGAAACAGAAAGACATGGAATATAATACACATCTAATAGCTGCAGCCCCTTTGTTACCTGTTGCGCCCCCTAATCCAGTTTTCACGCAATCTACGGCTACGTCCTTTAAGTAAGGAGCGTGAACAGGTCGTATGAATAAATAGAGACAAACACCGACTAATTGTTGATATGTGACCAGAACATATTCGGTGTCCCGGGAGAGTACTTTCTGTAATTCCTCTGCCCAAGTTTTCGCGTTATCAGTACTAGCAGCCATTATATTACTAGCATTTAAATCAACAATTTCTTCAAATCCTATTGCGAATATATCTACAGGAACATCGTCGTACTCAACTGATACCAGAGCTACGATAAAAATTTAAATATAAGAAAAAACTAATTTCGGTAAGAAACGTTCGCTCACACTATACTCACATGTCGATTTATGTGGTGCGTCTAATAACCAGTCAGCAAGTGTGACATCTTTGTATACTACACTACGAAAGTGCTTTCCTCCATTAACGTTGTAAGTACCGACGCCTACTCTAAGGTTCATTGGACTCACATATTCGTTATATCGTTTGCACATTTCTCTCAGAACGCTTGGTGGTGCATGTAACATATTCGATGGCAAGAGTAATCGTGCTCTATCCGCTAATTCTGTGTTCAAAGTTGATCCCAACAACAAGATATCTATTGCTTCCTGCTTACTGGAGTCCAGTAAATTGTTCTGTATCGTTCTGGCCGCAGACCTTGCACCATCCATTAATTTCGAACTTCCCTGAATGGCACCAGTACCAGCGTACATTTTACTTACTTCGTTGCCATTATTAATCCACATTTGTCGAAACACTTCTTCGAACCGAGACACCATCTGCTGTTTCTCGAGCAGCTTCAACAATCCAAGCTGTTTACCAAGTATTTCCAACGCGAAAAATGTTTGTACACAATTTGTTCTATCCAAACAATCGAGACAATTCGTTCGAATAGTTCCCGTTTGTTCAAGAATAACAGTGTTATTAGCGGCATAAAATAACGAAAAAGATTCTAAATATTTCTCTACTTTCGCTTTCAGTTTTGAAAGGTTTTTCATGTTTCCACCTCTGCATTCTTGGTGATAGTCGAATAGAATGTGTGGCACTTCTTTATGTTCCGACATATTGTGATGAGTCTGGAACAACTGACTCAACATTGCCTCTCCCTCTTTGCTACCAATGAGACTAGACCCAAGGAGATTGACAATCACTTGCTGGCCATACCGTTGTTTAATCATGTCCACATGTCTATCAAAAGCTGGTCCAGAGGCCTCAAAGCCGCGAGAGATTTTCACTTTATGTGAACCAACTTGAACACCAGGTTGTTCCCAGAATAAAGGAACCGAGCCTCTAGTTTGAACGTAAGAAGTTATTTCATTGTCTAAATATATGACTTGCTCTGTTTCTACGAAGTTCGCTACATGCCCATCATCATTAGTTCCTCTCACATTGAACCTGGATAAAAAAACGGCATTGTAATATACTGCATAAATTAATCTAAAATTATCATGCCAGATTATGTTACCACTGCAGAGTGGAAAGATAAGAAGTATGTGATAAATACAACACAGTTTTCATTATCGTAGAATAACTGAAATGGGATTGCTATGAAAATACAAAAGTACCTGGTGCCTGCACGTTCACAACTTAATCTGGACATGAGGACAGCACGTGCTTGTCTGTGACCAACATACACAGTTCGAATTTCCACACTACCACACATTGCTTTAAGTAACCAGTGACTCGTGTTCACCCCATATCTCAACAGATGTATGTGCAGCATTCGATTCCTATTATGATTCACAATATTAATATTACAACATTAAACTCTATTTCATTTCAAAAATTGTCACATACGTAATACAAACCAAAAAAATCTGTTATCAGTCGTTGTGGCCTTGCATCGTCTCTGTGCACTGAGAGTGATATCAAGAGATTCTTGATATCCAGCAGACCAAGAAAAGTAAAACGTGCCAGAGTTAAGAACCTTTCTAACTTCAGACACCCGATCCTCATTGCCTTGCGTATAATGCAATGGTACAAAATTTGTCTGAGTAATCCTGAACACTTCTGATTCTCCTATTTTACCAACTGAGAAACATCCGGTGACAAGGACAAGATACAACAATGTATTCTCTCCAGCGTTTAATTGCAATACACCCAAGCATCCATAAGCATCTAATAACTTTGTGTATTTGCCCTTCAAAAATTCAGTTTCTTCGGCAGCTGCAATATTGAATGAAAATATTGAACAAAACATAAGAAGCACAGGCAACAATGACAAACAAATTGAAGTAGCATTAAGTGTAACAATACTCGATAGAAAATTGATTGATAGGCGTTTGACAGGTACCGGTTCGTGCATTTTAAAGACATTCGGGGATTTCAAGGATATTCAGGAAAACATTGTTATTAATAAACCCAAGAGACTTACAGAGAACAGCTACGGCTTGGGCCTCGAACAGAACGGTCTCCTTTCGATTTCGTTGCTCCAATATAAGAGAGTGTGGATTAGGCGGCTTTAATTTTTCGTAGACGCGAAACCCTTTGCCCATCGCCATTGTTGCGCCAATGTCTTCAAAGGTTTCGGGGATGAAGGTACGCTTTGGCAGGATATGACAACCCCGTCTGTCATACGGAGCGGTGTGATCAGACTATTCTTATAGTATTTTCTCTTTGCCGACCGAACACTCCGTTCGTCGACTACTTGCTACTGACAGCAACACACTTTTCTTTAGTAGCTCATGGAGGGGAACAGCGCTCTTCTCGCTTATCCGTCGATACTTCGATATTTTCACGATATATGTATCGCGATTCTACAAAGTCTATCCGCGGGCCTGCTTTTCTCTAACCGTAACAATCAATCGAACGCGCCATTTTGAAAATTTAAAAAGTCGAATCTATAACTAGTTCGCGCCAGGATCCTCGATGAGAACTTAAAGTTAAAATGAGTGTGACTTCAAACGGAAATTGTTTTGTCATCGCTGAGCCCGTTGGTGAAGTAATATTATAATCGTCCTACATAATTTCAATAGTTCCAGAACGAATACGGTATGTTGAAAAACGTAATAAAGCTCTTTCATTATTTTAGCTTGTCAGTCTGTGTTACTGGAATTGAAATAAAATTTTCGTTATAGTTGTTTTTCTATTTACATAATATAGTATTAGATGGAAATGTGCAGAGAATAAAAAATTTGATGCACCAGGTGAAAGTTTATAAAAATTTGCGGAATATGACACATGTTGTATTTGGAATTACAAATTAATGTTCCAAATTACACTGCTCGGAAACGTAAAACGCTGATATTGTTTTTAGTATCCAAGTAAACCAATATTAATTGGCCGAAGTCTAAAATAGAACATTAATTTAAAGGAAATATTTATCACGTATTAAATATCCTTGACGTTTTAAACAATATTCTTGATAGAGGATACATGAATCCAACTTTTAGTGATAGGATTTTAACAGTTTCTAGATAGTATTTTTATTATTCAACGTTATTACGTTTAAAATTTTTAGTGCACGTATTGATGCTCACGGAACAATCATTCTATAAAATACTATTCACGTTCTTGTATTCTTTGGAACTTTCATGCGGGGTCTACACCACCTACCGAAAGGAAAAAGTACGTTATGCCATATTGGAATTCAAAAGATTGACTACTTGCTCACTTTTTGTTGACTTTGTTACGCATTAATATTGATACTTTTAATTAACGGAATTTTTAACTAATATTAGTAACTTGGTAGCATAGTGCACAGTAAATGAATATAAAAACACATGAACTGTCAGTAAAGAAATTAAAGAAAAGAACAGAAATAAACACCTAGATACATTTGGACATCTTATAAATTAAAAAAAAATTCCTTTACATGCTCATAAAACCAATTGAGACGTTTGAATAGGTAATTGTACTCTGAGACCGATTTCAATTAATTTGCAATAAAGTTTATTTCTCTTGTGACACAGTAGTTGTTACACTTATTTTTTGCGCAATGGCCGATAGTCGTAACAGGATTTATCGGCAAACGATCATCATGTTTTCTTGTAGAATATCATCCTTATTCTAACGTATCGTGTTTAAATAGTTTACAAAGAATGAATGTTCGATTACAGCTGCGTTCTCACGGATGTCTTTGATCGTTGCATACACCTTACACGCTAAATATAGAAAACGCCAGAACCTTTTAATTTACCACAATATTTACACGGCGAAAAGTACCATTCATTGGCACCTAATTATTCTTTAGGCTACCTCTTTCTTTTATTCTTTTTCATTTGTTTCAAATCGGTCGTTGGTACTAAAATGTATCTTAAATAGCAGCAATACTTGAAAGGAAATGTTAGAAAATCCAGCGAACAATGATTTTCGCTTTTAATCTCGTTCGAAGATACGCCATATCGACGTATTCGCAGGATTCACAACTGGTTATTGCGTCTGTTGGACTTTGTGGTAAAGGTTGACAATATTAGTCCCTAAGTTCGAATTTCGAAGTAAGCGCTGCATCGTTACAATATCTCCGGGAATACTCTTAGACTAGGAAATTAATATACACTCTACAACAAATGTTTAACAGTCAGTCAATACAATTAATACTTTCCTATTCTTCCCCACTTCCTCTGGTGCTGATTTCTCTTCAAGCACCCATGGAATCCTTGGTTATGTATCATTACATAAATTAATCAACGTATCAAGTACAAACAAATCGAGACTTATTTTAGATCATTGAAAATCCAATTCTTCATGCTGAAAATATCATTTATAATAAGAATGGACAGATATCCATCAAATGCTACAATAAGAAGCAAAATTTCATTCTGGGAACATTCTTTTCCCTTAATTATCGCTCACTGAACATCTTCAATGTTTCCTTTCTAGTCTCTAAAACTTTGTCCTATGTTCTGTGTCCTGTCCTCTTAACGGCGAATAGTTACCTAGCATGTACTATATAGAAAATATTGTTTCTTGGAATATATGGGTAGTCGTTTCAAAAACTAAACTATAGTTGCTTTACACGTTTGGCTCGACTGTAAGAAAGATTTCTGTGATTGCAGAACACATTTTATGTCAAATTAATGTATATACCTCGAGAAAATCCTTCAGCAAAGTAACACGACGTTTCTCAGCGATATCCATCTGATTTTCTAGATCTCCGCGATCCGTCGTCTCCGCTCGCTCTATTTTCCAAGACAGATTTTCTATTTCCGCCTCCAACTGAGCTTGCTGATATTCAAACTTCAAAGTAAAAACAATTCGTCAACTCTATCTGTACCATAATTAGTGCATAATGTCTTACTTTAGTTCTTATTGATTGATTAAACGTAACTTTACCAATTCTTTACGCGGCCCAGGCTCCATATAATAAGCGTAAGGGTAAGTGTACTGTAAAGTATAACGGCAACGTGCTAATAATGACGCAGCTTCAAACAAATGCTGCCAGTCAATCCATGTTCCACTTGAATTCATTACTTTTTTATTTATCCGCATTTTTATACCCTCCAGAGTTTGCTCTTCCAATTTCAATGATTTACTATGATTTTCCCACTAATAAAATATTTAAAATTTCTATATACATTCATGTTATTTATCTATATTCCATAGAACTGATTTGGACCATACCCTTTCATAATAATGCAAATACTTTTTAAGAGCTTCTCGCGCCTGTGCGTGAACACTTTCATGAGCAATGTTAGGATTTTCTTTGTAACGAGAACACTCATAGTATTCAGTTCCATGCGCTTTCCAATCTCCAAGGCACATCCAACAGAAGTCATGCTTACAGTTATAACATTGCATATGATTGCAACCACCATTTTTCTCTATGCAAATGTGACATTTTGGACACTGCAAATGAACATTTGTTTCTTTATTATATTACCATGTGTTTCATGTATACATGTTAAGACTAATGCACTAACATCTTTGGTGTGAGCACTAATGTAATTAGCTGTCTCTGAGTCATCTGCACACTTTGTCAACCATTTCCTAATTGTATTGCAGTCAGTAGGTGCATGATAATCCATACCACATCGGAAGCTGAAATTGTTAAAATGTTTGGCTAGGACTGAGAACCCTTTTATACATGAATCGAAGATTCGTATGCATACCAAAATATAGTTTTACAAGTTGTACATATAACTCTTTTCGCCCGTTGTTCCTTAGAACGCATAACTATTTGACAGTTAGGTCCAGGACAGAATCTTAGTAGTGGATGAGATTTGACATAATCACAGAAAGCAAACTGCTGATATCTTTCCCTCATGTTAGGCTTGGTGAGTAAGGATAAAACAAAGTCTTCTGGAGCTAAGACATCACACTCCCGGGCCATACAACTTATTCCTAATAAAAGATAAGTGTTGTAAAATCAATAATATAAAATCAATGAGGAACTACAATACTCATGTTGCAGTGATCACCTCTGTCTGGTCAGAAATCTTACCTGTAGAAATACCTTGGGTTATTTGTACTTCAAAATGCATGCACCAACAGTCTTTACAAAAAGAATGTCCACACGTTAATGTAGAAAATCTATCAGCTGGATAAATTGTAACACATACTGAACACACTCCACCCCTTTGACCCTTTAATCCTGGCACTGAATCTAATGGAGGTATTGGTTTTATCTTTGAATTAATTAATAAACTGGAAGCATTGATACGGTACTTTGTGATGATATCTTGTAATGCCCAATTGTGCGCATGTAATAAAACTTTGGCTAATGATGGTGTTATGTGTAGACTATTACTTAACACTTCAACATTTTCATTCAAAAGTCTTTCCACTTCTTCAACCCGTAAACAATCATATACAGCATATTCTGGATCTCTTCTGTTTTGATCAGGATCTATGTCATTGTCAACCTCACCACCCCATGGCTGAACATTATAATAATCTTCATAGCCTGGATCTCCACAGTCTGAGTCGGAATAATCCATCTCACTGTCATATTCTTTGCTCGACATCTGAATCACAAAGATCATGTGTTTAGTATAAAAAAAGAACATTTAACTACGCATTTTTAGAAACTTTTATTTAATAGGTAAAGTGTCATGTGTACACTGTGAAAGCCAATCTTTCATAACCTCCTACTCTCTACTAATTATTCATGAATATCAAGATAGAAATATCCTGTGAACAAATAATATTCACTGTATATTTATAAATTGAGTGAACATTTCACTGGAAGGCGCAGCAAAAGGTAAATTATTTTTTCAATAAATATGTAAAGACGATAAGTACAATCTTTTCGGTCGGTAGAGTTTTTGAAATTCTTTTATTAACAATTTGTAAGAAATGAAATTGATTAGCTATTCAGAATTACTCCGCAGAAAATGGTGCATTCACTGTGTTAATATATTTTAAGACAAAAATTTAAACGCAGCGTCTTGACGTGACGTTTCGTAAACAATTTCGTGGAATTTCTAGCGTTGTGTCGCGATTAAATCGTGCGTCTGTCTCCTTTTGTCGCGTAACGACGTCGACCCACCTTTCACGTTCTTATTTATCAAGAAAAATGCATTGATGCTTCTATTTCGGGGGTGAAATGAAAAAAGTTATTAAAGGGCCTTATCACAGCCGCCTGAACCAGCAGTCACACCAGCGCATGAGACCAGGTATATATCTATATGCTATCTTTGTGAGGTACATGATGCGACAGTGGTGTAATAGATGATTTCATTTTAATCTGAAAGCAGATACGAACGTCAAAATCACCTGATAGTGACCAGTTCAGGTATGCAAAGTAAACATCCTCCGCAACTCTATTAATTAGACAAAATTTAATTTTTAGACGTGAACAAGGCACATCTCGACATTTTTTTTCATATTCATAACTTGTAGTATAAAGATTGTAATAAAAATTATAAGATTTTTAGATAATGTCTTTTTTATATACTAAAATTTATCGAATTTCTAAATATTCTTCTGATTGTATTATAATGTCTACTCTTATACCTCGTTTGTGGTGTCAATATCCGACTGATAAAGCATGATCTTTGTCGGTATTGTCGGGTACTCACACTAAAATGATAAGGGGGCTCTGGAGCCCCTGAAGGACGCGAAAAGAAAGTCCATTGGATGTTAGGTCTATTCTGTGCTTCTGACTAGAGATGGCGTGAACTGCTACTTGTGAATCACTCGTAATTCGATCACGTTCGTTCCCAATCACGGTGATTTTTCACAGTGATTCGTGATTTCTCGTGATCGTTTCTGATTGGTGGGGAAACCTAACAATTCTTTATACGCGACACATAATCTGTATATTTTATATTTTATATTAACGACATCAAAACAAAAATTCGAGTTATATCGTATAAAGTGAAAGAATAATTAGAAACAATGAAGAATAATGAATAAATTAATAATTATAAATTATAATCTACATGTTACCTAGCAAATCAGTCTTTTAGAATTTCTTGTTTTTTCTACTGATTTTTACAAACACAGTAATGTAATTCATCGTAAAATCATATTGAATACGTTTTTCTGTTTAAAGATTAATGACTTACGATTGCAGTGAACAAATTCACTCAAGATAAAAAAATCGCAATCACGGTCGGGAATGAAGTTAAATCACGATCGTGATCGTGATTCGGCGATCACTGTGATAAATCACCGTTAGTGATTTTGCACGCCATCTCTACTTCTGACTATACCTAGTCGGTGGTGGTATGTTAAAAAACAAAATATTAATCAATAATATTACAACCTACAGTTGCTAATGCATAAGAATATATGAAAGATCACAATTTATTTATATATTACGTGATTTTTCTATATTATTAAAATGCATTGCATATATACCATTGACACACAGCATAAGCGAAGCTCTTATTTCGACCGGTGAGCCTCGAGCCATTAAAGTGGAGTGAACGATTATGTTAATCATTCGTGTATCGTTTTAAATTGTTACAGGAAACAAACTATTACTAATACATGTTATTACGTACTAATTATTTGTCAGTATATCAAACGTAAAATTTGTGAGAAATATTAAGAATTCCAAATTTGAAAATCCACTCGAAAGGGACTGTTGACGGACTCGTGCAGAGTCGATTATCCCATCTATAAATTTATATAACCGGTATCTTGTGACATAAACCTCGTGTTAGCGGGAGGAAAATACGTGTGACCTGGTGTGACCGTACAGGTAGCGTGTGCATTTTACTTGTTGATAAAAGTTTGACGCGACAGTTTTCAAAATTTTCTTTAAATTCGAGGAAGCTAATGTAAATTGATAATTACGATCATGGCGGTACGTGTACAGTTTGAGAATAACAACGAAGTTGGAGTATTTTCCAAGTTAACGAATTCTTATTGCCTCGTAGCAATCGGCGGTTCCGAGAATTTTTACAGGTAATAATAGACATAAACATTCGATAGGTATAACCAAATATCATTCTGTATTTACTCTTATTGATAGTAATCAATAACTCTCACAAGTGATTTTTATAACCTCCAATGTACACGTTGACATGAAACGTAATAAAGACATTTACCGTTAATAAAGCAGGTAACATTATTAATTACAGTGTATTTGAGGCAGAATTAGCCGAAACTATTCCTGTTGTTCACGCGTCAGTAGCTGGATGTCGTATCATAGGACGATTATGTGTCGGTAAGCATAATGTAGGAATTAACCTGTAAAGGGATCGAATTTACCGCGCTTAAATGATTAAATGAATACATAATACGATAAAATGAATTTAAATAGGAAACAAAAATGGGCTCCTGGTGCCAAACACAACAACAGACACGGAGTTGCAGCATATACGAAATTCATTACCAGATAATGTTAAAGTTCAAAGAGTAGAAGAAAGACTGTCTGCTCTTGGCAATGTTATCGCGTGCAATGATTATGTGGCTTTAGTACATCCTGATCTTGATAGGGCAAGTATTTGTTGCTGGAAATGTATTTCTTTTAGCAGCAGTAATTCCTTTTCTATTGTAATGCTTAGGATGTTTATCATACAGGAAACAGAAGAAATTTTGGCAGATACCTTGAATGTAGAAGTGTTTAGACAAACTGTAGCAAGCAATGTTCTAGTAGGTTCATATTCAGTGTTATCGAATCAAGGTGGTCTTGTGCATCCAAAAACATCTATACAGGACCAAGATGAATTATCATCTTTATTGCAAGTGCCACTTGCTGTAAGATAATGTAATATAACTATGTAACAAATGAAAAGTGTAAAAATATTTAAACAACTATTTCCATATCAAATAGGCAGGAACAGTAAATAGAGGCAGCGATGTTATAGCTGCAGGAATGGTTGTAAATGATTGGGCATCTTTTTGTGGTATGGATACAACCTCGACAGAACTTTCAGTTATCGAAAGTGTTTTTAAACTTAATGAAGCTGCTCCAGCTGCTATCACATCAACCATGCGTGCATCCCTTATAGAAAGGTAAACATACAAATAAATTTGCTGTATATTAATGTATTAATAATAATCTGTCTTTCATATGTTCCAGTATGTCATAAATTAATTTAATCTCTCTAAGAGAGCACAGACAGTTTGCTGGATGGTAGAGTGTACTATGGACATGTACATAAATTCAGTATTTATGTTAACGTAATTACATGAGAGGATGCTATTGGGATTGTACTTTGAACAACATACCTGCAGCTCACACATTTTCTTTGTAATTCCAATAGAATACTTTTAAAAGTATAAGCGATACAACATTCTATACCGAAATTTATACAAAATGCATTATTTAGTTTTATCTGAAATCTCCAAAACAATTTTAAAATGTTCTAAAAGAAAAAGTACTTTAGACCAAAATTCTTAAGAATTCTGTGCAGTTAAAAATGAGAAGTAAATACTTACCTCTTGTTATACCTAAGAATAATTAAATGAACTTTGATTTTACGTGTAAAGTAATATTTTTCCTTAAAATGTGCAACACCGAAGAAGAAAACGTACAATTTCCTTGATTTTGTGAGAAAAACTTTAAATGTAAGAATTTATAAATACAACTGCAATATAAAACGGAAATATTTTATTGAAATATATTTCAATTGATAATATTCTCTTTGAATAGAAACATTTTTGTGTCAAAAAAGTAAATCATTTCAATTCTGACTCTTAACTGCCTTATATAGTAAATGAACTATTGTAAACAACATTGTGCGGACCAGCCTGCTAATTAAATTTATTACAAATAAAAATGGGAGGGCAGCCTGGATTCTATGAATTTTGATTAACAAGACTAGAGTAATGGTAATTGTTCAGCATGTAACAATTCGGAAGCAGCAGCAGAATCTGCACACATAACTAATGTAATACCCGCTTGGTAAGATGCAGGAATACGAATGTGAGTTGTACCGGTACTCGCATTATTAAGCTGTCCTTTCTGAGTCATTGCTTCTCGTACCATATTTACAACTTGTCCTGGTAAACACAATACATAAATACGTTTCATAGCATCAGTTATACATAAAATAAGAAAATTAAACATACCGAAAACATTGAGCTTCCGCCACTTTTGATCCATAGTAGTGAGTGGTGTTAGATCCGTATTGGCGTTCCAATGAGCTAAAACATCTGCTCTCCTTACCAGCAAAATACTAGGACTCACAAGTTGATGCCAAACGTACTAAAACGAAGTTGAATTAAAACATTGTGCGAGTAAACAAGTTACTTCGATTGTAACCAACCTGCTCGGGTAAACATTCTAATGGATTTGTTAAATATATTCCTGCTCGTCCTACACCAAATATCATTTGATGATGCCACGCGTCCGGAATACCGCATCCTTCTCCACAGTGTTGTAAATTTAATGTTGCAATGGGAGCAGCTCCTTCAAGACAAGTTTCGCACGTTTACAAAAATTCGATATATTTGAAATTTATTCAATTAATTTGTCTTTATTAGTTACATACCTCGTGAAATCCAATAATGCAACCAATGAGACAAGGAGATTTTCCTTTCCGGATAAAATGCAAAAAATTTTGTTACAACTGATCCATTTGTACACAAAGCTATGCCTCGTGCTAAATCTTTATGCGTTGACCCTGCCACGGAACGACTGTATAAATATCTGGGTAACGGTGTGCCTGGTTCTCTTTGTCTGGTATTCACACCATTTAGTAATGCCTCCAGTGAAAACGATACGTTTAGAGCCAACTAAAAAAAAGCGCAATTTAACTAGATTGTTAAAAAGATGGTCTTAATAGTGCACGTACCAAAGCATTAATTGCAGAAGTAGCACCACATGCAGAAGTTTCAATTTGTGTAACTTGTTTCTCTGTAGCTTCCTTTTCGCTCCATAACATAACTTTTTCAACCGGTAAAAGACCATCTAATCGTTCATTGCATAATTCATTTTCCTGTAAATTGCAAAAGCCTGCATAAAGTATTATAGACACATAAAAATTCTCTTTGTAATTATAATAGTAAAGTAATATTAACTAGATTCGATTCGCCACTCTGATTGAATGCAGCCTGTTTATTGAGCATCAATTTTTTTGCCATCATACGGTGGTAAAGAGTTGAACTGAGATTCACTCTCCCAGAATTTAAATTGGAACTTTCTGAAACAGAAGCCATTGATGATTCAGCCCACAACTCTGATTCTGAATCTCTATTATCACCGGGTGAGATAAGATCTCCACTTGTATTGTGATATCCATATGATTCTCGTAAAGGACAAACTGTATTACGATATAATCCGCCAGTGTCCCATTTTTCTATAAAATTGCAATTGGATATCAATATTTTGAGTGCTCAAAACATTCTTTCATAATACCCTAAATCAGAAGTAAAATATACCGGTAGCACCGCTAGTACTTGGCATCCATGACGAGGAATAACTTGGTTTCACACTTGGTTCCGGTGTGGACTGGTTAGTAGAACACTGCTGCGGTTCGGAGTGGTTCACATTTTGCACACACTGATTCGGATGTTGTGACGTTGATGCAATTCCTTGTCGAGATACAACCTTACCGCTACTTAAATCATTTAATACTGGATCCGGCTCTACATTATCTAACGCTATATTCTGTATATCTTCGTTTATAGAGGCCAGGTCACTGTCTCCTGTGTCCTGTATTAAAGATATTACTATAAGTAATAAATTACACTTTTATTAATATAATTCTAATACCTGCTCACAAGAAGGTCCAGGATCAAAGTCCATTTCCAAAAAGTCCATCTCTGGACTAGATCTACCGCTATGATATTGTCCTTCACCTTCTTCTAATTGTCTCTGATTCATCTCTTCCTTTTGAACTAAATGAACTGCATCGTCGTTTCCCTTGTATGTATAAATACAATAATCTTCTCCATCTGACATATCACCCTCATTTCCAGAACTTGAATCTCTCCTCTCGATTTGCTCTCTTTGTGTGACTTGCTGCAGAGGAAAGTATAATGAATAGTTGTACATAATGACGTATGAAGAGGAACTTACCTTTTGCAACCCACTCGGTCCTGCTACTTCCCTATTTCCATTAATATTAGGTCGTAGGAAACAACATGTTCCTTGACTCGTGGAACCAATGCTACCTCCTATATTATTCAATACACACTTAGAAACATAAGACCTAGATGGCCAGGCACTGTCCACTTCAGGACTAGAATCTGAACTGCACGATACTTTTGATGGACATTTTTCAATCCCAGAAATATAATCAACATTATTCTTCATGTCAATGTCTTCATTTGGTCTAGGCATCAATAAGTTTGATTGTATTGTAGATGAAACAGGCGCCGAGTTATTTAAATGCAAAATAGGATTCGATGCAGTGCCAGCATTATAAGAAACCGGTACAAAACTTTGATTCAAATGTGAGTTACTTTGATTGGAAGATAAATTTAAGTGCATCTGAGGCTTAGGCAAATTTAAAGAGCTTGTATTCATTATGGTTTTATGTTTCAATTGACTTGTAACAGTAGTATTTGCAGTCTGAGGCTTGATATTGTTTGTATTTAAAAATATGGAAGATACACTTGCATTCACCATCTCTTGATTTGTATCTCGGTCCATAGAATTATTGAAACTGGATGTGGCAACCTGTATAGATCTTGTACCATTAGCCAATGTGACTGAAAGTTTAGAAGACAAAAGGTTCTTGGCACTGTTCTCACTCAGCTTATTATTGAATTTTAGTTGATCTCCACATAGTCTACTTTCAATAGGTTGATTACCATTTTTCAAATGTCCATCCAGTCTTGTTTCAGCTTTGTTCTGATTATTGCTTGTGCCTTCTTGTGAATTCATATTACCTTTAAGAAGAGAGCAGTAACTTATCCATTAAAAAGTAGATAAAGATACTTGTTAATATAAACATCTCTTCTCTCAATCATAACTGTTAGAGTGATTAGAACGTTTTAATAAGCAAAATAGTGGAAAATTATGTTTAAAAAAAACAGAATAGACTATCAGAAAAATGTGTTGGTAAGGTTTTACCTTCAATTCTTTTCCAACAGTTTCACGATTAGGCGATACTTAACATTAGTTTATTCTCAAACGAGCCTGCGGTAAAAAAAACCGAACGTGTCAGTCCTTGATTGTTAGGGTTACTGTGAAATGAGAAATTCGTTAGTTGCTTGTAGAAACGCTGTTGTGTCAAGTGAAAAGAATGAAAGGCCTCACTAACATCGTCTCCCGTATTAGTTCCGGAAGTCAGCTGATTGTTAGAAACAAGTGTAAGTACGCGAAGCTTCGCTGCTCGCGTACAACCGGCGATCAAAATAGTTCTCAATAGTTCTCCACCCCACTCCAACAACTCGAAAGTCTCCAGCATAGACGAGAGCTCTTTCTTGCTTCGTAATATTCAATGGAATATTAAGAAAAATATATGAAAACAGCGCAATTTAGGATTATATATTGCTGTATCAAATTATTTGTCCAATCACTCTGAATCTATATTGAACATAAACAGCTGTGAGTTGCGCATTTTTTAATTAATAGTCTATTTTTACTACATAATGGCAGATAAAGCTAATCTGACCTGTCGCTCCATCTATGAAACCTTCCAAAGCTATTATGCAATTAATATCACATTTCTGCTCCTAGGTGGTGTCACAACTTACCTTCCACAGTATGTGAATATCAAATATTTGATTATTGTGTGTTTTCTGACAAGCTTAGATTATTTTCAATAAACAATGATTGTAATTCTCTCTGCGTCCCTTGAATTTTAATATCTAATATTATCCAACAGGCTCCTACAGATAGTAACTACATACTGCCTACGTCTATAAATTTAATAACATTTGCCTCAAAGTATATTTATGCATACAATATTGTATGTATATAACAACTGATAATAGCAATGATAACTATATTTACACTGTACGCAAGTTTAATTACTTTATTATCTTGGGTATTTTTTATTAGAATAACAAGTAGAAAATATATGTATTTTGTAATATTGATCGAACTATTGCAAATTATAGTTATTTCCAGTTTCCTCCTTTGTATTGTACCTTGCTCTTCACACAATATTCTTTTGTGTTTAGTAGTTTGTAATTAAGTCTTGTTATTATTATGAATACCTATTATTGTTATATTTATTCTACTTTGATAATTTTTACTGAACATAATTGTGTATTTAAAATACGAACGTAAGGCATCTTTGTCCAAAGTTTATACTGAAACGCGCTTTTCGTATATATGTATAGTGCAATCAACTAACCGAGCATCTTCTTTGTGCTATCCGCCATCTTCTCCCGAACTATCAGATGGAAAATAGTTCACACCAGTTCATACTTTGGAGACTGTGTTCTGTCGAAACTGTTTGACGGAGAAACGAAAAGGGCATATCAACAAGTCAAGGTAATTAGTTCCGTTATTGTCATCGTTGATTGATCAACGACTGACGAACGCAAGTTGACGAAAGCCTAAAAAGCTCATCGTTTTCTAACCTAAAGAAACTTGTGATGGTCTGTTATAGTTTTGCTTATGATCGGGTATTGTACGACTTAAAGATGTCAAGATTCCATAAGAGCTCATGGGGTGGCCGCAATAGAAGATCCGGTAACTCGGAAGACAAGCATTATTTTGGTGAGTTTTTACGTTTTTGTATTTATTGCGTCACGTTGCTTTCTATCACGGCCCACTTCTTCACGGACAGTGTGCTTAACAAATTAGTTACTTGTTTACGCAGTTTATCTCGCGTTGCTAATTCATTAAGTGCAAGTATCACGAATAGTTTTGTTTGTATCTTTATGTTTTCATGACAAAACATAAACATGGTTATTGCAAAATGAATTAAAGTAAATTGTACGTTTTCTATACAACGGAGTTTTACTAAATTCTGCATTTTATACAGGTCATGATGATCGTGTACCAAAAAACAATGGAGGTATATTCTTTTCAAAGAGGCCCAGTTCATTTCTAAGAAAACAAACAAAATCACCACATGAATTATTCAAAAACTTGGCTATATCGTGCATGGATGATGATGTTCAAATGGCAACAGGTTCAAATAACAATAATAGGCAGGTCATTGTTAGAGGAAGACCAAGAGGTGGTGCAGTAGTTAGAAGAGATATGCTTGCCAGAATTAGACCTCCAATTCTTGCGGATGGTTTTGTATATAAGATTGTTGTACGTGAAATTATAAACCTGTTTAGAATTAGCTTGATTCAATGTACATTACAAAATTTTTTCTATTACAATTACAGATACCATATGGACATAAATATGAAAAAGAATATGTAATAAATAATCTCCTTAGTTATATGGCACCAGAAACTTTTGTTCCAATAATGGTAAATATAAATAATTTTCATTCTGTAATGTAATTAGGCGAACAATATAAACCTCAACTATACATTTACATTTGTTATTAGTATAAGATCTTTGGAAACGAAGCAAGTTTTTATGTCGATGATTACAAATCAGCAATGGCTATTCTTAATTGTAATCAGAAAATTACAACAATAGATGGATTTAAACTATATGTGAAGGTTTTCCAACCACCATTTCCACATTGTGAAGTTGATAACAAATTGAAAGAAAAACTGAAACAAGCCATGGCTAAACGTTACGTAAATGAAACAAATGCACTTGACTTATCGAAGTTTCATCAAGATCCAGGTATGATTTGTAACTTGAAGCATTCCCTTTGTTTCATTGAAGGCATGAACTGAATATAATTTTCCATTACAGATCTTGCTACTGACTATTTCTATGCTCTACATCGACCCTTGTTATGGAAAACTGTATTGGATATTGTGTCTGAACATATACCAAATCTCGAGGCATTGAATTTAGATGGAAACAGACTGCTGTCATTGGATAGGTCAAATATTTTGAACAAAAAGTTCCCAAAGTTAAAAATACTATACATTGGAGATAATATGGTAATTAATTATGGATTAACTAACTTCGTTTTCTTCGTTATTATATACAGATACATGTTACAGCGTGTCTTTAATATTTTCAGATAAAAGACATTAAACAACTAGAGGCTATCAAAGACTTAAAACTGGAGGAACTGAAGCTGACTGGGAATCCTGTTTGCAACAAGTATAAAAATCGACAAACAGAATACATTAGGTAATGTACAGTTTTAATACAATCTCTCTTCCTTTGATGAAAGAATTCTCCAGGTGGATAAGTTTCCTGAAGCTGCTCATACACCAGAAATGTATACTACATTCACATAAAGTATTGAAATTATCAACAAAACTATGGGCAGTTTAACAGAACTTCCCTCGTATTTGAGATAATTTAGTTTCTATTTGACATCTAGTGTGCTTAAAATTGTAATAACAATTAATTAGTAATGAACAATTTTCCCTGGAAGTTCTAAACGGTCTGTGTACTTTTCTTCATTATTATACTCTTCAATAATAAGACAAATATTTCTGTTATTACGACTAACTTGGAGCTTCCGGGCTTCTGGCTTTTCTTTCCCGACCATAGCGAAGTGCGGAAACGGTTTCCCAAGCTCCTACGGCTGGTAAGTCATTTTTGTAATATTTTATCACTAATGCAATGGACAAAGTATATACATCTACTTTCAATGTCTCATCAGGATGGTACGGAACTTCCAAAACCAATCTTATTCGACCTAACGAACGATGGAAACAAAATGCCACTCCCTCGAAGAATGTTTGTTTCGAATGCTAAAGCACAAAATATTGCTAGCCAATTTCTACAACAGTACTTTTTGATATTCGACAGCGACAATCGTCAGGCATTGTTAGATGCATATGACGAACACGCGTGCTTTAGCATGACCACATCATGTTCTCACAATAATAGTAACAAGTAAGTTTATATTAAATAGAATATAGGCACACGATTAATAAAGTATTCCCTATAACAATGCATAAAACTTAACCCTCCTAGATCAAATATATACTTCACGGAAAATAGAAATCTGTACAGAGTAAATAACTCTAGGAGACAAAAATTATTGAAGCAAGGAAGATTAATCATAGTTTCATTTCTTTCTGAAATACCACAAACTCAACACTATCTGAATACATTCACAATGGACATTAGCTTGGCGACAGTAAGATCTTATCTGTTTACAAATAAAAAAAATTTGTGAATTCTCGATTATTTATCTAATTATATTACCATAATTGTAGGAAGTGATGATGGTAATCACAGTCACAGGCTTCTTCAAAGAGCTCGATAAAAAAGATCAATTTATCCGTTACTTCAATAGAACGTTCATAATAGTACCTGAAGGATCTGGTTACTGCATTCGAAACGAACAGCTACACATCAGTAATGCGAGTAACGCTCAGATAAAGCACCTGAACAGTCAGGTGACGACACAAGCAAAAGATTCAGGACCACAAGCCACGACGTCGAGCGGTACCGCCATAAAACCGCCGGTATCGTCGCAATTGTCCGAAGACGTGAAACAACAGATGACTATGACGCTCAGTCAACAAACGAACATGAACTTGGAATGGAGTCTGAAGTGTTTGGAGGAGGTGCAGTGGAATTATGATAACGCGCTTTCGGCGTTCCAAGAATTCTTCAAGCGAGGACAGATCCCACCGGAAGCATTTAATAAATAAGATGTATAGTATGTTAGAGAAAATAAGATTCAGAAATCTTAAATTCTAATCGCTACTATCTTTCGATGCATGCGTCTATGTATGCGGTACGTGGTGCTTTTCTATCATGATCTGAATGAGGACATAAAGGTATTGGGTGTCTTGCACTGTGCCTCATTAAGCACGTTTCATACATTTATGTACTAGTTTTTGTTTAGTTTAATCACCCAAAACCTTCGTTTGCCCTATTGAAAATATCTCTCCATGGCAAGCAAAAGGAAACTTGTTGTAAACAAAGTAACGAAGAATGAATAGAATGTTGTCTTTTTACAGGGTAGTTTGTTTACCAACAAGCTTCCTTATGCCTTGACCAAATGAAGCAGCTGAATGTGTGTGACTCGTTTAAAAAATGTGTACTTGTAAAATTTATGTTCTTCAAGAGCAGCTGTCCTTTATTCTGATCATGATGCGTATGCAAATGAGATCAGGATTTAGTGGTGATTCGTAGTTCGTTGGCATAAAAGGGTGATTAAGTGGTGGGGGGGGTAATATTACCACGATTCGATAGTTCTCGTTTTATGTTTTTCTATTTTCGTTTTTATATGTCATTGCTTTCAGGCTAGATAAATCATCATTTGAAACCAGTTACTAGAATCTACCCGTTTCTAATCTTTGATAAAGAATATTTGTTACAACACCGATACCCTTCAATGCTTCTTAGTTATCAAGTTGCCAAAATGAAACACCTCAAATTTGACAGTTGTGACACAAGTGATAATAGGACCCACATGCTGCCTACTTAATTATGTTGTACAAACATAATGATGTTCGTTTCTTTCTCTTTTTCTTTCTTTTAGAAATAATTCATATATTTCACGTAGTGATATATCAATTCCATTTTAAAATTTCTGTTAAGATGCGTCATGCGAGATCTCGAATTAAGAATTAAATATCGAATAAATGCTAGAACAGTATGATTGTGTCCGTATTTGATGAACGTAAATTCTGATTGTGATATCTCTAGGTACAATAAGCATCATTATATACTGAAGATAAACTAGTTTACATTAAACTTTGTAAGGTTGCAACACGGCGTGAAGAAACGTACAATTACAATCAATGCGATCATGTTTTTATTTTACTTGGATTCATGCGCTAGTTGACTTTAATTGTTACAGTTGCATATTATGTAGTCTTTTCAATGTTTCAAACAATATGAACAAAATCTATTGAATCCTTAAGATTGTTTATTTTTAAGTCTATCAGACGATACCAAGATGATTACTATGAATACAGTATATGGATCTGCGTCAACCAGCTTCGAATAATGTTTTTACAGAAAATACACGTCGGTATACTGCGTTGCCTGTTAACAGTGAACACCTTATTGCAAATTGTATATATGAATGTACTGTTATCCAAGTATGTAATACTTTGTAATGGTCTAAAGATTAAGTACATACAGTGTGTGAATATAAATTATTCATCGGTATCGGTAAGAAGCAATACGCGTATAATGGCAACGAATGGGACTTTCGTCGCAACCAGAAAGAGAACAATTATCACTCGATCGACCACCAACCAAATTGTCCATGAACTTTTGAAAGCTCGCAACTCGCCATAGAGTTTCACTGTGATGTGAAAAGCGACGAACAACGAAGGGCAGACTGGTCCTAATGAACTGATTGGGACCCTTAGCAAACATGCACTGGAGGCAAACTTTGCAAGTCTGCCTGCTGTCCTCTTTTTATTGTAACCTGTTGTAATGCAAATTAATGCGCTACGACGAATAGGATACAAATCCACTCTATCAGGACATAAAGAGACGAACCGATGTTTGGCATCGAACAGAATGAATTCTGACTCGAGTTGCATGCATCAGTTGTTCCTGATTCCAGAAACTAAGTTCTGTGTGGCGCTTATGTTGATTCAATAACAGCGGTTGCCGCGATTTCTGTGCATTTGCTACAGAGGCACATTGGGGATGATACTGACAAACTTTTAACTGATATGAAACGGACATAATGTACAGAAGAAAGGACTCGCGATTTCTGTGCATTTGCTACAGAGGCACATTGGGGATGATACTGACAAACTTTTAACTGATCTGAAACGGACATAATGTACAGAAGAAAGGACTGTGGAACCAAACCAATGGAATTATCACATGACATATGTGACATAGCTATTCATAATTCATATATCTGTGTCTCAGTCTATATGAAACGCGAACGAGATGAACATGGCCATCTGAGAGAATAGTTTATGCTCACACTCTGTATCGATATTTCCAACGACCGAAATATTTGTTAGCAATACCACCGAATTTAATTGCAGAATGTCGTTATATAGATCGTGCGATCGTTCTTGTCAAAAAAAAAAAAAGACATTTTTTTACTAACTTATACGCGCAACATTTCGACTAGCAGAAACCCCTTCATGTACATCGTCTTAAATGTATTTTTTTGTTGAAACAATCCGTAAGCGTATGTTTTTCCAAATTCTTTTTCGTTGTATCGATTAAAAATGTTTGAGCGTAACCCATCCTGTAAATACATGACACGTGATTAACAAGAATAAATATTTTTAAATATAAGTTTGAGTTTTTCGTAGAGAATGCTGAACATATAATGTAAATAAAAAATACAACTTTATTAAATATGTGTTTTGTTATTCGACGAATGTTACAATCGCTTAACGCAACCTTATATATCTATTTAAGGTATCAGAATTTATTGTCGAATTTAATCTCGCGGTAGTTCTTTTGTTTCTTCCAATCTCTAAAAAGAATGTATCAATATATAAATTGAACTCAAATTACAAGGAACATTATCATGTACTTACTTCATCGTTTGATAAATTTTGTTTGCCTTTCCTCTTGAAAAAACCTAACTGTTATTTAAAAAATTGGGTTAGCAATAATTACAGTGTGTTATGATAATATTTGAAGAATAAAAGAATATTGTACCATGCTCAAGATCATAGCGAAAATAATCAATAACAATAGCCCTACTGATATGGACGCAATAATAATCCATAATTGTAATTCTTCACTTTTTGGGCTATTGTAAAACATTGTTGCAAGCTGTATTGTAGACCTACAAAGGTTGCATTAATTATAAACACATTAAATATATTTAATTTCTATGTTAGATAGTTTGGAACATGTAGAAATTTACCTCGTTTCATTAACAGGTAGCCTGACAGCGGGTTTTAATATTTCTACAGTCGCTTCAGTATCAAATTTTAAAACAACCTTGTTGCTTGTAAGAATATCTAAATATATTTAGAAAAACCAGTAAACATTTTTGAAATTGCAGCAAGTAAACGTGCAATATGAACTACTACCTTTCAGTCTTTCAACATTTAAGACCAGTTTGATCAACACCTTTCCAATGTCTTGCAATGTCTTCAATACGCTTAAATTACATACAATGGTTGTACAGTATACATTAGATGTCGAACAATTCATGTACAGAATATCATTTATGAAACTTTCATTTGCAAGCTGTGATGCCGCAATATTCTTTACATTATAAAGTTCGAAACGTGTTTCATTTACATCTCTCTTATGTTTTAAGTCAACAGTCTCTTGCATTTTGTTAGTTACAACATGCATATCAAATTTATGCATCGGCCATTCCCTTTGCACATCTATCGATTCAGTGTCTAATAAGATATCCTTAGAGAAACATTCAAACAGTTCTCCTGATACATACAGCTAGAAATGTAATTTTTAAACATTACTAAGACAACTATTTACAGAACCCCAAATTAACTATACTATACCTGAGGTTTATATATGTAAATCAAAGGATCTGAGACATTAATAGCTACTGGTACTTTAATGACGAGCTGTGCGTCTTCTACAGGTGTTGCACCAAGTTTGTACACTTGATAAGTGTGCTGAAAACTAATGTTTGAAGCAGCATCTTTAATGGTAGATAAGTAATATGCTTCCTCATTTGCTTTTCTAAGGGTTAAAACATTTAATAGTAACTACATTTCACTGTGCAATCAAAGAAATTAGAGGAATCACAAACCCATTCAATGATAAGGAAACTTCGTTTACTAGATTGAGCATTCGCGTAATACTCGTCGTTCCCTGATTTGTACTACGAGTTTCTATTGCTATGTAAAAATTTAATTCACGATTGTACAGTGAATCATGAATTAAATCTTTCATGTCGAGATCTAAAGTAATATTCCTTTCTTCTCCTTTCCACAATGGGTTACCAGCTTCACAAAATACTAATAGTTTATCTTTAGAAGTGTCTTCCTGACAAAAAGGTAAAATGCTACGCAAAATCACTCCTTTGGGAAACGTGAACTGAAGCGTGGTAAGATAAGCTGGTTCTCCGTAATTTTTTAAACTGATTTCTAAGTTTACTTCCGTGGATCCGACGATCCACGTGTCATTGTCGCTGAAAAATGAAGCGATAGATTAGTAAAGCCAGAAAGATTACAATAAACACCTTAATCCCTACCGTACGCCGTAAAATTTCGCCGTGGCAGATATATTGGAATTGCAGATTTTATCTGTTCCGCAATCAATGTTAAATGGAAGTAGGATTTGCGCAACATTTAACTTGTTAGTTCTTCTTTCTACGGGACAGAATTTACAGAAATGACTAGAGGCATTAGTGTTCACAAAATCGTGCCTTGCAAGAATACTAATTGGCTCGATGAAATCTCTTATGTTCCTCTGAAAAACATGCTGCATGAAACTAAAGTAAAATTTACCTAATAGTGGTGTAAAAGTAGATAAATTATTACCAAGATATTGACTCGCGTTTCGAAGCACGCGGTTGATGTTAGAGTGGAAGATTTCATCTGAAAAAGTTTTTCTTTGGTTCGCTGATGTTGTTCATCTACAGTGACCCTAATCTCGGATTCCATGTCTAGAAGTGAATTGTAATCCATTACATTGTATTTAAAAGATATTACTATAAATATTTGCGAAACTTGCCTTGTATACTTTGTATGTTATACCCATCATATCGTGGGCATATTTCAACTATGAATTGTTTGGCATCCCTTTCGAGAACACTGGGCACAGTACGAATTAAAAGTTCTGTCTTTACGACTGGTTTACTGCGAAGCACTACGGCGTAACCCGATTTATATGCCCCGACTGGTATGTCCAAGTATCTAAGTTGATACAAAACAATAATTCGACTATATACACTACATAAATGTTAAGGTATTAATAAGGAATAAACATGACTAACCCATTTCCATCAATATCAATCGGTTTCGATGTCGAGAACCCAAATCTTTCTAGTTTTGGATACGTATCCGGTAGTGAAAAATGTATGGCTTCAATTCGTTCGGACGCCCGCAAGTTCTTATGTTTCAGATCTGTACCACCGTTGTATATATAAACCACTCCAGAATCTTCCCAAGGTGCTCCCACAATGATATCTACGAAGTAGGTAACAAAATATGTAATGTAAAAATTAGATCACTTTTAGTAATCAGCAACAAAGTGTGTACCATCAAATCCATCAGCATCCAAATCACCGCTAGCTATCGCGTATCCAAAATGGCTGCTTTCTACAATTCCTTGCAAAGTTATAACTTCTTCAAAATGACCCTTTATAAAGATGGGTAAAGTTAGTGAACATTAAGGGTGTAATATTTAGCAAGATATGGTGTATTCATCACCTTAGAGGTACCAAAGTAGCCATATACTTTTCCATTGTCTTGTTCCCAATAAGGTGCTCCAACTAGAAGGTCATCAAAGCCATCATTGTCTATATCACCTACAGCCAAACTTGCTCCAAAGAATTCACCTGTACTAGTGCCTTGTAACTTAGCCACGATTGATGTCACGTTTGTTGTCGCATCAATTATTGCTACCTGAACAGGCAGTTAATATGTAAGGAATTTAATTTTATGTTGAAACAATTGAACAGAACTTGACTACCTGTCCTACATAGTGCCAGCCTGGTGCACCACTAACATAGAGTAACTGACTTTTGTTAAAGAAGTAGCCAGACTCAACACTATAACCTGAAGCACAGTTACACAGTCTTATTCTCACAGAAAGGATGAGAAATTTGAAAACGTAATGAACTTACCAAATTGAGAGAGTTCATCGTTTAATGGTAATTCAGCTAGCAATCTTTTATTTTCTTGTATTATCTCCACAATCCCATAAGTCTCGTGCATAGGTTTTCCTGTGATGCGACGTCTTTCCTTCACTTCCTTGGTTTTATTTTGCTAAATGTGATTCCAAATGACTTATCAAAATGTAATTTATTAGGAGTTACATGTAACATACCTTGATTGAGGCATAATGAATGGAAAACCCATACATCGGGTTGTACCAAATATTTGATCTAAAATCTGATTGATTGAAGAAAAATGTTATATGCTGTACTATAATTATCAGCGTGCTGCTAATACGAATATTTTTGAATACTCAACTGTGATATTCAAGATCCTCGTACTCGGTGGAAAGTACAGTTGAAGATATCTTTCCACTGTAACACATTCCCTGCATGGTATCAAAATGGATATTGTCGTAGGGATTGAAAATACTTACAATAGTTCGTGGTGCACATACCTGAAATTAATTAATCACTGTTTTCACAAGAAACATGTGACGGTGTATAAGTTATGCTTACTGTTAATACACCATTTGACTTGTCTATAGACATAGCGCTCCCAAACCAGCCCCTTTGTTTCTTGATAACAATATTCATCTCAAGCTGCGTTATGTAACTTTCTTCATCCCTAATTTCCTTCTGTTTCATTTCCTGACAGAATGGACTGTCAAGTGAACAGCGGTAAACGACACCCGGCTCGATCAGCTGCCTGAATTTCTGTTTGACGAACGAGGAATAATTTGCTCTCGGTGCACCGACTATCAACCTTGCACAATCGCATTAGTACATAAGATTAAGTATTGTTCGAGGAAAAACCATTTACGGAAACGATGAAGCATTGGGTGTTACCAGGATGTATTGTTGATCGACTCGTGGTACAAACAAACGGTATAGCCGAAGTAACTTGTACTACTAAACTTAGCACTATATAAATAAACAATAGGAAACGTTGTGTCTATGTTGTATCCATACGCTACCGTAAGGAACAAAAAGAGTATCGGCTTCATTCTGCGATCTTTTACTGCAGCAATGAGAAATCGGTATTCCTCTGCGGGAAGAATTAATATCGCGAATTTTTATTTAACAGACAGGAAGGCACGCGATAAGGCACATGACGAGAAAAGTATCAACGTGACATTGTTTAACGGTGACTAACGAATTATTTATCTTGTCAGTCGCATCCTGGCGTGTATAGACGTCTAACAGACTATAAGATTGAAATTTTATTTTTTTCTTAATGTGTACAAAAAAAAGGCCTATTTACCAAAAAACGTTTCAAACATATTACGCTCATGGAAGCGTTTTTCGAGTTCCTCTAGGTAACGAGAAAGTTTATCTCGTGGATCTATTAGCGGCAAGTCAGGACACTAAAATACATTAAAGTGTAATGGATTTTCCACTTAATGTACATAGTTTGTAAAGAAGTAGAAATAAGTACCCCGGCTTGATCACGGAGAACCAAAACTCCTGGCATTTGACGAGCGAGCCATTTCTCTCTTTTCTTGTGACTAGGATGAGTCAATAACAATGGTATTGCAAATTTATTCTCCCCCGTGAGCTCTCCATACCTTTCCATAAGCTCCCAGAAGATTAACACTTCTCTTAAGTCAATACAAGTCTAAAAACATACAAAGTAATCCATTGTTTAATAAATAAATATTTGATAGGTCTATGGAAAGGAGATTGCATACTTTTGCAGCTAATCGAAATCCAACTTTGTCTGCTTCAGCTTCTACACGTCTCTTATATGGATAAACAAAGAAGATGTTATGAAGTAAACCAACTCCTAAGTAAAGTACAAATGCTTTCCACTTTGAGAAACATGCCCAAATCAGAAATGCAGGTATAGTATATACAATTTCTGTTATTACCTTGTATGAAAATAATTCGACCTAGAAGAAATTGCATAATAAATATCCGATACTATTTGATATATTTAAATTGCAAATGTGACTCTTCCTACTATGTATAACTTACTACGTGTGAAAGCATAACATGAGACATTTCATGAGCTAAAATAAATGTCAACTGATCATCATTTTGAATTATATCGAAAAGACCAGAAAATACAATAACATTTCCACCCTGAAACATTAAAGAGTGTGTATTACTTTTATTTAGATGGAACTTAACATTTACTTATAAAAATAAAATGGTAATTTGCATACTGGCAAAGCCATAGCATTGGGTGATGGTTCATTCACTATGCTGACAGTCCATTCTGTATTTTCAAAGACTTCTTTGTTAGACTTCACCAATTTCCTTAATATCCTACTAAGTCTCAAATACATAGGGTCATTTATTGGGATCACTTCATTCCGATGTTTCGTCAACAGCTATAGAACAAATTTAATGCTATATAAAAACATGTCTCAGTAGATATTTATAATGTTTCATATGATCACATACCATTGTAAAAATAGTAGTTCCAAGCTCAGCCTGCTGATCTTTATCGAACATTATGAAACGTCGTCGTTTCTCTACTACATCTCTTTCCAAATGGGTTAACCAATAAATTAATAAAAGGGAAGAAAAAAGACTTAAGGAACCTGAAAGTACAAATATCAAAATACTGTTTGGTATCATTTAAATCCATAAGGGATCATCAATTATCTACCAAAAAATGTGTTTCTTCTTTCCCAATACCATTTCTTATATTGTTGCTGTTTTATTGGAGTCAACTTAATCCAAAAATGTCTTGCATAAGACCCAGTAAAAATTGCCCCTATTGGAAGGGCAGAACATACCAACAATACAGTAAAAGGTGACACGTGTAGTCTCTGTGTGGTATGAAAATTTGCTCTTTGAAGTCTTGCATATTGCCAACTTCTTTCATACCCTCTTGACTGAATAAAAGGTGTTTCAGGAGAGATTCCACATGAAAGACTCCTTGAAGTAGAGATTATAGTTCTAATGGTTACATGCTGAAGATGTTTGAGGTATATTGTGTTTACAGAATATAACATATTCGTATATTTCTTTCATATAATTAATTGTCTTTACATCAGATAGTTATTATCATTATCCAAGAGAATATAGTAATGTCAGTTCTATAATTAAACATAATTATTAAAATAACATCAGTTTCCTGCAAATATTCAATTAATTTGATTTTAAACTTGCTTAGATATGATCTACAAAGGCTGACAATATCAACAAGCAAAATCCCAATTTTGTGTACTGAAACATTATGCTTCCTACTATACCATATTTAAGTGCAGTATGAAACATTTTCTTAGTGAAAAATATTGTTATAAGGTGCAGCCAAACAGGCCGTGTTCGTGTTGTCAGGTTTCTCACAGATGGTACAGATGTATATTGGTATTTCAGGCTTTCATTAGACAAATTTGAAGATGTGTCCATTCGTTCCATGTAAAGACCAAAAGTACTGAAACTGTAAAATAATCAATTGAAATTAATTGTGCATATGCATATTGAACATGTAAAATCATATTTACTTACATTTTTACCACAGTAAATTCATAAAATTATATGCAAATCCCTCATTGTTTGGTAATGAGGCAAATGTAACTGTTAAAACGGACAGAATTGTATTGATGTAGTGAATAACTTTTGTTGGGGTTATGAAATAAAATTCCTTGGTACTTCTAATTTCCCCGTTTGTTACACGTTTCTAAAAATGTTATCACATTACGTCAATATGTGGAAGGGTAAAGAGAATGAGATATTTTTGTGGAAAGAAAAAATAATGAACCGTGTATATAATTCTGTGTCGAATGTTTTTCGTACAGTTATTAGAACGTGTGAGCTTGACGTATCAGCTGACACATGTCAAAGCGACCACAAGCCACACGCTTTTCCTTCTATAGTTTGTACGACAGTCAGTATTTTTAGGCGCATCCTCGAGAATAACTGCGCATCTGCAATCTATGGCATTGTATCCGGAAAACAGAAAAATCTACGTTCGTTATACTTTTCAACTGCACTGAAAAATTTGAACGTACCTGAACATGTTTTTTCAGTGCAAAATTAACTACTCACACTATTGTTGACAAAATCTACTGATACGGAGAATCACCACGTCACGTTAGAAAGTTACAATTGATCATTAGTTTTGGATCTATCAGTACATATGTACTTTCTGTTATTACTTCATTAAAATAGAATATATACTTCTTACATTTTTCAAATGTATTACGAAAGTTTAAGTTTCATTCCAATACGTTACTCCAGTGCAAACTCAACAGGCTAAGTAACATTGTTGACAATACGTATTTATATAGATATAGATTGTCGAGGATACATCGCAAGGTTACGATCGATCATTAGTTTCAGATTAATCGGTAGACCGGCTGAAAAAGAAATTTGCACTTTCTAATTAACCTCAACCGTGTTTGATTATTGGGGTTTGAAAACGTTTTGAAAGTCATTGTGCAATCGACATTGAAAAGCGGAATCGTCGTATTAAAACGAGGGTGCTGTGATTTAAATGTAACTTAACATCTCATTCATTCGTTCTTTCATAAATAATCTGATCAAATTTATTGAGAATGGCAGGAAATGCGTTGACGCTCGAATCGGAAAGGTTCGGTCGAACATTGAATATAACAATGGTGAGGTTTCTAGGAACTGTACGAATACGGGCAGCAGAGAACTGGTCACGAATAATGATTTGAAATGACTCTGATTCTTCGTCTGTGACGATAATGCCGCACGAAATATTTCCAGTTAATTATTTTGTTAAAAAGACAAGTTTAAAAAACAATTAAATAAAATATAATACATTACTTGAAATCACATTTCGAAACTGAAAAAATTATATGTAACATGTTCTGTAAAGATTTTGTAACAAACAACAAAAATACGTACAAATACACCTGTACTATTCTTTTCCGAGTTATAAGCAAAGGAACGTAAGTTTACGAGTTCATAAATGTACTCAACGAGGTTCATAATGCATAGAGTTATTTGTCTGTCGTGAATCACTGGCATCATTATAAATATTTCAATAGATATCTATAATAAGGTTATAACGAATTTCTTACCCATACGACTTATATACATATGCAAAAGCTTTTCTATTATAAAAAATTCGAAAAATTTAAATCAGATCATCGTAGAGGTTCATTTCTACCTATCCAACAATGATCCCACCTGTTATACAACACGTCTGTGCATTGATCTAGGACGAAACCGCGAACCGAATTTTGTAATTGATATTTGGTGTTCTTGTAGTCAGTTGATTACCTTTTAGTTACGAATCAAAAAGGAAACGTTTTGTGCATTCGTTCATACGAATTTTGCTTTTTGTTTCGACACAAAAAAGTTGTAGATGAAGTTTCGACCAAGCTTAGGAACAGACTGTATGAAGAAATATATACAAACAAAATCTGCTTCGGGGCAAATCCGATCACTTTCCAAATGACTATCGAAAATACCATATTGTGTCACTATTATTACGTTTTCGACAGACAATTATGTGTTCAATTCGAAAATCATACATACATTTAGTATAAGAACTTAAAAGGTTCGAGTACACGTTTCGTCAAACATACGTATACTCTTCTTTATTATTTATGTAAGGCAGTTCACCGACTATGAATTTCCGTAAATATACACAGTTTAGCTATTACTATTTCATTTGTTGCTGAACGAAAAAGAAATAACACGATATCAAAAGGATATGTCTAATGGGTCGTGTGACTTGAAGCCCGTACAGTCTTAACTCTTAAGTGATGCTTTTCTCAAATGAAAGACGTATGTAAATGTAATTTCGTGTTTCGTTTCTTGAATCTTCATCGCAGGTAAAAAAGAACTCACGTTCGAAGTTTCGACTGATCATTTCGAGGCATCCTGTAAAAGGGGGGCTTATTCGGTGTGTGTTCAGATTCTCTCTCGGTTGCAGCTCGCGGCCAAGGATACGTGTATTTGTGCGCGTTTTCATGCACGAGCGTTTGTTCCCCGCGCGTGCGTGTCGCGCGTGTGCACGCGGTCCTACTACGTGTGGCCGCCCGCCCGTCGGTGTGTAGGTGCGTGGTTGCGCGGGTTGCGTGTGTACGTCCATCATGAGTCAGAGCACCCATGGTCGGTCAGACGCGTTTCGTAATTAATTCGCCTCGTTGACGGGAAAAAAATGCAAGTCTAGTCCCGGGACCACGACACCTGCACGTACCCGGGCCGCGCTTGTCCTCATAGGACATGCCCGTTGTGCCCGGTAAATCGCGCATCTTTCATCATTCTTCTTCACCTCCCGCTCAACTCTGCTCCGCTCTCGTATCCACCGTGCATGGTGCGTCCGAGTGTTTTGTGTGCGTTCTATTCTCTTGTTTCTATCGACAGACACTCCCTCCATAACCCGGTTCTATTCTCCCGCGGGACTCTCGTCTCTCACCTCTTTCGGACAGGTACTCTCTTTTGCACGGGACTAAATCTTCTCGAACCAACCAACCAGCCAATTCGTTCCTTCCTCGATCGACCGATCGCGCGCGCCTTCTCCCGTTTCTCTCATATATATCTTGTGTATTTTCGTAGAGCACAGCGGGAAAGAATCGTTCCTGGCGGCGTTTTCCGCCTCCGTGGATCACGGCTGCGAATGCCCTCCGTCGATTCCACGATATCGGTCTCCTCCGCGACGACCGAACTTTCACGGGAAAGAATGGACTATGAATTCGTCGGCGGGCGCGCTGATCGGACTCGCCCTTTATTTGCTATCCTCTTTCGCGAATAAAACGGCACGAGTCAGGTACATTTCTGATTCTCTTTGAACTTTTGAATAATTCTATCATCTGGTGTTCTTGTCAGATAGTGTATTCGAGGTGCACCGTCTGTTTCAGATAATTTAATTCATCAGGGGAAACCAGTCACAGGAGAACCATGGATCAAAACAGAAACAGACCCAGTAGACCCCGTCTTCGGTCTCATGCCAACTCAGCCAGGGTCCTTGTTTTCGATCAGACTGAAAGTGAGGAATCAACTTGCAGTAATGAGGCGGATGTGCAGAAACATCCAATACCACCCAAAGTGGAGAGCAAAGAGGCTCCAGCACGACCTGGTTAGTCAATGTTATTTTTAGACTATTTATTTTTTTTTGCAGAATTCTAAAGTATTTCATGCTTTTAGTCAGCGGAGAATTATCAAATTTAGTTAGAATGAGGAACTCTGCCATTGGGAAGTCTGCACCATCTTTGTCTGTTCATGTGGTTAGTGATGTTACATTATTTGTTGTTACCATATCCATATTACATGCAGAGTAAATGTATTAATTTCCTTACAGCGTGATTTTAACATTCCTCGGCGTGCTGCCAAAGCAGCTCATCGTAAATCTTTTATTGCAACAACATCTCCCACCTTACCAAGATGTCATTCACCATTGTCAGGTGTGTAAATATTGATGGCCTTAATGGATTCTTGCTCTTTAAATGTTGAATCAAATTTCATTCATTTAACATTATATATTCTAGTAGTAAATACATCATGCTCTAAAAGTATGTCTATTAAGGGTAACTAAACATGTATAAATACATAATACTCAGTTATTATGAGTGATTATGAGTACTATGTATCTCATAATAATATTATGTAAGTGTTCTGGCACAACTTTATTCAAGATTTGAATGGGTATATATACATATATATGTGTCTATGTTTATACTATAGTGATGCAGCTGTTACAGTTTGTAAGCATTACACGCAATAAATTTATTTTCAAGCGTGTTAGATCTAGAACATCTTAACAACTCTGTCCTGAAACAGTGTCCCAGAAAAAATTCATTTTCATCCACTTAGAAGCGTGTCTTTTATATTGTTTATCTCTTTCGACTGTGATAGATGATTAATTTTTTTTACTGCTTGTTTCCCAATATAGCATTCGTCCCGATTGTAGGCAGTCCCCTAGAGAGTCCTAGGATGTCATCCAGTCCACATTTTGCTTTTGCTCCAATTAAAAGGTATCTACTTCGTGCCTACTTTTAGTCTGTTTAAATCTGGTCAGGTTGCCTATCTACGTAGGTGTCGCCATTGTGAGCATTATATTTTTAATACATTATTAATAGTAAAGAAACACAAGAAATGCTGATGCCGTTACTAAGCTGTGTAATCTTTCAAAAAAAACGAAGAACGTGGCTGTAAGATCCTCTTTTGCGTTATAGCGAAGTTACTTTGTTCATGTGTTATTTGTATAGAATAGAATTATTGGTGCACATGTTATGGAAATGATATTAAACGGCGTGTAATCTTGAAGGATTGGTGGAGGTGCCACAGGAACTGGAGATGGCAGACGATGGTCGGTCGCTAGCTTGCCGTCCAGTGGATATGGAACGACACCGGGCTCCAGTAATGTTTCGGTTAGTCGTTTATTCAGGGTCTAATGTCTAAAGTTATCGAGTTATTTACAAATCATTATGTACTCAATTAGTCACGGTACTCGAGCCAAGAACGCTTGCATCAACTTCCGAATGTTCCAACCAAGGATGCGTTGCGTATGCTTTCTTGCCATTTCTCTAAACCTGGCACACCTTGTTCGTCACACCCGGGATTTCCGGGTTCCAGTATCTCCAGTATACCAGGTAGCGTGTCTCTCAGTCTTGACGAGGAAGGTCGTAGATCACCTTTACACAGACCACGTTCTCGAAGTTTGAGGTAAATGTTTAACGTAACGTCATCTATATATATCTTGAGAGAAATATTTTCTTTTGTAAAACGGATGTCTATTTCCGAAATTGTAGTAGCCCCAGCCGGTCTCCTGTGTTGGACAGCGAAATCGTAATGATGAACACTCTTTACAAAGAACGATTTCCAAAGGTACAAATTTGAAATAGGATACGACAACATTCTGACGTACAATGACTGTATTTAACGATAAAATTTATTCAATTAGGCGACGCAACAGATGGAAGAACGCTTGACTAACTTTATCAATGAAAATAAGGAGCTGGATGAGTACGAAGTGATGACGAACATGACACAAGACTCCTTGCCGATTCTACGGTTTGTTCATCATCAAGTCATCGAAATGGCGAGGGACTGTCTGCAAAAGTCTCAGGAGAAATTAATCACAACTAGATACTTTTATGAAATGAGCGAGAATCTGGAACATTTACTGATGGAGACTAAAGAAAAGTCGCTCGAAGCTGCAACGAGATTAACGGGACTTATTAAAAAATTATTACTAGTAATATCGCGTCCAGCTCGCTTATTGGAATGTTTGGAATTCGATCCAGAAGAGTTCTATCATTTGTTGGAACAGGCTGAAGGCCAAGCAAAAATTAACGCAGGAATTAAAACGGATATACCGCAGTATATTATCAATAAGCTTTCTCTGAACAGAGACCCGATATCGGAACTGCAAGAAGATCTAAATAAATTGGAGGATTCGGCAAGTTCAAGCGATAGCAACTTGCAGATGACTTCGAGTCCAAACAAGGACGACGAGAAAACTCAGCGGGTACCGTGCGAGAGCGATTATGAAGTGCTGAAGTTAATTAGTAACGGTGCATACGGCGCTGTTTATTTGGTTAAAGAAAAAACCACCCGACAGAGGTTCGCTATGAAAAAGATCAATAAGAACAATCTCATGTTGCGCAATCAAGTCGAGCAAGTCTTTGCCGAGAGGGACATAATGAGCTTCACAGACAATCCTTTTGTAGTTTCTATGTATTGCAGCTTTGAGACGAAAGTACGTATACATATGTAATTTTACGAGTTTGCTATATTTTGCCCACAGACTATTAATTGTTGTGACACTTACGAAGCTTGCAAATTTGAAGAAATTTAATTGATAAAATTAATACTTTCATTCACAGAGACATTTATGCTTGGTAATGGAATACGTGGAGGGTGGTGACTGCGCGAATCTTTTAAAAATCATTGGTCCACTGCCACCGGATATGGCGAGGTTTTATTTTGCGGAGACCGTGTTAGCTGTCGAATATTTGCACAGCTATGGCATCGTTCATCGAGACTTGAAGCCGGACAAGTACGTAGAGCAATAGTTTATCAATTCTTTAACACACCCGATGTCATTTTTTTTTGCCTTTCAGTTTACTCATTACTGCACTTGGTCACATCAAACTCACAGACTTTGGTTTGAGTAAAATGGGTCTTATGTCCTGTAAGTAGTCAACGGAAACCATCACTTATTAGTTCGAAGCGTTGATCATCGAAAAGAATGTCAATCTTTTTAGTGGCAACGAATCTTTACGAGGGATATATTGACAGGGATACGAGGCAATTCTCGGATAAACAAGTATTTGGTACACCTGAGTACATCGCTCCTGAAGTTATACTGCGTCAAGGATATGGAAAACCAGTCGACTGGTGGTCAATGGGCATTATTTTATACGAATTTCTAATTGGCTGTGTTCCATTTTTCGGTGATACTCCGGAAGAGTTGTTTGCTCATACGGTTAACGGTGAATATCTTGGTATTTTATGCAACATTAGATTCAAGATATGAATCAAATGATTAAAAACCAATTGGATGTTCGTACAGATGATATCGAGTGGCCTGACGACGATGATTGGCCCGTCCAGCCAGAAGCTAAAGATATTATAACGGCGTTGTTGCAACAAAGTCCTAGGGATAGATTAGGGATAAGTGGTTCTCATGAAGTTAAAGAACATCCGTATTTCTATGGAGTGAACTGGAACAGCTTGCTCAGACAGAAGGCTGAATTCGTACCACAATTGGTCAACGACGAAGATACAAGTTACTTCGACAGTGAGTATATTTCGAGAACATCTTGCCTAGAAATTTTTTTGCTTGATATCAGAGCATAACGAGAGAATATGATGTTTTAGCTCGTATGGACAGATACAATCACGACATAGGCGACGACACCGATGATACCGATGATTCTCCTCTCTTTGGATCATTCTCTTCGTATTCACCTCAATCACGAAAGATCTCTCAAACCCGCCCACCACAAATAAATCCGGAATCAGAGTCGGACGTCTCGAAGAAACAGCTATTCCGCACCGAACTCGAACGTACAGTCGCTCAACTGTCTCTAGGGCCTGGCAGTTCGGTCACGCCTCAATCCAAGTTAGCTGAATTGGTTTCGTTGGAAAAGAATCGGCCATCTTCGTCCATTAAAAGCTCCGTGTGCATGGAAACTCCGCCCAAGGCAGACAAGTCGAACGCATCGTTCAACAGTCCCGCCACAGTGACCAGTGGCGAGTCCCAATTAACCGTTATCAAGAACACTCAAATAGAAGGGGCGTCGATCAACTTAAGCACACCTGATTCGTCTCAAACCGAGTCAGAGGACATCAGTCCACAGATTCAGAGAAAGAGACACGTGCACCCCCGCGACAAGCTGCCCAGGTTCAGTATATCCGTTGATGATGATCACATGTGAGTCGTTCAAACATTTTCGCAACATTATTATTTCTTTTATTTCCTCTTACATATACGTATAACTCACTCATATCTGATACACTATTCTGAAAAGAAAAGAAACAGATGTGTAACGATCCACTTCGATTGTAGGTTGGACTTGGTTGCTGCAAACAGGGACATGGCCGAGGACAGTAAGCACAATTCTAGTACTGATTCCTTCGAATCGTTCAGCGCGATGCCGATCATACCGTCCGTGAAACAGAAGTCACGGTCTGTGATCAAATCCGCCTCTACAAGTGGGTTGTCGTTGGTGATACCCGCCAGCGATTTCTCCTGTACGTACTCTCCAAAGTGAATTCGTTTCTTGTTGCCTTTCAATTTGTATTAGAACTTACGTGTATTGTGCATTTCAGACGATGCATCCTTAAATACTCAATCAATCGAATCTCCTGGCGGATCGTCCACCGCGTCCTCGAGAGATACGTCCCCTTGTCGCGAATTAAGTCCTCTTGTTACCAGCTTAAAACCGCCTATCATCATTCGAAGAGGACCATGCGGATTCGGTTTTACCGTGCACACTATCAGAGTCTATTACGGGGATAGTGATTTTTACACTATGCATCATTTAGTTATGGTAGGTTGCGAATGATCAGTATATTTCAACGCCAGGAAAAATATGTAACTGGACTAATGAAAGAATTATCTTGCGCATCTTTCTTTAATTTGTTTTTTTTTTCTTGTTATTCTTTAGGATCAACCAGTATTCTTTACTCTGGTTTCTGGCGAATCGAACAATTTTGTATTCTAACGTTTTTTCATCTTTTGTAGGCCGTCGACCCGTCTAGTCCCGCGTTCGAGGCTGGTTTAAGACCGGGCGATCTTATCACGCACATAAACGGCGAACCAGTACAGGGTTTATATCACATACAAGTTCTTCAGTTGATGCTGAGCGGCGGCGATCACGTGACACTTCGCAGCACACCGCTGGAGAACACCAGCATTAAAACCGGCGGACGAAAGCGGGATCTCACACAAAGCAAAATGGCGCGTAGAACGCTGCATAAACAGCGGAAGCAGAAGCGCGACCATTCCGATAAGAAACGCAAAACATCCCTTTTTAAGCGAATTAGTTCGAAACGAGCTAGCGTAGAGATGCAACAGGTACAAAAGAAGTTGCTGTCTTAACTCTCGTTACTTTAGTTGACGAGGCATTATTCTGATGTGAACGTACACGTTTTGTGGCTAATACGATTAATATGTATATATTTATGTACGTTCGTTTCTTTTTTTCTTTCACACGAATACTACGCGGGGCCATAATACGCTGAAGCACCGCGGCGACTTACATGCAATACACCAATTACGTTAAGCGTTACTTTTGTTTTTATTGCAGCCATTAACTATCAGTTGTCCATTGTCAGCACCCATTCTATCCAGCGACAGCAAACCTCCACTTATGGTATGATTTTTCGTAACGTTTCCTCATCATCGTCATCTTGCCGTATAATCAGTTTATGTTCTTGTCGTTTTCGTTCCAAGCTGAGTCTCGATTCGCTCGCTCCATACGATCACACGGCAGCTTTTAAATGTTGTTTTTCATTTGTCTGATTGACCGCGTGTTCAAAAGTCTTACACAAAACACTGATCACAAAAGGCTTGAGTTTCATAACGCATATCTATAGAATGTTTAGAAATAAAAGAAAGAAAAAAAAACAGAGTAATGCAATTAAACACTGCACATTATCGACGAGAAATATTAATCGACCTCGATTCCAGATGGCCGCAGGAATCTGTTCGCCGTCTATGGTGACGCCCAGCCGGTCCTTCCAGTCGTTCACTCGCTCGCAGGAGACATCGCCGTACTTCGCGGCCTGCACAAAGTCCGTCTGTAGTCCCTCGCCGCCAACGAATCGCGTCAGTTCGGATTCCTACCATTCGACCGGCAACTCAAGTCCATGTTCAAGCCCGAATTCCTCGTCGCCGGGCTCGAACACGTCTGCCGCGAACTTGACCGCGATCTCGAATCAGTCTCACTATCAGAGACCGAGTACGCTTCACGGTTTAAAGCACAAGTTGCACACAGCAGCGAAAAATATTCATTCGCCGAATCGAAGAAAATCGGTGGGTCATATACCGTTGTCCCCGTTGGCCAGGACTCCTAGTCCGTCACCGCTTCCGGCCAGTCCGACCAGGAGTCCCAGCCCGTTAGCGTTTCCCACGGGACATCAGCCTGGTAGTTCCAATACCACGCAGTCCTACAGCCCAGGTGCGGAAAATTTGTTATTTTTCACTATTTCGCGTATAATGGTGTCTCTTATTCCATACTTAATGGTCTGCCTCGTCACAGGTGTCTGTTTATCAACGCCGAACAACCAGAAGAAAAACTACGGACGGCCAAAGTCAGCCGAGCCTGGCTCTCCTCTTCTAAGAAGAGCGCTAAGCCCGGACAGACTCCATCCACGCTCCGCGGAAAGCAAGACCTCGATATCACCGTTGGCGAACACAGTGGTGAAGGTAACCCCCCGTGTGACTATAGCTCAGTCGTCTTACTCAGAGACGTCCGAGGAGAGCGGTGACAGTTTCAAAGACGCGAACGACTCGAAGACCGAGAAGAAAGTACCGACCGAGCCGAAGTCCGATTATTCGAAACTGTCACATGGAATATCGATCAACTTGGGGAACGTGGGTATGTCGAATTCCTGCGGCGGCACGCAGTTGCCCAGAATAGCGGAGGAGAAGGACTCGCCGACCGGTTCGAAGGGCGACGATTATACTTCGAAAGATGCTCTGTCTACGGAGAAGAACGATAAAGCTAATTCTTCGGTCACGTCAGCGGAACTGGAGTATTTACGGGAAGGCAATGATCATCGTGAAAATCGACATTCTACGGTGGATCTGTTCGCGAAGGTCTTCGAAACAACTGCCGATAGGATTGAAGAGAACACCAAGTCTTTTGATAAGTTGTTTAACGTGCATACGCGTTGTTCGACCGCGTCTCATAAGCAATCGCAGAACAACGAGAAAGGTTCACAAGTATGGTCGCAAAAAACGTCGGCTCAGACCAGTGAGAAGATCTCTCAAGCGTCGGTTCCGAAAGCATCGTTGCAGAACAGCGAAAAAAGTTCTCCGGCCGCGTCGCAGAATAGCGAGAAGGGTTCTCAGGGTGCTGCTCAGAAAGGAGTACCGCAGAGTAGCGACAAGTGTTCTCAAACGTCAGCTCAAAAGTTATCATCGAATAACGAAAAAGTGCCCTCACAGTTGTTGACTCAGAAGTCTCTGTCGCAATGCGGCGAGAAAAGCTCGCAGTCTTCGATTCAGAAGCCTGCCTCGCATAGCGCCGAGAGGACCTCGCAAAGTGCGTCGCAGAAGTCGCAGCCCGGCGAGAAAAGCTCGCATGTCTCGACGCAGAAGACTCAGAGCAGCGAGAAAGGAGCTGCTCATAAGTCGAACGAGCAGAAACTAGGTGGTAAATGTTCAGAGGCTAATCCAGAGAGTAGAAAGATTTTGAAGAAACATAAAGTCGACAGCTCCGAGGGTAACGCGAGCGCTTATGAAGCCGGCGGATCTGGAAAAGATAAGAAAAACACTTAAGCCGTTCATTGTTAAATTTCAATTATCGCTCGTGCGAGTCCAAGTCTAAAATTAAGAAACTCTGTCCGCGCGCGGTCAATCAGACACTTTTGCCAATGAACGCCTGTTAATTCGTTTCTTTTTTTTTTTTTTAACATTTATCCAAATTGATCGAATCTTACGAAACGAGAAAAAGAAAGTTAAGCATCGGTAATCTTATAGTATTTGTACTTGAACAAGAGCGATCGGAAGGTAAATCAAAAGCGAAAGAAACGGTTGTCTGTGTACGCAGCTTTAGAAAAAAAAAACGGAAATTTGTACTCCTATCAAGTATATTCGTAGGCTTCCATCGAATTCACAATACTTTGGAGGAACAGCTTCGGCTGATATTTCTTGATATATACATATTACATATATCCCGAGGCGCGTCCAAGCCATCCTGTAGTTTATAATCATTGTTGTACGACTAATTGAATACAATGGAATCAACATGAAAGTAGACTGAAAGTGAAAGAGAGAGAGAGAGAGAGAGAGAGAGAGAGAGAGAGAGAGAGAGAGAGAGAGAGAGAGAGAGAAAGAAAAAAAAAGATGTAATTGGAGTAATTTATATACTTCGGGCTACAGTATTTACACGATCTCATTTACGTTTACGTCTAATCTTAGCACATCACTGTATGGATCAGCATAGCAGTCAGCAAATCGCGTGCATATAGTTCTTTTTTTTCTTTCCAACGCGTGTAATTAATCGTTAAAAAGAAGAGCAACAGTTTATCGTATACACTCGTGATCCCGGTTGTCGAATCAGGCTTTCAGTTCACAAACGATATTTAGAACCATTAACTAAGCGAGAGGTGGATCTGAAATCTGGATCGAACACATATATGAAAAAAAAACCTATTTAATGTTCATTCTGACATTGTTTTTTTGTATATTCACTAAAGTTTTCAAGATATACAGGAAGAAACATTAACCTTTAAGGGATGGTCTCACCCCGAAGAATTGAATATTATTGAAAACGAGAAATTGCCTGATGCGTATATCAAGATCCCCTACAAACCCGTGTGATTAAAAAAAAATCGGAATTTTCTGGGTATCGAAGTTCTCTTGTGAGACTGAAAAAAACTACGCAGATTCTAAACCGTCTCGCTAGATAGACACAATTCACGTCCGAAATCCACAGCAAAATTAATGTTCGGTAAGAAAGCCACAAGATCGGCCTACTACGCGAGTGTATACGATAATGCACGACTTCGCCGCAATGATTAGCGTACAAGATGCTCCCGTATGCACAATAATATTATCTCTGTATCTCTTTAAGTGATTACACCGCGCTGTGATGCATTTAATTGTGACACGTTGAAAGGAAACGAAAAGAAAAAAACGACAAAAAAAAAGAACGAAATTGGTGCTACTATTCACATCGCTCACAGGTATGACTCCTGCGCGAGAAACTTGGTGCTCCCGTCTCATCCCGTACCTGGATCACACGCGAAACATGGTTCAAAAAAAAAAAGAATCGAAAGAATACAAAAAAAAAAAAAACAGAAAAAAGAAGAAAGAAATGCTTAAAAATAGAGGAATTAATCTGAAACGAATAATAAACTTATAGTGGCACAGTGAGAAACGTGCACCAACATATCGCATTGGAAGCATCTTGAGGTTTTCTGAGTCGCAAGAGTTGCGAGCGCGTCCTCGATGGGGTCCGTTGACCTCCGACACACGTCGTTGTAATCTTTCTAGTATTAGGTACTCGTTAATTTATTCTGTATATATATATATATATATATAAACACACACACACACACACGCGATGATGATAATGATAATCATGAAAAAAACATACGGTGAAAACAGCAAAAAACTGTATATTAGTTAAGGGTTAAAAGTATATGCTTTAATCGTGAGAGAAACTGGTAATTACGCGGTACCAAAATGGCCGCCGCGGCTACCCCCCGCTTCTCGCGAGTGCTCGCTTATAATGAAGGAACGTTTCTGTTTGTTGTTTTTTTGCCATAAAAAGCGACACGACGAGTTGCAAGAGCGTGTCTCTGCCATACACCGGTGTACGGTTTCGTTTACGGAGGAGGGGGAACACTTCGATAACAGAGAGGAGAGACCGACGATTATTATCGCGACACGGCCATTTGGTGTCGGCTGAGTCTGAGTGAGCCCCACTCTATCGATTGCTTTTCGTTTCGATACGGAACGAAATATTGTAGCGACGCGTCGAATGACGTTTACCCCGTTTATGGGATAAGGGGACGCACACACACACAAACATCGGAAGGACTATTCCCTCGTTATGTGCTCCCGCGTGTTTTGTAGCTTGAACGAACACACGAATATCTTGCATGTTGTGTGTGTGTGTGTGTGTCGTGTCAAAGTGGTTCGCGAAAGTGTACATTCGTGTTTCGTTTGTAAAACGGAGAATCGTATTCGCTCCGAAATTTGTTGACTCTGCGACAAAAACACAGAGCATTGTTGTGTTGATATATAATAATGCCTTTCGCGATTCACCGCGCGCGTGTTCGACATGCGTGTGTGTGTTTGTTTTTAAACAGTAAGGGTAGACGATAAGGAAAATACTTAACGGAAAATGGCAGGCATTAGGGGAGTAAGTCACGATTCGAGATTCTTCTCTTTTTACACGGTCTCTGTCGACGGTATCTCTTGTAATTTATTTCCGTGGTGATTTTATAACCGCGCGTGGATTGCTTGTTTTTTCTTTTCTTTTTTTGTAAACTATATGTTATCCCGTTGATAGTACACGACACGCGCGGCCCACGAACGATAATCTTACCGTGTACACTGTCACGGGATTGTGCTAGAACAAAATTCAAAATACACGACCAGAGCTTTCAACGATCTATCGTACACTACCGCTCACGAGTATTAGGACACCTGGTCTCCGTATGAAGAAAATGAGGTCTCGTAAAAAAAAAAACTGCATTTTAGACCACTTTTATTACTTCGTAATAGTTCATTATCCCCTAAACAATATTTGTCTCGGACTTCCAGCAATTCCGTAATGTCTGTGTAATATTTACTGCATATTCGACAAGTGTCCTAATACTTTCGACCTGGTAGTATAATACATCTGACCTCTTTTACGGAATACACTCTCGATTCAACGAACAACAGGTACAAAGAACAATTATTCGTATTTTATCTGCCATAAAAGAAAAATCTTTTTATCCGTTCGGTGCAAGCCACACGAATTTTCGTCTGTAACGAAATCACGGGTGTTCGTCAGAGACGGGCAAATTCATTAATTAGATAAAGAGTTTCGAATAACGAATAAAGGGTGGAAAAGTAGTTCATCATTTTTTATCGTTTAAACGTGGAAGTTCATGCTGCAGCATTTCACTATGTATTCGAATAAAATTGTGCCCAACTCTGGTGTTCACATGCGTGTCGTTAGGGGGGGGGGGGGAGGATGATAAGGAGCAACACGTCGACTTTAAATGTCTGTCAAAAGCAACCGCGAGATTGCTGATCGTGTAACGACCGTCCTCGTTAAGGTTTCGCCATTGTCTCTCTCTCTCCATGTTTCGCACAAGAACTTTATCTCCCCGCTTGGTCGCGACGGACGATCGACGTAGGGCCCCATGGATCATCCTCTTCTAGCAAACGGTTCCCAATCTTTTTTGACTTGCGTGTATCACTTGCAAGCCTTTTTATCTAAAATTGTAGCCCCTAATATTAGACAAATGTTTGTAATTTATATACACACAGTTGTTATTTCAACTCTTTTGTTTCGCGTAATCCTAAAGCACCAAGCACGTGCCCCAGATTGGGAACCACTGCTTTTATATTCAAAGGTGGGCGCAGCTTCCCTTGAGAGGAGGGCCCAGTGTGTTCGTCGGTTCGATACTTATTGTAGGTCCTTTTGTTTTTTCCTAACATGTCTGATATCGACACGTCCATCGACACTTAGGGCAGTAGCTTGTACCACATTAAGTTCTCCAAGGATTTCGTGGTAGCTTGAACACGATATTAACCCTCAGAGTTACGTTCAGTTCCCACTAGTGCGAATTGGGATTCCGATTTTTGACGATTAACTCGAAGAGAATAAAAGCGAATACGAACTGAGATGATTTTTGTTAGGGTGAAATTTCCTTAGAAATGATAATAATTGCAAAAGCGAGAAATAATTTTAGGGTTAAGGTTCTGGTTATCTAATGCAGAGGCTTACGCCTGCATGCAAATTGCTTCATCTTATTGAAAGCCCCCTATCCAGACGAAAAATGTTTCGCCTATCCTCGAGGCCCCAGCCCCCTCGATCGCACGCCTCTCTTACTCTCGATGGACGCTCGTGAATCGCAAAAATCTTCATTTACATATTGCAATACGATCGCGTTGATCGAAACCAGTTTCCTCGATGGGAGGTAAGCAGAAAAAAAAATTGAAAATCAAGGAGAAAATTCTGAGAGGGGCGAGATATTGATGGGGCTCCAGGAGTATATCGCGGATCGAAGGACAAAATAATCTGGACAATATTTTTCGCGTTTGTTCTCTCTTTGCTTTATAAAAAAAAAAATGTAATTCAATCTAAATCATCTGATTCGGTCAGATAACCATTGTCCAATTCAGTTTAAGGGGGTTGCTCGGTTCGACAGGTTCAAAAAGAATCGGAAGAATCGTTTTTCTTGTATAAAGAAGAGGGTTTGCTGTATGGACCTGGAATAGCAGATTGAAGGTATGTGTACCTAGACATTTTTCCTATTATAACTTGTGTTACAACTTGGAACTACGTCATGGATATGCATTTACCGTCGGTAGTTTTAGTCTTAAGGATCATGTATAGATCATAAATAGACTGCGGATTTTATGCACTTGTAGCATAGCCAGATGGTTTAGAAATTAGTATAGTTAAAAATTTGATGAAGTTTAAGAAGGTTTTTCTTCTACATGGAACCTGATAGAATAATAAATCAAGTAAACAAATCTCTGGTTGAATCCACCGCTTGTGAATTGGTGTATAAAGATTTATATTTGCATTAGCATCCACAGTCTAAATTTTCATTCTACATCTCCCTTGGAAAGAGTGATCAACGACACGTTCTTATTCAATTATTTCTACTGAAAATTCTATGAGAAAAGGCTCCAAAAAGTGCCTACTTTTTTAAAGGTTTTAGACAGAGCAACCCCCTTAAGTTTTCGAGTCGCTTCTCTCCTCGACTTGTTTGAATCTGAACAAGACACAGATGCTGGAGAACCCATCGCTAGCACATACATCATCGCCACGGAAACCGCATTTGGAATCGGACCGTGGATCGTCGAAGAGAGGGGAGAAGCGATTACGTGTATGGCCTCCTCGTGTGTGGATCAACACATCCCACAGAGAGCTTTGCTGCTCTCCACTGCTCTCCTTCGGAGAGAGCCTCAGTATACGAAACGCGACGGTCGGAGTATCGACAAAGATATGTGGTTCCTCGTGTTCTTGTTCCTATGGGGCACGATAACCGGTAACAACGACACACAAACCAACGAGATCACGATCGACGAACCGGTGGTACGTGTACTGGAACAGACTAAGAGCCACAGACCGGCTGGGAACCGAACACTGCACCAGATCTACGGCGATGCTGTTCATGCTTATCTCGAGGAAGACTGGGACCGATGTATCGAGGGCTTTAACGAGGTTACACACGGGTACGCCTGGAATCGAACATAAAATTAGGAACTGGGGAACTGACTAGGGTTCTGGAGAAATTACATGTGCACTATCTAATCATAAAACTATTTCTGTATAGATTTGTAACTTCTAAGATAAACAGTCGGGTTTTACTGTTGCTTCATGGTTCAGGCGAGGGACGACAGGATAGGATAACGTCACTATAAAGTCACTATACGGATGAACCGTAGAATTTGTAACGGAAAATTCGAAATTTCATGTGGTCCGCGCTGCCTGAAAGATTTTTAAGACTGGTTAGAATCTTCGATAATGGAAGAGACCGAATGCTTCTGAATGAATCGTGTTGGTACTAAAGCTGCTGAAAGGTGTAACCGATAATTTAAAGTATCGTTTCTTTATAACGTGTAAATTGAATACCGGTACAAAACACGATTCATCGAAGAACACTTTTCACGTAACAGTTAAACATTAAACACTGTGCACGCGAATAGACTTCCGCACTTTTCGTTATTTCTGTCACTGGTCTGGTAAAAAAAGTATACTTTTTTCAGATATAAAGTTTACAAACGGATGGTGATAAACTGTCGAGAAAAGTGTCGGACGAAAGCGGCCGGCGCGACTCCGATTCTTCCCGAGAATATCGAGGATCTGCACTTTTACGAGAAAAAAGTTAGAGAAACGTTGTGCCTGTTGACGTGCAATCAGGAATACCGTGAGATCGCCGGCTCGAAGGCACTGAAAACACTGCCACGCGAGACCGAATACAAACTGGTCGACAATCGTGTCTACGAGTACCTGCACATCTGCTATTATCAGGTAACTGACTGGCTCACCGCGTCCTTTACAATGATTTCGGAGGATTTGGAACCCCCTTGTCGCGCTTTGAGTGTCGTAAATAAACAGAGGCACAAGGCTGGTCGACAACCGTGTTTACAAGTGCATTACACATCTGTTTTTTAGCAAAACTAAAAAACGAGGTACGATAATATTGTTTAATTAAATAATTTTATATAGGGTGCCACACCTAACATGAGCACCTTTAATATCTCACGTGCTTTTGTAGAAAAAAATGTGGGAGGAAAATATTTAATAGTTAATTATCGTTATAAGAGTGTGTACTAACGACTCACTTTGATTGATTTGGTAGTTCCTAGTATTAAATTCGTCAGAGGGGCCATCGTTGTGACCAAGCATGTAACGACGAATCCTAATAGCGGAGCTTACGCAATCGCAGCTTTGCCCGAGTCCCACGCCCGCAACGTTTTTTTTTTCGTAAATACAAAATGGGTTTAACGGGCCCGAACGAGCGTCGCGGTCGTGAAACGCGGCCTACATCATTGGTATAACTGATTAATCGATGCTCCTCAACGCGTTCTACACGCGTCGCCGATCCGTACCTAAGCTCTCGTAAAATTCTCCCTCGGAACAACGAGGCGCCACGGAATTGCGTGAAATACACCATGAATGTTTTCTTATCTTTACATAGCGATTGCCTGCCAGTAGAATGCTATCGTGTTTCTTAAAAAAATAAAAATGGCCGCTGACTTGTCCCTTCCATCCTATCGTCCACCAACACCCTTTCGTGTTCCTTGCAAAAAAACATAGTAAGAGAGTAGAAAGTAACAGAGCATATGATTATAATTTTACAGAAACATCGTTACCAAGACGCGGCGAACGCGGTGTTCACGTTCCTCGTCCGGCATCCGGATCACGAGGCGAGTGTCGAGGCTTTGAAACACTATCTGACGCTGCCCAGCGTGGAAGCGGAGAACGTTGTAAACTTAGAAACACCGTACTATGTCAGCGTGTACTTCAAAGGGGTGTCGGCTTACGAGAACGAGGACTACGCAGATGCGGCCGTTTTGTTCGAGACATCGTTGAGGTCCTATATGGAGTCCGAGGAACAGTGCAGGCTCTACTGCGAGGGCCATTTCGATCAAGGCTGGCATCCGGAATTCACGTCCTCCATCGCCAGTGAGTCGAACGTTAACAGGAATCAATTTTCCCATTCATTGAGCATGGAAATCACTTCGAGACATCATTGTCGCTGATCGATGCTAATCGTTGGGTCTGGACAAACGAATGTAGTACCTATTTATAATCTGTTCGAATGAAATTTTTGTTAGACTACAAGGTGTACATAAAAGTAATCGTTTCTATGTATAATAAGCAGACTACGGATTTTCATGCAAATTCCGATTATTACAGCTTCATTTATTGAACTGAAATTGAGTTATTATATTTATTTATATTATTAAAAGTATTCTTTGGTCCACAATAAACTAACGTTTATACTGGTCTTTGTTAAAATTTCGAGTTTATTGTATTTTGCATATTCATAATTACGATGAAATGCATAAAATCCGCAGTCTAACGATAGGTAGGTTATTTAAAAAAAAAAAATGGTCATGCATCAATGAAGATAAAAGAAATGATTAATTAACCCACGACTGTACGGGTACGGCAATACCTACACAAGAATCTTAACACCCGCGGTTGTCAATCGGTTAATGAAAAATTACAAGAGAATGGGCCCTAGATATTTGAATCTAACGACGTTATTGATATTTCAGACCATTTCGCCTACTGTCTGAAGTGCAAACGATTCTGCCACCAGCAACTGAACAGCATAAACGGCGACTACCGGAAGGACATGCTCAGAAGCCATTACAACTATCTGCAATTCTCCTATTACAAACGTAAGCGCGCAGTAAGGAAGCGATGTTGCTCAATTTTGTTATTGCAACCACGTAACTGTACACACAATACTGTATACCCTCGTCTGTAATTCGTGTCGTTTCTGAAAATTCTTATCAACCGCTCTCTGGTTCATTCCGATTATACGAAAGGGAGGCAAGTTTGCGACGATAAACCGAATACGTGCGCACGTCGACGCAGGGAACGATAACGAGGTCCCGGCCGGCGGTTATCATAAAAAATTCGACGGCCTTGCATCGCCGGCCACACGGTGAGCTAAATGTTTCGCCAGCAATCATGTCCCGAGGCTCCTCAGGAAGCTGTTACTCATACCTCGAAGGAGAATTTAATTAGATTCATCTTGGTCGGACAGACTCGTTATCCGTGGAAATTGTTCTAGCCCCCCACCACCCCCTCCTCCCCGACGTCGCGACCCATCTGATAATGCTTTCTGGTGACCTAATCTCGTTCAGCCAGTTAGTGAACGCGCGCGCGCGTATTATGAGGACCTGTGAAATATTATTCTGAATTAGAAACGGTGTCAAAGTACCAAGCGTGTCATATAACACACCGACATAACGTCAGAATCATTTTTGCGTACACAGTGGGAAAACTGAAGTCCGCCTGCGCCGCTGTGGAAAGTTACTTGCTATTCGATCCTGTCGACGAGACGATGATCCACAACAAGGAGTACTATAGTGCCCAGCCGGCGGTCAAGCAGGAATACTTCCGGCCCAGACAGGTGATCGATCTGAAAACAATGGAATTGTAGAGCTTCGAGTGAATTTGTACCTTGGGCACAAATCTGAACTATTTTTCTGTGTGAGAACATAGGGGAAGACGTTACGTATATGTATAGGAGAATTAATTTTGATGGGAATTTATCGTCTACAGGAAGCGTTGATGTACATCAAAAGACAGGAATACGAGCTGATTCTGTTGAAATACATATCCGATGAGTTCTCCGTGTTCGACGCGAAGATGAAAAAGAGGTCTCGACCGAAGCCAACCGACGAGGGGAGAGACAAGGAGCTAGGAAAGGTAAAGAACGAAGAATGATGCTTAGAAAAGAATTCTAAAGATCTGTGAATCCCTAGTGCTTGTTCGACGTTCGTCGTCGTTTCATGTCGCTTTTGTTTCTGTTCGAAGAACGACGCGCGTATAAATCTGTCTATCCGGTACCGAGCTTAAGGCGGCTGTATCTTAGAGGGAGAACCGAAAGAACCCTTTTATTTTATTTCCACTCTCTGTACAGTTTTTATGTTACGAATAAAATACTCAAACACGACGACTGAACCATTATTCTGCTCTTTTGCTTGGTATCTGTATTACTTCTTTTAAACGTCGCGCGCTCGATTCCTCGACGGAACGCCTGCTGTATGCAACCAAGAATGCATCTATGCGCGATTCAGGCGTAAAAATAGTCATGGCTATTAAAACTCAAAATTTCTATCTACAATGCTCCCACAATCGCCTCTTCTGGAATAATCAAAGATGAATTTTTAATGTCCAAATGCAGCGAAGCTCACAGAAAAGTTTCGTTGTTCGCAGAAAATGTACGAACTGGCTCTACATCCACCGCCAGGTTACTCGTCTCTTTCTAACGCGCAGTTGTTCAACAATCTTTCCGCGATACGAGACGAGAAACCTGGGACACGCAATACAGGGCAACACAGGGTCAGGGACGATGTTTATCTGGTCGCGGAAGAGAAGCAGCTCGACGGGAAGAATCGCTACGTGGCTGACGGGTTCCTTAATTCCACGGAGTGTGAACATCTGATGCAATTAGCCTCGGTATAAGTTTGCTATTTTTTTTTTATTTGTTCGTATCATACTTTGAACAGATTTTCTCTATTTTTTTTTTGTACAAATTGATGCACATAGATGACTGCAGTGGAGGGTGACGGTTACAGCGAATACAAAAGTCCACACTCGATGCACGAACGATTCGAAGGAATCACCGTAGGAAGAGTTGCGCTGGTAAGGGGCTCATTGACTTCTACTCAAAACTCGTACCTTAACGGCAGCTTTTGATTATTATACAATAATTGCAGATGGTGTACTTTGGGAGTATAGAAGCGAAAAGATTGCGACAGCTCCTCGAGAAAACTGAGGAGGTGCGCCACCACGTGGAAAGGTATTTCGCGCTAGATCGACCGCTCTATATCACCTACACCCACCTGGTCTGCCGCACGGCTCTACCTGGTAATTGTCAACCGTCGCATCGACGTGCTTCCGGTTACTTTCGCAGCTGAAACCACGTCACACCGTCTCACTTGGTACGGCACGTGGGTAACAACTGGTGACCAATCCAAAAAAAACGAAAAAAGAAACGTCTACAGGGTCGCGTCATCGGTAATGCAAATCTTCCGAGGAGGCTAGTCCAGCTAGTCGGAACAAGTCGTACAAACACGGAGTCGAAACGGTGAAGTAGATACTAGAGAAACATTGAGAAACCAACGATATCGTGCCCCCGGCTGCAATACTGCCATAAGTAAAAAATGTATAATTTTACCGGAGAGCTTGTCGGAGTTTTACCATCCCAATGAAAACAAATGTCTAACAACTACTTCTCACTAGTGGAGAAATATCGAAAATATGCCAGTTTTGCAGCATACTAAAGCCTGTTATTTACGAAGTTTCTCTACGCGATAAATCTAGGAATTCATTGCAACACAAAAGCTAACTAGGCCCATGGACTAAGATTGGAAAGATTTGCATTGCTCGTGGAACGACCCAAATTACCACTCGACCTCTTCCTATCGCATCCTCGTACATACTTCTTCTTCTTCGGTCCACCTAAAAGCACACAGTGATCGTCATTCATTACCGTATCGACCACGTCATGTGATCATTTCTAGATTCACCGATGGATCGTGACGACCTTAGTCACGAGGTACACGCGGACAACTGTCTGTTGACGGACGAGGGCACCTGCGTCCGCGAGAGCCCAGCCTACGTCTGGCGAGATTATTCGGCGATCCTCTATCTGAACGAGGATTTCCATGGTGGCGAGTTCTTCTTCGCGAAGGATCGCACGATCCGCGAGGCCGACAGTCTGGTCACACCACGTTGCGGCCGTATGGTGGCGTTCTCCGCCGGCGGTGAGAATCTTCATGGTGTACGGGGTGTTCTTCAGGGTAGACGATGCGCTTTGGCTCTGTGGTTCACTCAGAACCGAACGTACACCGAGTACGAGAGGATCTTGGCCGAGGCGATCTTGGAACGGGTACATTCTGTCGGATCTGTCGAGCAGGAGGAGGAAGACAGGATGCCTTTGAGGTATGTAAATCATCGAATGTTCGAACTTTTAAAAGGATATTGACGATACTTAAGGGATACGTCGAATCCGTCAGGTACGAGGACTTACTTCTCCAGTACGCGAGCAGCGACGAGTTCCTGGAACATTTTCTGAAAAATTTCTCGTGAAGCAGACACGTCACGGAAGACCAGCCTTTGGTATTCCACTGAAAGTTTCAGAGAATTCGAATTGAAAAGGTAATGGAATAGATCGCCGGATTTTTCATGGAAAGTCGACGTTTTTATGAAGTGATTCAGTGAAGATAAAAGTATGAATTTCTTTCTTTCCTAAAGTATACTTATTAGATTAAGGGTAGAATGTACGAACTCTGTTACGTCTGATGAAAGTTTCGTTATCTTTTCTTGTGTTTCCCAGGCATTCTGTTTGCTATAAATGCATAAAATCCGGCGGTCTAATACATAGAAAGTAATATATTGTTCCTGATATCGGTGACTGGCCCCACGGGACTACTACAGGGACCTGAGGAGACACTTTCACATGAATCTGAAAAATCCTATCGAGGACATTCACACAAGATTCCCGTTGTACTTATAATAGTACAATTTCAATCCATTTCCCAGTCTTGTATTCCAGTCGCCTGTTTGCGTTTTATTCCTGTGTGTACAAATAGAATCGAGCTTCGCCCTGTGTGTCTTTCACACAGAGATGGCGATGGTCTCGAACACGCGGCGGGATGTTCAAGAGTCGCGTCGAACAACATTATTTATATAAAATATCCTAATCTTTATTAGAACATAGACATTACATGTCAACAGGTTTACATAACCATCCTATGTATCGTGTAACATGTATATTGTAATTAATTTATTCTCCTCCGTTCGTATTTATACTATGTATAAGAGTCATATGTATTATATTATATGCAATCGCAACCGTGAATCTCTCAGCTCGCCGGTGATTTTCAAACACCGCAAACACACGACCGTCTTTAATGTATAAATCCGCGTCGATGCGTCTCTGTTCCATCTGGATATCATCGTGTGCGTGTGGTTGTCTCTCTGTATGAACGCTATCGATAGAAACAGGCAATCCGAGTGAACTAACTCAGGTACCACCAGCATACACCCAACATTTAAATATCGTTTGGATCCTCGAGTAACACTGAGATACAAAAAAGTAAAACACATCGTCCGTGTACTCGAATACCCGTGAACTGAATGGAGAATTGAAATTCTTTTGGTTCCACGAGTACCTGGCAAACGCTAATTAGGCAGTTGTGCAGATACCTGAAACACTTTTGGCGTAACGAAGTAAAATACTCTGGTATTCAAGAACGTAAATATGTACTTGATATTCGACTGATTGCGATACAGTCAGATGCTCAGGTACTCGAGGAAATGTATGCCTAGGTACTCCAGTGCTTGGTTGTCCAGGAAACGAATAACAATATAGACCATCAATGTACAAAATATCATGGTATCGTTTCTTCGATACGTAATACTGGATAAAGTCGAACATAGACATTAATAGAATAACGAACAATTCATAACAATTTCTGATGATTCTTTAAAATCATGTACTCTTATAAAAACAATGAATTTTGATAATCAGACGATACGTTTCGGCTGGCATCTGTATTCGATTTTACGCAATTTTATGCGGTCGTATTAGAACCGATTTTGGACCTTCTTCGTGAACGCTTTTATGTAATCTTTACAATTTTCTCGGGTACCTGATGAACATTTTACAACGGATAGTCAGTTCGTATCGATAGTCATAGCGCGTGTGTATGTTTCTCTGTGTGTGTGTGATTTTTCTGTGAGGTGTCGGACTTTCCGTCGTTATTGCGCGACCGTACACGTGTGAAAAGCGAAACCGCATTAAATTACTTCTATGTTCCTCTCTGTCGGCAGCGTATATACATACAATGTGTGTTACGCATAGGAATCGAAAACGCACGCTGGACGAATAAACGCACGGTTTTTTTTTGTGTCGTGAATAAAAAGCCACGGGGGGTATGACGTGTCGTCGCACGGGACCGCCCACCCTCACGTTGATCTTAAGCGGGATCTCAGTCGGGAAGTAAAAGTGAACGCGACCCATTTATAACATTATTTATGTTTCGTTACAAACGTTTATTACGAAATTATAGTGACATCTGCGTATCACAGGAGAGCTCAGTCGATATTTTCTTTTGTTTGTTTTTCATTATCATCATCCAGGAACCACTCCATATTAGTCGTCTCTCGTTCTTTATATATGTATATATCTCTTTTTGTTCTTTTTAACTCTCTGTGTCCCGCCTCGCATACATTTACCAGAGATCTCGTATTCGCTTCGGATAGCATCGATATTGCAATTGTAAATTCAATCGAACCGCGTGTCACCGTAAAGAAACCGGTACTACACCGCACACACCTCTCTCGGCGTTAATGTTTCTTTCTGGCTCGATCGTGTCGAGAAGAGTAGCTTGATTAGCAACGTCGAATGGAGTGGTCGCCAAAATTTCCGTGATCATCTTTTATCGTTCGAGGATGATCCCCTTTTTTATTTCTATATTGCTCTTCGTAGACCTTCGTATTATTCGTGTTCCTCTTAACAAGAGTATAGTAATAAAAAAGGCAAAAAACGAAAATATGTAAAGTTCGTAAAATATATACATAGGCGCCGGGAGCATTGCAAGAACGCGACACGGAACGACAACAAAACGTGTTTTGTTCCATCATCTTTCTGTGGAAACGTGAAAATCATCGTGTGCTGGAAATCAATCCCACGAAATTATGATTTTCTACAACAGGAGATTGCCGCTGGTTTTCTTTTTCACATCGTCGCGTGTATACCGTAGATCGTGAGCAATCCGCGGTCTCTACGAACTATTCGTTAGGATCGAGAAGGATAATGCACTTTTCGAACCTCGGGATAAATGCTTCACCTCGGAACAAGCGCCGCAAGTACTCGTGTACAGATCGAGGACAGAAGTTGGGGTGTCCCTCGTTAAAAGACTTTACAATAGAATAATAATAATAATATTGTTCGTGAAACCTGCAACAGGTTCTATAATGTATTATTAAAATACACTAGCGAACGGATTGGTATTCGATCTTAAATATAATTAAAAAAAAAACAATTGCCTTTTGAATTTGTTTCAAAGAATGTTAAAAAAAGGAGAAATCACAGATCGAACTATGCACGAGTATGTACGGGTGCATTTCTGTCGACTTGTTGCCCATTACACTACGTCTGCACAGAAGGAAGCATCGTGTGTGCGGGACTATTGTGTTATAATAATAATAATAATAATAGTAATAATAATCGAGTTTCGTTTTCAGACTTATTCTTATAGAGTTGTTAACTTCGTCTCTCATATTATACATGTATACATATACACGCGCGCGCCAATACACATACACACACGAGTCAGTATGTATGCATATGTGACTTGAACAAAATGGCCTGCCTCTAGCGTTCGATTCGTAGACGTTGTGGCAAAGAGAACACTAAAGAATGAAGAATGATGAAGGGGGGAGAACGAAAAAAGAAACATAATCAGATAGAAGATTACGATTACTGGTTTCGGCGAAGGGCTTGAGAAGACTGAGTCAACGTCCTCGAAGATAGTACAGTTTTTCTTAAAAAGTGAACCGAGCGAAGTGTTAGTTCGAAATAGTTACGCTCTAAGTTTAAGTGTAGCAAGAGACAATACTGGATTAATCCGCGAACACGAGAATGACGAAACGAGCATCGTCGTTGTGTGACGGTTAGAAGACTTTAAAACGACAAGAAAACTATAGATCGCGAACTAGTGAAAGCTTCCCGATCATTACAACGCTAAAATATCTCGCCTCGTTTATTTTTATTTTCTTCCTTTCTCTCGATAGAATAATTTTGCTGTCGCTGAATTTCGAGGAAGAATAATCGTTTTTTTTTATCACGTTCCCTCTTCATACCGGAGCCTACCTTTTTTTAGCTATTTTTTTCGAATTTGGAGAAAAAGCGGAACCTACGCGTTCGATTTATGTTACAGAGAGAGTACGCAGAGACCGCTGCGTAGTGAATTCAACGAATTATCACAAAACGATTCGATTCAACGGCTTTCCTTTCTTTCTTTGTTCGACAACGATCAATTTCGCGCGATCGTTTTCGCGTACGCCATGTACCTATACATATACAATATTTGAATTTCGCGAGCATACGAAATAACTGCTCGGGGTTACACAGTGCGGACACTGTGACAAAGAGGTTTACAACAAGCGATTGTTAAATCGACCCCCGTTCGTATGAAATATAAATGCTAAATTTACAGAAGTAATCGAAATTGGCGTTTACAGATCCTTTACATTTCTTCTCCGGATAAGCTCTTAACGATACGATACTAATACAATAACTATATTAAAATAACACAAGTTATAACAATAGATTAAAGATGTTGTACTGTTTGATGGTTTTTTTAGAGAGAGTCAGAGAGAGAAAGAGAGAGAGAGAGATTCTTCCATCTCTATCTTTCTTTCCATCGTATTTTTTTTCTTGTACGTAAAAAAAGTCGTAACGTATTTTGATTATTATAGACACAATAATATGGCGAGAACATCGTGGTGAAAAATATGCTGGATACCAAAGGCTTTCATGCGAACAACTGCTTCTTATATTTGCTTCACCGACGGTTTTCCACGCCGAATCTATCCACCCGTCATCTCGTCGTTTGAACCACCTGTTACGCACGTCGTACAAACTTTACTAAAAAAATAGTACAATCTAATCGAGGACACATTATAGAAAATTGCAAAATATACAAGTTATAAAACACATATTAGAACGCCGTTCTCATCAGCAGGTAGCGAGTGACTTGCAAAGTCCGACTGCGTTTCCGAATATCTTCGAGTTTTCCCATTGTCCTAGATCGTGACTCTATACACGCTCCGAATCCGCGTAGAAACAAATTAACATCCTGCGTGGTTCGACGTCGCGTAGCCTGTGGCTTACGGTATAAATAATTTATCTGCTAGACAACCGTTATCGTATCGCAAGTCGTTCTTTGGTATCCAACAGGCTTCCCCACGCCGATTTCGTGTTCGAACGGACATTAGTCGTGGTATGGGCAGTGAATGAACAAGCAAGTACCAATATTAAATGGGCTGACTCTCCCATTGAGGCGCCCATTCTGGAAGTCGTCAATCTACATTCGATGGAGGTGCGGCGTATCTGCTTCTTGAGTCGGAATCTCCGTCACATATATACTTTCCTGAAAACAATGTAAGTTAACGTTGGCATTCCTTGCTCCTTGTAGAAGGGTGGCATCATCTGGCCTAGTGTCTACTGCCGACTTAACCTATTCACGCATGCATGACAGTAAGAATCCAAGAGTGTGGGTAATGAAGTAGGTATATACATGTAAACTGTGTATCTACGTCCATTTTCTAACCTAGTTAGACTGGAAATTGATGACGCTACCCCCATACATGGTTACTGTGGAAACAACACATTAGTCGAATACAAGGGATTCTTTGTGATACTAATTTATACATTCCACGGTACTTACATTAACTGTGTCGGCCTTGTCTCTTAGTTAATTCTCAACTCACTCTTTTACCACATTGCACTGATACACGCCTGACATTCGTAAATGCAGCTTCAATGACTCTTGCCACTCGCAGCTGTATATATTACATATTCTAAGCAGCAAGAACCATTAAAATACTTACCATGTCAACGTCTAGACCAAGTCGTCTTTTATATTCTTTCAGACATACACCACATCCAAATAAAGCATTTCAGACAGTCTCACCCACCTATTCACACAAGACTTTTCAGAAGCGTATTCATACCCTTGCAAGCCTTCTTAAACGTGTACCATGTTAAGGGTGACATGTAACAGGTCTTTGTAAGCAGAATGGTCCCGCTGATTCAAGTGAACGAACGTGCGATACCGATCAAACTTAAAGAGGCACAACCGTGAAAAGTGTATCACTCACCGGAAACGAATCTGCGCTTGACTAAACTTAATCTATAGCCCGGGCCCAGAAGTTCGAACTCGACCCCGGACAATGTGGTCCCTTCGCAATTGAACTGAGTGAATATCGTTCCCTGGTTCCCTGGCCCGTGTGCGAGTTCGACTCGCGCCTTCAAAGAGCCCACGCCGTTACCCTCGCTGTGCTGTGACAATTCCGTGAACTTCCACAATACTCGATTCGTATCCGGCAACCACTTAGCAGGGGACTCGGAGAAGCCATAGCGCGACTGTTGTATTTATAATCGATCTAAGAAAAAAAAACACGTAATTCACTAATTCAACAACGGCGATATGACTCGCCCTTGACACAGGTGTCTGTTAGCGATAAATACCTTCAGATCCGTGTGAGTCGTTTCGCACTTCCAGTACGCCACCAACTGGAAGGGGCAAGAACCCGCGCCCTCCTTGCATTTTATTTGATACTTGAGTATGTCGACGTTAAAATAGGAAGCCGAGGGATTCTGTTCAGCCTGTTTGCGTAACAATGTGGTTAAGGCACTCATATTGAATTCGAAAATTGTACTGTCGACCGTTGTCTGCGTGGCGTCCCTGTGTTAGATTAAACGAAGGATTCAGAAACTCGTTTGGAAACACATACCACATTCACGTTAATATTCGGCCAATCTGTGAGTAACGTGGTGTTTGCTTTAAACAAGGCATAGATCCCGTTTATATTGGACCACCTTCGCCAATGCCCCTCGTTCCTCACAGGATGACTCCCCTCATACGCTCGCAACTCACTTACATGCTGACGAGCTGATTATTGGGAAACCATTTCTCTAATCTGTTGCTGTTTCTCACACGAAAGGCAAGCTTCGCGGGACTGGGATTGTTCGCCAATACGGCGACGATACCGGCGGGGAACGACAGCATCATGTCGCCACTGAGCTTCACCTGGCATCGTGTCTCGTCGGTCCCGCGAAAATAAGAGTGTACTATCTCATGGAATGCAACTGCCAGTGGTATAGTATCAGCCAATCCGATTGTCAACGGTGAAGGGCCCCTGGACGAACCGACGCCCACGCCCGCGGTGCGGAACTCCAGACTGGCCACGCTGTCCGCTCTGGATATCGTCGCCGGTGACATTCTGCCCCTTGGCGAAGGGCCCTCCCCTCTTCGAGACGGCGGTCTCGGAATGATAATAGATCCGGTCGGTGTGGAAGACGCGGACTGTTTCGGGGGTAAGGCCGGAGTGATGTCTCCCACTTCCGAGAACAAATCGCCATCTGTTTGGAATCAGAATACGATACGGTCGTACAATTAGGTTTATCGTATATATTCGGAGAAGAGAATTTGTGGGACATACAACGATCTCAATAATAATCCCCATTTGATGTAGTAAATAAGATACAAAATTGCGGTTGAAATAGAGAATACGTAGAATCAAGAAAGAACGGGGACACATCTGCCAGGGGTATTTGTTTGATGGATATAGAAAGACAGAATTAACGTTCATCAGCCTCTGAAATTGAGCAAGCAAATCCCCCCCCCCTCACACACACACACGCACAGCACGCGATTTTCTGTACCGACGGGACAAAAAACCGTTCCGACGAGAGCTGAGAGGCGTAACGAGACCCCATACCGTCACTTATTTCCGACTCACCGGGGAACCGTGAATGAGGGTGTGTAGGTGGCGCGGATTGCGGTGGCTGCGGTTGCGGCGTCGGCGACGATGACAGTGGCGGAGGACTTTGCAGTGGTGCGTACGGATGACTGCCGGTCGGCGTCGAGGCGCTCGATGGCGTACTGCTGGGATTGAACAAGTTTAGGCCAAGTAAATCTGAGCTTGGCTTACCTCCTAGTTGCTGTGACACTGACTGAGACCTTTTCATATGGTGATCTGAGTCGGTGTTCGATCCTCTACGTCCCTGTTGGAAACGAGCATATTACCAAAATGATCTCGGAACGATGTTTAATTTAGGAAAAAGATTAGAAAATAATAATTAGTAAGATACCGTCGGAGCAGGCGACAATGACAAATTCTCCACCGTTGCCCTAAGCTCGTCCACGCTAGCGCTCATGGGCGCCCCGCCGTTGCTTAGAGGTTTTATCTCCACCCTGATCTTTCTTTCCCTCTCGTCCTCGGAATCGGTATCCGAGCTGGAATAGAATCCCTTCTCGTTCTCCCACGGATCTGATTTCGGTCGGATACAGAAACCATCCTCGTCCACTTCCGGTGTAGGCGTCTCGGACTTTCGGCTGTCCTCCTTGTCCTCCCTAATCATCGAACCAGTAGACTTTAATATGATACACTTGCACAGGTTCCAGCAGGCCTAGTGCATTTTCATATACATACGATATTCGAACTACTTTCTTTCTCGTGATAAACAAGAAAATCTTAGGAAATGCTTTCCTTTTAACGTTACGGTACCGATGTGCTTCTAGCGGACAGAGGGGTTAGGTGCTGGGGGGAAGCAAAAGGGGGATAGATTGAGAAGTGTACAGGATCCGTTCAGCGATCAAGTACCATTTCTTCTAATTTTTTTTTTAAGCAATTAGTTGTGCAGGGACGTTTCTTTTCCCAAGCTTTTTCTATGGAATTGAAATTTCGATGAACTTGGTCGCGGAACCGATCTCTTTCTCGAGTGCACTAGATCTGCTGAAAGTTCGTATACTGACAGGTCAGACTTTTCTTCTTTGTTGCTGCTCGTCTCCACGATATCCTTCTTCTTCTTCGCTTTCTTTTCCTTTCGCTTCTCTCTCCTGCTGCGAAGAAACCCTGTTGGTCGTGGACGCACGATATATAGAAAAACAAAGTCGTCTCTTAATTCTCTTCCTGAGTTCACCGCCCGCGGAACGGGCAGCAGTTTTGCGAGGCTTTGTTTTTTTTTCCTCAGAATACTCGTTACAATTAATAAAGATACAACTATAACACGTCTAATCGATCTCCCATTGAAACTGGCTAGAATCAACTGGTTTTTACGCGGCACAGAAAAATAGAACAAAAAACAGGTCGATGATATAAATGTTCGTTTGATCGTTGAAAAAGAAAAATGAATAAAGAAACTGAATGCTTCGTTACGTTGTAACTGAATATACTTCCACGCGAACTTAATTCGACTAGATCAATTACGGAGGATCGATTAATTCGGTTCTGGGCCGACGAGTGTTTTATCGAAAAATAATTCGATAAACGTTATTAACTATGAACTAAGGAGACTAAGAAGCGTAAACTACGTTCTGCGTGGTCAACATATTCGTACTAAAAGTTAATGTAATAATATATATATATACATATATATATTATGTAATATTAGAAAACGAATCAGAAAACTTGTGTAAATCCAATGGCAGATGAAAGTTAATTTACTTTCCAAGTGTTTCAGCCGTAGCGCAACGTGATCGAAGAACGTCTACAGTATAAAAAGAAAAGAGAAACAAAAAAGAGAATTGCAAAATAATCGTCACCGGATCAACAATCAGCGGGATGCATTCGTCAAAGTGCTTTCTACAGTCGTTGCTGTTCTCTTAACGATTCTGACACGAGCTTCGAGACCAGACGAAAAACCATCGACACTTTCTGTTCTCCGTTTAACGTTCCCACTTAAGAATCTCTTCGTCCGCGGGTTCTTCCACTTATTCAATCAGCGAACGAGCAATTTCGCATCGGAATCGTTGCAACGCCAATGTAACTATTCCGATTCGGTGGTGTGCACCGTAATCCATATACATATATTTACAAATTTTCGTAAACAAACGAAACGACCACGACCAACGCTCCATTAAATAACATGCAGGATGTTAATAAAAAAGAAAAAAAAAAAGGAAACATGGGATACTATCACAGGATGGATTTTACATGTCGAATAAGATAAAAATAATAGAATTAGGATAATAGTAAATTAAGACGAAAATCAAGAACGACCAAATTTCGTTTTATAATTTGCCACGTAGAATCCACCCTGTGGAAGTGCCCCACATACTTTTTTTTTTATTAAAACCCTGTACATGTTTTGCTGGCGCTTTGTCCGAGTCTCGAAACGCGTAACAGCATCATTCTTTTTTTTTCGAACGACACGCTGGGCACAACGCTAATTACTACGCTTTCACGCCTGCGTTAAAATCGGATAATAACGTAAGATAAGAAATATAAAGAGGTATATAGCGTAGGGTAGAGCACGTTACATTAGCAGCGGTAAATCAGAAAAACCCATGATACAACCAACACCATTTGAAAAAAAAAAAAAGAAAAACAAAAGAAAGGGTCCTCGAGGAATCTTCAGAGGTTCAGTCTCGGTCTTAAATTGTTTTTCTAACAATTACACGTCCTACTGATTGCACTTTGGATACGACGTTTCTCAAGAGACAACAAAACCGATACGGAGGTTGCGCAATCCTCGCGCGTGTGTGTGTTCACCTCTAGAACAAAATCGTAGAGCGTACGATATACATGTTCTGCAAGCAAGGATTTTACTATCGACATGCAGAGTATACTGACGAGAAATTGGAAACACCAAAAAGAAAAAAAAATAAATAAAGAAAATGCAACGTTCCAGAGACAAGATACGAGAGAGGAAGAACACAAAAAACAAATGAACACAGATAAGGTTCGTTGTGGTCGGTGAACTTTGAAACGGGGGGAGGGAGGAGTTTATCAGATCTTGTCTTAAAGTACGAACATCTAAAATTAATTAAGTACGCTATGAGCTACGGTCGATGACACACGCTAAAGTTGCAAAAAAATAAAAAAATAAAAAAATAGAGGGTTGCTTGCAGAATCACATTACGCTATCACGAGGGAAACGTATCTGCACTTGGAAAATAAATCTGAGTACGTGTGAGCCATGCAGTGAAAAGATCTCATTAAATATGGCTCACCTTAGGCCCCCCGTCGGTGGCCGAACAGCCCCGCAACATACGTGTTTTCAACGTTACTCAAGTCCAACTCCCTTTTTTTTTCGTTTAATTAACTCTATGTGGAATCACGTGTTCATTAGAAACAGACGGTAGAAAGTTTCAAAAATTGATATATACATGTCACGCCCACAAAGAGGGTGTCCCGCGAAATTGTTTATTAAACCCTTCACTGCGAACAGCGCCTTTAGGCGTTTCTTCCATTCGTTGTAAACAAGAAATTGCCATTATTTCATCGTAATTCTAAGTACGTTTCATTCATGAAAACCGCAGTTGTTAGATTTTATAAAATTTATACAAACACAATTGGATGTTTTTTTTTTGTAAATTTGAAAAAACGGTTCGCAGTTAAAGGGTTAAGCAGCTTCGGGAATAGAAAACGAGCGATCACTGTTTTTTTACGTGATACTGGCGATAACAATAACTTGAATTTCAGAAACTTTCCAAGATACGTCGGTTTTCTCTTAAGGCTAACATCGAATCGTAATCGGCCATTGTATATATGTATACATAATAAATGTATGTAACAATTTTTTTACAATGAGTCGTGTTGACAGAAGAACTACCCCCACCCCTCCCCCCTTTGTGTTCTATGTTTGCATAATAGATTGTTAGAAAAACAATTTATAAGTAACAATTTTGTGAGAGAAGTGTGTTAAAGAAATATCGCCTGTTAGTTTGCCTTATGATCCTAAAGCTACAGCCTATTGTCCAAGCAAGCTCTGGTTTCTGTGTGTGTTAGTCAAACACGAAAATTGAATATATTTCTTCCCTCTAAGAAGAGGAATGGAAATCTGCTATCAGACTGTTGGCCAATGTATCTTCTTTGATACGCCATTAAATGCAGAGTAACGTGTTTTCTTTTTTTGTTTTTAAAGTGAAGAAATATTTCAACTGTGCCTCGAGAACTAAAAACAAACCAATGTTACATACGTGTATCTCTCGACTAATTATACAGCGTGGATATTAGCGTGATGAAGTCGTTAGAACTTCTTACACAGCTGGTGATTCTATGCATGTAACATTAATTTAAGTGTGCTTAAAAACAAATGTTAGTAATACGTACACTGCTGATCTAAAAGAGTGCAGAGTGGAGGAACCATAATACGCGTTACCACTGTAAGTCACGAGATATTTCATTTAACCACATGTATATCCTGTGTACGGCCATAAGAAAGATATTTGTTTCAACAGAGGTACGGTAATGTATAATAAGTTGTCACCAAATACCAGAGACAGAGAACAACCAACAGAGCAAGACAAAGATAAAGGTGTGTGTAAAAGGAGTGCTGAGTTACAGGTGGTCGTTTGAAATCGTACGAAAATGTTCCTGCATTACAGACATTGGCTTGATTTCAACATTAATCTAATAAATTCGAGAGGATCCTATTATTTGTTTTTGGCTAAGAAAAAAAAACCATTGAAAAATCATTTGAACTAGAAACAGTTGTTTTCTAATGTACTCAAATTTTGTGTACTCGTAATATTCTCGATGCAACCTCTAATTAAACGTTTATCAACAACAATATCAATTAATATTTTTGTTGTTGTCAAATGTTGACTGATCTAATCACTGTAACAAACACTAAGACTATTTGTTGTGATAATGTACAAGAAGATTTGGAAAACTGTTGCAGAAAGCTATAGCAATGTACTAACAGAATATGTACCCTCACCTCGATCACTTTTAACTAACTACCAATGAAAGCAATATCTTGAAAGAACTTTTTGTATTGTTGGGTATAAGAGTACCGTGTAACCGATATAATCTAAATATATTACTTCGAAATGCAAGTAATGGATATGGTAAAGGGTACAGGTAATCACAATGTAAGCAGTTACATTTAGATCCTCTGAGAGGGTTCCTGGAGATGCTGGGAGGTGGAACAGCAGGAGGCAGGTTGTTCCCCTGAGGAGTTGCAGGTGCCGAACCAGACCCTGCTTGCTTCTGTTTGTCTGAAACAACACTCATTGCTCATATCTTTGAATAATCCGTGCCTTTAAATGGCCCTTTTTTCTTCATCTTGCTATTTTACACATTACTTATATATCTATTGTATTTTAATAACACTTTGCACTTTCAGTGGCATAAATGCATTCCAGAGGATAACTACACCTTTTCAAATGCTAATTTATGTACGGACAAAACATTTATCATATGTAGGTAAGTTACAAATACGCATAGTATATCTATCTATGGTTATAATTTTAATATTCATCGTTCACACCAATAAAAGATACCCCTGAAATACATTATAATTTATAATGTCATCCTCCACCTATTGTTAGATTGTAATGCAAAAGCATTGTAACACAACCACATAAGCGATAAGTCAATAAAATTGTTCTGCATATGAGTAGATTAATAAATCTGTGATCGAGTGCTAAAAAAACAAGTTAAACAAGTGTACACATGTGAAGGGTAAATGATATTGCTGTGATAAATAAACGTTGCAAAACGTATCTACCAGGACATAATGTATTCAATTTGAATATTAATGCTTTAATAATTCTGTCGACCGTTTCAAATTTTTTTTTAAACCTTTGTCCATAAACAGAACTTTGTAATCACATCAGTACTTCGTGCATTATGTTAAGGTAGATAGAAACTATTGCAATTAAAAGAGAATAAAACCTTGTAAAGTCTGTTCAACTTTAAAAAGAAAACCTACCCTGGGAGTTGGACATGAACAGGTTGAGTAGCGAGGTAGTACGGCGGGAAGCCTTGGTGGCTTGTGCATGTGACAGTTCTCTATCCCTTTCATTCAGTCTTTCGTTTTCTTTTTCTTGTACCCTACCCTTTTCCTCATCCACCCGATTACCCTCCCCTTTTAATCCCTGATCTTTTTTTGAACTGTGAGTGTTACCAGCGACTCCTGTTTCTCCATTGGCTCCTTTTGATGTTTCCTTAGGTGTCTCAACATTGCTATCCGATTGCGAATGACTGGTTGTGTCTCCTATACTTGTCATAACTTCTTCGTATTCGATTATATCTAATTCACAGAGAGATTATGTAAAGAATATTAAAGCTTCTATCCGTACTGTTTTACAAGATATGTTTACCTGGCTTCTCGAAACCTGTGTATTTGCTTTGAACAAATTGTTCTAATAACTTGTCCACCGTCATGTCCAGACACTGACGTTTAAAATCGATATGGACCTGGCCAACTTGTTCGTGATTAGTTTGCAAGACATCTGCATAGATATTTAAAAACTCCTTCATGTGTTTCAAGTGTGTCTCCTCTACATCTTGGAATCGCTTAGCAATTAAAAATAAAGTTCCATTAGTGATATGCATAAGTGATTTCTCAGAGATTGGAATAAAATAAATAATTAGGATAAGTACTCTGCAAGCCTGAGTCATTTTGGTCTGAAAATCGTTTCTTATAACCATGTATTTGTCCACCAATGTTTTATAATCGTCCTGTGCTTTTTTGAACTTAATCTCTGCTTTTTCTAATTCTTTTTGACTGGCATTATCTTTCTTTAGCTTTTCCAATTCAAGACCCTTTTGCATACGCATATCTTTCGCCTTTTGCAAAGTCACTGTAATGCTTTGTATACTTTGTACAACTTCCAAAGTGGACGATTCTTCTTCTTTTACCTGGATATTATTTATTTTACAATTTTTAGTAGTGATTGTTAATTCCAAATTAGAGAGTGTTACAAAGTGGCATGTTAATTATTAATTAGATATTTTCAAATAATTACTTATTGCACTGATTTGATAAGCATTATCTTTATATCTTAGCAGACACTACTGTCTGAGAGAACTAGTGACCCGGCTGTGGGCGGATACTGATAAGGTATGAAATATATGCAATGTGATTCATAATACAATACAATACAATATACAGTTGTAAAGTAATTGTAGCAAATAGTAAAAGATTTACATTTTTAGATACTACAAAATTACAAGAATTAAATTAACATTAGTGTTATTTTATTATGAAAATGTGTTCATACAAATTTATCTTATATATCTATGTACACGAATTATAAACAAAGTGTTACATACAGCCTTGTGCTTTTTGTGCAGTTCATCTGCATATTTTGATACATCTTTTATTAGTTCAGTGACCCTTTGGGCCATCTGCAAGTGCAAGCCTGCAAGTTTTTCTGCTGCACCCCTTAGAGCAGCCCAAACAGGTGCAAATGTTCCTTGGGTACTACTACTATTGCCAACCTGCTTGGCTACTTTACTCAGAAGCTTGTAATTGTTTTCTTCTATGGCTGATCGTTCTTTTAAAAACTCAGCCAACTCCTTACTCGCGACCACACCATGCTTCATGTTATGATATAACACGTCAAATCCATTATTCTTTTCGCCCTTGAATCATAAGAAAAAAAGATTTACACTCAATTTTACGAATTTTCAACACGAGTTCGAAATAATGTTTATGCAGAAGAGCAAAAAAAATTCCATCTACAATTAGTATATCTCAACTGAATGAGATATACTAAAACCATACTTAAGACCACTTAGCCACTTAACACTTGAACCCTGATCATGCTGTAAACTCGAGCAGAGCAGAACTCTTGAGTGTCATCGTCACAATAAGCTGTTATTATATATTATTGCTCTTGTCATCCTATTGAATGTATTACTTGCCATGTATGACCCATTGCTTAGTTCTTACTGTAGACTTGGTGAACAAATAACACTGAATATTCTTCAAGAAAAATACAATAAAATCCATCCATAAACATAAAAATTCGTTTAATAAAAAAAAAATACAAAGTTAAAAGCATCTTTTATTTTTCCATTGCTGTAAAAGTAATATCATTAGTGACTAATTAAGTACATTTTTAAATATCAACAGCACATCCTGTGTGTAATAATCTTGAAGAGATAAAATTTCAAGGGAAGTGAAAGGAAGTAATAGCTATCTTATCTACATGGAGCTTTGTCAGGAAGAGCAATGTCACATCTTCTAAAAAAAATCAGCATAATCACATGAAATGTGTAACTTTTTAAATTAAAAAAATTGTTCCTGTCTATGCTGATCAATGAGTTATAATAGCTATTTTAATTATAACATTAGTAGCTTTCCTTAACATAAACATATATAGATTTAACAAATTCTAACTAACTGTTGGTTTAAAGGATATGAGTCCACGTTAACATATATCATTGTAAATTAAAATGAAATGCTAAAAATTGTTGATCCTGGAAGAATCTAACTGAGTTAATAACATAATTCTGGAAAAATGGTAGCAGGTATCTTTAACAGAGTCAACAGTTGCACACCCTTCTGCGTTTAGATTCTATGTAAATACAGTGTCAGTCAAAAGAAAGTTTAAACTTCTTGTTTCTGCAAAACTATTGAAACTATCCTTAAAATATCTACATATCATATCTTTAACACATCTAAAAGGCTACATGCTTTACCAGCCGATACTCAAGGTATAGTGTTTTAAACCCCATGTTTAATGAAATACTTTGCATTCACTCTTGTCATTCTAAATAGAGGACAGTCATTTTTACACACGCACATGTTATTGTCCGGACCTCGTACAATGTATATCCTTCAGATCAATTAACTATCATTGAAAAATCTGCCTGTCTATTAAATCGTTCTTGGCCTTATTGGTACGTTCTTGTTTTAAACTTCCTTACAACCGCCACTGTACGTGTCAACGTGCGATCGAGTGAGCGTTCCTCCGTTGCTTTTTTACCAGCGGAGACGACACGGAGGCGAGATGACAGGGAGAGAGGTGAACGCGTAACCTTGCATTCGCAGGAGAGAAACGAAGAAGAGACAAGCATGCCGCCGCGTAACACACAGCAAAAAAAAAGAGAGAGAGATGAACGCGAACGACCATGATAAGGCGAAGGGAA